TACAGACGCGCGAAAGTGACGATCGTTTTTCAAATATCATATTTCATTGTCCAGTAACTTGGGAAGGTTAACTTGTTACCAGGTAACTTGGGAAGGTTAACTTGTTACCAGGTAACTTGGGAAGGTTAACTTGTTACCAGGTAACTTGGGAAGGTTAACTTGTTAGCTTGGAGTTCTTGAGTTTTAGATTATGTGAGTTTTGCCTAATCATTTGGATCATTGAGTTAATCATTTGGATTCAAGCGTGGTAACACTTTTAAACCATCACATCCTCTAGAAATCTGATTCCAATTTGAGCCCGCAAAGTGGCACCAATTTCTAGAAGATATGATGGTTTAAATTTTAAATTTTAATCTTTAGCCATACATTTGAACGAGGTTGTTTCTCTGATTTTAGTCTCTGATTTTGGTCTCTGATTATCCTAGTCGATTATCCTAGGTCTCCGATTATCCGATTACCCTAGTCTCCCTATTATCAAGCGATCAAAGACACGCATTGAATAATCCCAACAAACAGAAGACAAAAGTGAGTTAATATTGACTCATCGCCGCGTCTAAACACTATCATTGTCTTCCAACTTTGTTTCTTTTCTCCTGTCTTCTTTCTTTCTTTTCTCCGGCATTTTGGTACATATAGACTTGCCCTAAAGGACAAACAAATGAAGAGAGATCAAGACTGACTTCAAGTGCGGTATGGGGATAGTCTACACTGTACGAATGCTAAAAACTAGTAATAAAACTGATAGAGTATTGCAATAAAGTAAACAAAAATTACACAATAAAATAAATGAAAAAAAAAACCCAAAATCCTAAATCAATCGATAGAAATATTAGCTAATAAAAACTTGAACTTTTATAGAATAAAAAAAATAATTTCCCATTTCTTAATCTATCTATTTACAAGCTCTTTTTCTTTCCAGTAAGCTTACAAATTAGATCTAATTACAAAAAATCCACTTCAGATAAAAGTGAAAAGAAAATCTCTGTTTGAGTAAAATTTAGATGATTTGAACCGTCAAACAGATTCCCCCGTAAAGAAGAAAATCATCGTATCCTTGAAACTTTTCCATCTTCTTTTCCATCTTCTTTTCAATTTCTATTTACCCTTTCATTTTTGAGTTTAAGAGAATCTCTGATGATAGATGAAGTGCGCGGGAAAGTTTAAGGCAAGGGATTCACTGATAAATTCGATTTTTAATTTGAATATGTTGTAGCTGAGATTTTTTGCTTGAAACTCTTGCTTTTGCTTGAAAGCTTTAAACCGAAATCAATTTCCCGAGTAATCAAATTTCTTTGCTTTTCCGTTTGCTTTGCTTATCTCCAAAAATCTTATCTAATATCTAAAAACGAATTGAAAGAATGAAGCATTTAATGAAGGAATGAAGCTCGTCATTTATGTCAAATCCAGAATCGCTTAAATCGCTTAAAGCAATCGTTCCAAGTGTGACAAAAAAAGGGATTAGAAAAGAAAAGAAAAGAAAAGAAAAGAAAAGAAAAGAAAAAAGAGAATCGAAGAGTCTTGTCTGCCATTCTTTTTTTTCACAAAAAACGATGAACCTTTTAGAAATCGAAAATCGAAAAAAAAAGACTGTTGGAACAGGCTTTTTAAACATCCTTCTCTTTGCCAGATCTCTTGACCAGAATATCGAAATTTTGTAGAACAGAAATGGGGGATTAGGTTGCAAATCGTAATGGGAAGAAGCAGTGTGGCATTGCACTTAAATGGCAGAACATCAATTGGGTATTGGAAACGAGAGAGGGCAATGCACAGAGAGTCGAATAGGAATTCGATGGGAAATTCGAACAGGGGATATTCGGTGAAAGGATGGATTTTGCTCATTGATAAGAAAACGAAAAACGATTAGATCCCCCATTGTTGATACATTGTTGATAAAGTAAAGTAAAGACCTTAAAAAAAGCTGACTGGTATTTTTAACCTAGCTGAATGCTAGAGTTTTTTTTTAAAACTTTCTTTCTTGTTATTCTTTGTCAAATTTGAAATTGGTTTGATGAGTTGGTAAGATCGCTTTTGTAGGCCCCCAGCTGGTGTTTGGATGTTTGAAATTGGTTTGATGAGTTCTAACACTAGATTCTTCTCAGCTTTGAGCTTGTTGGTTGTTTTCTGGATTGCAGATTGACAAAGTTTGGTTTGATGAGTTCTAACATTAGATTCTTGTCAGCTTTGAGCTTGTTAGTTGTTTTCTGGATTGCACTTTGTCAATCTGCAATCCAGAAAACAACCAACAAGCTTAAAGCTGACAAGAATCTAGTGTCAGAACTCATCAAACCAATTTCAAACATCCAAACACCAGCTGGAGGCCTGCAAAAGCGATCTTAAAGGAAACGAAGAGGGAAAAGCCGTTTTCCAGAAAGGAGAAGATAGTACCCTTGTAGCTGAATGTTATCGGTGAAAAGGAGAGGAGGGGAAGGAGTGAAATCACCGGTTCTCTCCTCATCCATTCATCCATTCATCTCCCTTCAGCACTGCCATCGAGCCTAGATGCCAAAAAAACTGGGTGAGGATGAGGAAAAAAAAAAGAAGAAAAGGAAAGAAAAAAACTGGATTCATTCCTTGAATATCATTAATTTTTAAGGTGGAACTGGTCCTCTTGTGATTGGAAGGATGGAAAGCTATGGAAATTTAGTGATCTGAAGAAGTTGGATAAGTTGGATAAGCTTTTCCTGTAGATGCCAAAAAAAATGGATGAGGATGATGAAAAACGAGCTATAGAGCTCTTAAGCCCAGCTAGGATTCTAGGAAATCTATTGAAGAACAATGACAGAATGAAGAGCTTTGAAAGGTAACTTTCATTCGGAATTCATTTTTAGGCATCTTTGAGATAAAAGATTGCTCATTTGTTTCATAAGAATTTCTCGATTCACTTTAGAAGTCAGGTTTTAAGTTCTGAAAGCTTTGCAAATATTAAAGCTTTTAGAAACAAGACAAGTTTCAATCAATCATAATGATCAAGCAAGAAAGCAAGGAAGCAAGAAAGTAAGAAAGCAAGAAAGCAAGGAAGCAAGGAAGGAAGAAAGCAAGAAAGCAAGGAAGCAAGAAAGCAAGAAAGCAAGAAAGCAAGGAAAGCAAGGAAGCAAGAAAGCAAGGAAGCAAGAAAGCAAGGAAGCAAGAAAGCAAGGAAGCAAGGAAGCAAGGAAAGCAAGGAAGCAAGAAAGCAAGAAAGCAAGAAAGCAAGAAAGAAAATCATCATCAAGAATTAAAGTTACAGAACAATCATTTGCCGATACTTTTGAAGCATAGATGCTAAATTGAGAAATCAAAGAGTAATTGTTTAAGCAAAAAAAAGACAAAAGAAGATTTACAAGCACAAGAATTGAAAGAAATTAAGGATCAAGACAAACAAAATAACACCAGGCATGAATTGCTGTATGGGGAGAGCGTGGGAGACTGGAAGTACCCAAAAAAAAAGAAGACGATAAAGGAAACGGAGAAAAAAAGGAAAACAAGAAAAAAAAAGCTGACAAAGAAGAAAAATCCATGAAGGAAAACTGGCCCTTTTCGAAAAGGAAAAGAGAGAGCCTCAGGGTTTTTGTGCAGCCTCTTCTCTTCTCTTCTCTTCTCTTCTCTCTCTTCTCTTCTCTTCTCTTCTCTTCTCTTCTCTTCTTTCCCTCTCTTTTTCTCATTTCTAGTTTTCCCCCGAAATCTTTCCTTTTCCACAATCCAGTCTTGGCTGCCCGTTGGCTCTCTTGAGAAAAAAAGAAAAGAAACAGTCAGGAAATCCCTGTGCTGAAGAAAAAGTCAAAAAAAAAAGAATGGCATCCAGTTTTTGGCGCGCCGCCGCGATGAATGGCAGATCGAAGATTTTAATGGGCAAAGTGATCTAGGGGAGTTGCGGAAGATGATTTTTGAATTGTTTTCAGAAAAGGACAGTAATTGATGAGGAACTGGGCTTAATGCCGGGTCGAATGTTGGATAGAATGTGCAATTAGAGTCTTTTCTAGATGTCGAATCTTTTTGTCATCATGATGCTTACCCACTAGTCAAGCTTGCTAGAGAAAGCTCTCTCCAACTACAAGCGTGGGGTTTTTCTTATATTGTAAGAGATTATGAAGGCTTGAAAATCTCGATCAGTAGTTGTGATAGTTGAAAAGCATGAAATTTTACATAAATTGGTTCACAAATTGTTCATAAATTGTAAAATTTCACAAAAGGATAATGTCATAAAAGTCCTTTGCATAAATTTGACAAGTTGGAAACAAGATTGGAATCAGAACCATAGAGAAAAGTTCAACAAATGTCTAAATTCAAGAAAAATCAAATTCGCGTACAAAAATCAGCTCAAAAATCTCGTTAAGAGAAGAAAAATGAGGGGGGAAAAAGAAGGAAAATGGTCACGCTTTTCATCTGCATATGTTGGGAAGAAGAAGATGTTGAGAAATGAGAAATGAGAAAGATAAAGAAGAAGAAAGAAGAAGAAGAAGAAGAAGGAGGAGAAGAAAGAAGAAGAAGAAGAAAGATGAGAGAATGATTGCGGTCGAAAATGGGGGATACAGGGAGACCGGGTTTGTTGGAGGGAGAGGCGGCCAGTTTCCCTCACTCCAGTGCATGGACTGGTCTCCGCTCTCCTCCGAATGCCTCTAGGCTTCTCCCCAACACACAATAAGACTTCTTCCACCCCCACCTAGTTACCATTCTGGTTTTTCACCATAAAAATAATTTCTTTTTTGCGTTATCGTCTTCGTCTAAACGAGGAAAATGAATGATAGAGACTAAAGTAATTTTGAAATTGTAATCTTAGCCGTTGCCCCTAACTAGAATTGATTGAATTTCCCTCAATCAAGAGCAACTTGTTGTTGAAGGACAGTAGTGCCTATTCACTAGGAAAAGATTCGAAAAAATCAAATTCAAAAAATTTTTCACTTTTCATCAAATCTAAACAAAATTTCGCAAATTTCATTGTTTACAATGTAACGATTAAGTTTTAATTTTGAAATTGTAATCTTAGCTGTTGCTCCTAACTAGAATTGATTGAATTTTCCTCAATCAAGAGCAACTTGTTGTTGAAGGGACAGGTTCACCTCTTCTCTCCCCTCAACAACCCGGTCTTCCACCAATATTTCTCTTTGATCCTTTTCGAGAACCTGTTCTCCACATTTTTTTCACATCAAAATCAAGCTTCTTTTTCAAGCCACACTTATTAGGATCACTCTTTTTTTGTTGAAGAAGCTGCCAAATTTTGTCAAGATGTGGATTTACAAAAGAATAGAACTCTGCTGAAATAGAATCACGGTTCTAAGCTTATTGGCACTTGTACTAATATTAAAATAGTACTCAACTGGGTAACTAAACCATCAGATCAATTAGTACTTTTTTACTTTTGTCTCTATGATTTTAGTTAAAGCATTTTATTCGCTTTAAAGTTTTGAAAAATCACATTTGAGCAAAATCGGGATTTGTGCAGAAATCAAAGTGCAATTTGGAGGTAAAAAGTGTTTGAAATCTATTAGGACTAGTCATTTAAAGAAAACTTAACGAAAAGAATCTCATTCAGGTAAAGAAACATTGAGACTTGAGGAAGACGAGGGATTTTCTCGAGTTTGATTTTGATTTTCCCGAGTTTGATTTCGATTTTCCCGAGCTTGATGAACTTTTGGAAGCGCTTTTTTCTTTTGATGTATTTGAAGATTTTGACGAGGATGAAGAGGTTGATGAACTTGTCGATGAGTCACGATCAAGGGAATCTTTTTCGATGATTTCTTTCTGAAAAATTTACAGTACTTTGTGAATCGCAACTTTTTCTTACTTCATTTTCCTCTTGCTCAACGAGAAAAGTCGCGTTTGAGGAGTGCCGAGAGGCGTTGATTTTCGGAGAATCCTAGAAGTTCTTGGATTGCAGAATCTTCACAAAAATGATAAATAAGGCACTTATCTAAAGAAAATTTCGCATAAACATTCAAATTGTACAGTAAATCTGCACGAAAATACCTTCTTTACTCTACTGTCCTCTTCGACGACTTTTGTGATGTTGAAATAAAAGCAAGAATTTCCAGAATGCCTTTTATGACTCAAAAAAAAATCAATCTTCATTAGAGTGAAGATGGTGGATTTAAGCAATGACTTTTTACTTCACTAAAGTTCTTTTCCAAAATTTGATTACCTTTTTTCGCCCACTCCTCGCTTTTCTAATTTGCTCCTTTTTAAAGTCAGAAATTCGTTGAAGGAATTTTCGTTGCATTGCGTGTTTCTGAATGAGAGCCTCTTGTTGTTCAATGATCAATGGACGGGCAAGGACACGAATGCGCATTTCTGAATTTAAAAGTAAGCCTTAGATATGGATATTCTAAGTGAGCTTAGAATACTTTTACTTTTGCTAAAACCCACCTTCAAGTTGCCTCTCGTACTCATTTCCAGTTTCCGTTTGTGCTCGTCTTCTCTGCTCGGTTTTTGTGTCAAAGTCGATGATCGATTTTTCCCCCAACGAAGTGGCTAATCTTCTGGAAAACAATAATAAATAATATGTCATTTTTAAAATAACTTTTAAGATTCACCTCCTGCTTTCCTCTAATCCCTCTTTTCTCGACTCCCAGAACTCGCGAGACTCGTTCTTGATTCGATATTGTTTGTGCATTCTTTCTCTGAACATTATGTACTAAGCAATACTTTAGCCAAACCTAGCAGTGTAGCAGAAAAATTCTAACTTACTTGACGGCACTTCTTCGCAGTTTCTCAGCTTTAGTGGGGCGAACGATTGGCGGATCACCGAATGCAGGCACGGGTTGAGGAGTGAGATGAGTGGATGGAGAACGAGATGAACACTGAAAATTTGTCGCTGTCCGGATTGCCCTTGCCTCTTATGCCCCAAGAAATTTACCTTTAGAAAATCTCTATTTATCTATCCAAATCAACTCACAGCTTTATGTCTTCTCGTCTTCGATTCGGACAATCTAAAGGGGCTCGGGATGGTTGTCGGTTTACGCTTGGCCGACTCGAGTTGTTCTTTTAAACGATTGTGAATCGATCGAAAATCAGGGACAGATCTTGAGCGATGTATTCTAAAAAGGAAAAATTGAAAGATTGAAATTAAAGCTTTAAATCAATCAATAGATTTGGATTTAAAAAAACCTGAAATCCTGTTTCGCTTGGCAATCGTGGTGTCTCATTCGACCACGAATATGCGTTAAAGTTTCGTGCTCCTACATGGGAAAGTTAGGAAGAAAAATCGAGTCAATTTTACTTTTATTCCATTTGGTGTAGCGGCTTCTTCGAGCAGTTCAATGGCCCGTTTGTGCGCTTCTTTTTCTCGTTTCAATTCAGCAACAGGGGATGGAGAGACATAAGTGCTGAGAGGGACTGGACGAGCTCTTCTTGGAGCATCTGAATAAAGATTTGAACTTGGAAAAGTTAATCAAAGCTGAAATTGTTTTAAGCAAACTATTTCTTATCTAAATTTTCCATTTTCTGCAAAAAAACACTCACTTTCACTCAACTCCGTCGCCGATTTCGCTCTTCCATTCATCCCCATTTGACGGGCACGGAGGTTGGCATTCGTTTTCTTTCGTATTGTCTGAAAATAAAACAAAATTGAGTTTCTAGATTTGGATAAACTAATGGTAGCCTACTTTTTAAAGCCCCAACTACTCACCTCAATGTACTTCTCATCGAAAACACGAAAATTATCAGGAACATACGTAGTGGTTGGCGGTTGTTTCGCTTTGAATCTAAAAAAGTTTTATTCATTTATTTTTAAAACAATCTCTCCTCACTTTGGAATCATTTTCAATGCTTCTTCCTCTTCCAAATTTTTCTTTTCCTTTTCGGCTCGCAACTCGTCGAGGAATTTCGTCGAATAGCTATTCTTTTTGGGTTCTCTAAAACGATAAATGTTTAAAGTACTAAAAAATATAATTTTCTATAAACTAGACAAAAATCTTATTAGGATAAGGATTTTCTTCAACGATATCGATAACGATAACGATAACGATAAAGGATAACGAATCCACCTTTCGCTCATCGAAAACGGTTGTGGCACGGTGACAGCAGGCGTCCATTTTGGGCGATCCGTTTTCGAGCGCAAATCATGAAGACTTTTCGCTTTTCCCTGAAAAAGAAAAATGGCCAAAATTATCAATAAACAAAATATCAATATATCAATAAACAACAGACAAAATCAAAATATAGAAAGTAAGGGTTTATTTGAAAGCAGCAAAATCGTATTTACTTGAACCTCCAAATTTCTCCCATATTCGTCCAGGCGTCGCTGGGAGTATATGGAGGAGGTGGTGGCTGAAAAAAGAGCAATTTTTTTCTCAAAATAATCAAGTCATATCAATAACTTTCGAACATTTAAAATCATACCTATTGGCCCATTTCTTCTCCGTTTTCTGACATCAGAGTTCTCATCGGATCTAAACTTTTCGTAAACAAATTTTTCCTGCTTTGACACAACACCGATTTCTCTGCGAATGCCAAAGGTCTTCTGAGGATTTGGAATGATTCCCATTATATTCAAGATCATCGATTGCTTCACGATTTTTTGGACTCAAATGATCTAAAACTTTCAGAATTATTATAGTACGATAGAAAATAAATATTTCGGTACTTTCGTGGTTGGGAGGGGCCACTTTTGGTTTGCTTTTTCGAATCTAGTGTTTTGAGCGGGTTCGTGTCGATACTTTTCTTCTATTTTGGGGTAATTTTATATGCTAAAGCGATTGGTGCTAATTTATGCACGTTTTTGATAATCCTATTTGATGTTTTGCCTGTCTCCTAGCCTGCTTTACTTTAACCACCGAACGTTATCTCAAAGCTGATGATTACACTCAAAGCTGATGATTACACTCAAAGCTGATGATTACACTTGGAAAGCTGCAATACTGACTTGAAACATTTTGAAAATACTCTAAAATTAGCACCAATCGCTTAATTGCTATATAATTACCTCGGAATAGAAGAAAGATATCGACATGAGCCGCTCAAAAACACTAGATTCGACGAATCCAAGCCAAAAGCGGCCCCTAGCCCCTCTAAACCACCAGAGCACCAATATTTCTTTTGTCAGAATCTAAAATATTCACCATTTTCATATAGCGAAGCCACGTATTTCACTGTGGGCGGCTCGTCGACAAAATCCGTGGAAGTGCTCGGCTTTGGGTCGGCCAGAGTGCGCTAAATTTCGAGTTTTAAACCCAAAGTTTAATTATCGATAAAAATACTATACAAAAAGCAAAAATAAGCTTAAAAAATGGTTCATATCACCCACCCTAGCTCTTCTCAAGTATCTCGTTGTGTGGCGATGCTGATCGCGTAAGTAGCAAAGCTTTTGCATGAAATACTCATCTTGTAGCAGGGTTGGGTCCTAAAAGTTCATATTTACAGTAAAATAAAAATTGGATTTATACCTGTTCCAAAGCATCAAGCAACAACTTTGTGGCATCAAGTGTCCTGTCCACTTCTTCATTCTCCATAAAATTCGGCTAAAGAAAAATTGTGGTTTTCGATTTTAAATAAAAATAGACGGGCTTTACAGCTCTAACTATAAGAAATATCAAGAAAAAAGCATTCTAAAAGCAAGAAAAGCATTCTAAAAGCATTCTAAAAGCAAGAAAAGCAAGAAAAGCAAGAAAATCATTCTGAAAATATGGGATACAAGATAATTTTCATATTTTTCAAGAAAATTTATAATAGAAATAGTGAGCAATGAAGTTTTACGGATAAATTGAGAAATACAATGCTAAACCTGTAAAATGAGAAGAACAAAAAGAAACAGAAGAAAGAAAGTCTCCAATAGGTATCACGGTAAACCTTTTGTTCAAGCTGGTAGCGGGATATCAATCAAGAACTGAGTGAGGTTTACAGGAATTATAACTAGCCATAGAATGAGACCAATTAGGCTTTTAAGAGAAAAGGGTAAGGGAAAAATTCAATAATGAAAATGAAATGGTTGAAGAGAATTGAAAGAGAGAGAGAGAAGAAAATGAGAAACGAAAAGAAAAAGGAAAAGGAAAAGAAAAAGGAAAAGATGGGGCGAAAGACGGGGCACCATTTTCCCTCAGAAATCATAGATGTTTCCATGGTGATGGAGTGGGGCACAAATTGGAAAAGGGAAACCATTTCTAGCTATGAGTGAGAAGAGTTACCATTTCATTGCTTTAACAAAAGTTCGTAAATATCGTATTTATTCTAATCGAAGGAAGTTTTTGGTTGTTCTTCGATTGAAATACCGTATTTCTTCGAATAGAAGACCGGGTAAAGAGTATCATCGCGTACTCCTGCTTAGCAGCCCTTTTTAAAATCTCTTTTCTGCATAAAAGCTTTCAATCAAGTGCTATAGAGCTGGAAAATGGCTCAAAAATACGACATGAGCTAACAGATTTTTGAGCCATTTTCCAGCTCTATAGCACTTGATTGAAAGCTTTTATGCAGAAAAGAGATTTTAAAAAGGGCTGCTAAGCAGGAGTACGCGATGATACTCTTTACCCGGTCTTCTATTCGAAGAAATACGGTAATTGCCGTATGAATCTTTCAATCTTTAAGAATTGTAAGAATCTTTGAGTACAATCACCACATTTTTGAGTGCATTTCTTTTGAGTCACTGAAAGTAAACAAAGAGAAAGATGAAGTGCATTAGAAAGTGTGTGTGTGTGTGTGAAGTCACTGTTTTGCCCAAATTTTCACTTTAAAACTCTTTCTTAAAGCTCTTCATTTAAACACCAAAAAAAAAAGAAATCACATTTCGAGTATCAGCATAAATATTATGTACTCCACAAGCCAGAAAACTTGAGATTTTTGATGAAAACGATAAAAATCGATAAAAATATTGAAATCTTAATAAATCCACAATTTTCGTTGTTGCATTTGCATCATTGTGGTACAGCTTGGAACGGAGTGAGCGGCTGAATAGAGATCGTCGTTGCAATAACCGCATGAAGATCGGCAAACTCTGAAAGAAAAATCTGTTTCAAGGTGATCAAAAAGTTTCCGCATCTCTTTCCAAAAAGAAGCTCGATTTTTCAGCTAAAACTCAGATCGAAATTTGACTTACTATATAGTTTTTGAAGCTGAATTTCTGAGCATTTCTACACCTAAACCATCCTATCCAAAGCCACCTAGCTCTCCAAAGAAGCATTGTAGCACTGGATGGGAAAGCCCGGTTTAAAACCAAATTCTTGTAATTGTGGATTTGATATTAAAGTTTGCACCTTGTGGGATAGGTTTTTTATTTCACAAATGGATCTAGCTATGGATCTGGATCCTTTTTGTGGTGATCTCAAACCTGATCGCGAATTCAGTGTCTTTACACGAGTATTTCCCCAATCCCGACTCCTTGAAGCGACGGCAGAAAGCGATCGAATGCTGAATGAGGAATTTATGCGTTTTAATTAAATTTTAATTTCAAAATTCAAATCTAAATCGAATCTCAGGATTGAAATAAGTTTAAAATTAATTTAAAAATTGAATTTAAAACGTTAAAAACAACATATTTCTTGAATTTTTGAATAAATTGTTTTCATTACACTGGTTTTTGAATAAATTGTCCAATCTCAAATTGTTTAAATTGGAATAAATTGTCCAATCTCAAATTGTTTAAATTGGAATAAATTATTCAACCTCAAAATTGGTGGACAATACATTATATCGGGAAAGCTTATGAGAAAAATGATATTATGTTTATAGGGAGTAAAAACTCGCAGAGTTTGGCGAGCAAACATAAACAAACATATTTCTTTACCTTATCCCGGCAAACGATAGGCGCTCGGAGGACGGCTCGAGCGTTATCCGGATGAATATTATCTGAAATATTATCACTTCAAAACTTTAAACAAATCTTTTTACATAACTGAATATTTGATGATACATTTTTACGTAGGTTTTTGTTTTTCTTTGCCAAGTGGGGGGTGGAACAAATGCTACCTTTTTTGCGCACCTGGACATTTGCGCACCTTTTTTTTGTTGGAAAAGGCCTTAGTAAAGGTCGTAGAGCTTCAAAAATGTTTTTATAGAAGGGAATCGTATACGTAGATTCAGAATTTTGACAAATCAGACCTCGCTGACACGTCAAATTTGGGCTAAAAGGCAAAAACTGCGGAAAAGCGTTAAGTTGCGTAGTTTTTGCCTTTTGGCCCAAATTTGACGTGTCAGCGAGGTCTGATTTGTCAAAATTCTGAATTTACGCTTACGATTCCCTTCTCTGAAAACATTTTCGAAGCTCTACGACCTTTCCTAAGGCCTTTTCCAGCAAAAAAAAGGTGCGCAAATGTCCAGGTGCGCAAAAAAAGGTCGCATTTGTCCCACCCCCGCCGAGTGTCATGTTTTGTGCGGATTTTCATTTCATTTCAATTTCACGCTATTCACTTTTCTGAAGGGGCTTTTCTCACTCTTTGTTTTTCTTGATTTAATATTTTTAACTTTGTAATCATTTGTAATATCTTAATTTTCAATATTTCCGCAATATTTACTATTTTCAATGTATTTACTATTACTATTATTTACTATTACTATTTTCAATGTATCTCCGGCACTCCAAACAGCAATCGATTGTGTGAAAATCGTGATCGCCCAAGCATCGCTTCTCGAAAGTTGCCGGTTGGGTTTTTCTAGGAATTTGAGGGATTTAAGAATAAGAAAATAATACTTAAAGCATACAAAATGCATTCAAATCTTTAGAATAACAATTAAATGTCGAAATACCTCAACGATTGACAGGCTTGTTCGCCAAAACGATCACGGCAACACGGAAGAGTTGCTGCATCTAAAAGAAAAGCTTGTCTTAACTTTTTTTAAAATACCATAACTTTATCGCTTAGATATTTTGGTATACTAGAGCATTTTTGGAGCTCTTTACGGTAACTTTAGCCTTTTCTTTTCAGCTCAACTTATTTTACACTCTTGTTCTTGTTATAAACTCTTCAACTCTTCAACCAACTGTTACAAGTTTAAAATTCGAGTTTGTCTTTAAAGTTTAACTTAATTTAACTTTATTCTTTTGATTTTCTTCATTTTCTAGTTAAAAACCATGATATTTTCAATAATATTATTAGGTTGGTCAATTGAAAACTGCGGGACTTTGAACTAAAATTTATTCAACATAAAACCATCAATTCATTCCAAATAATTTCCATTATTATTGACGTTTCCGAGTCATCGACTCTTCACTCAGTCGTTCTCTTTATAAACTCAAACTATAACCCAGTGTTTTGTCACACTACAGTACGCCGATTCTTTGGCTAAAGGTATTCAGTCATAGCATACTGTAGAAGACTAGAAGTTTGCAGTCTTTTCAGATCAACTTTTGACTTTACTATTGGGTTGGTCAATTGAAAACTGCCGGACTTTGAACTAAAATTTATTCAACATAAAACCATCAATTCATTCCAAATAATTTCCATTATTATTGACGACTTCTACCCATTTTACAGGCAATTTGCGGATTCCCCTGTCGTAGTAGGATTTTGGTTTGTGTGTGAGACTCAAACATGGAGGACTGGAGATGTCCCAGCTTGAGCACTTTCTTCAAAAGAAACCCATTTTTGTGTCAATGGAAAAGTTGTAGAGAATCAAAAATGAGGCTTATAGCCAAATTTCCAAAAAGATACACTTAGTAGTTTCGCTTAAAATGCAAGTTTTGTGAAAATTCGTAAATTTGGCATTTCTTGAAAACGAGTTTTTGAATCGTTCTGAAAATTTGGATATATAATCTTGATTTTTGATTCTCTACAACTTTTCCATTGACACAAAAATGGGTTTCTTTTGAAGAAAGTGCTCAAACTGTCACATATGACAATAGCCGGCAGTTTTCAACTCACCAACCCAATATAAGAGATTTTTTCAATCTTTTCAAATCTCTTCAATTTACAGCTTTCAAAATCTTCCTTAAAAGAGGCACAAAGAAAAAAAAACGGTTTAAAGATTCTAAACGGGGAACTAAAAAAGAAAAAAAGAAATCGTCTCCTTTAAAGGCGATTTGCACAGATTTTTGACGGGGACATACCGGTCTTTTCTCTTTTTTCTCTTTTTTTCTTCTTCTTTCTCTTCTTTTCTCTTCTTCTCATTCCATAACTGGAAATGGGACTGATCCTTCTTTCTCTTCTTTTCAAAAACTTCTTCAATCACTTTTCTTCTACACTTTCACTTGAAGGTATGCTAGCTTTTCAACATTTTTCCTCAAAAAAATCTCCTTTTCAATGCAACTTTATTTCATTTCGTCAATCGTTGATTGAGATTGGTTATGACTGAAAGAATCATCGCGATGAGATGATCGAAAAAAAAAGTGGTGAAAAACGGGGTTATGAGACGCGGAGGTGCTCCCCGTCTGTGCCAATTTCGCCTCGAGGTCACCCCCGTCTTCTCTATCAACACTTCACCCTCAGCACACACACATTTTTCCCCATCTTTATATTCCAATCACTCCCCACTCATCGCCAATCGGATTTAATCGAAAAAAGATCGAAAAGGGGGCAATGATAGGGGGAAAATGGGTGAGAAGACCTATCGCCGTTGCTCTTTTCTGCGAAAAAAAAAACCCCTTCGATTACTCTATCATTCCACGAATAATTTTCCATGAAAAAGTTTGATTTTTCAGTGAAATATTGATTTGAGGATGGAAAATTTCACTTAAAATTTCTTTTTCTTTACTCTAGATGAAATAAATGGCTTTAAAATTCTGATTCCAAAATTCCTACATCCTTTTTTCTACTCAGTGCTTTTTTGGCCACTCCATTATTTCACAAATAGATTTTCTCTTGTCTTTGATGATCAATTAATGATTAACTTTGATGATTAATTAATGATCAACTTTGATGATTAAACGTTTAAAACTCTTTCGTGAATACTAAAGAATTTTTGTTTCTAAATTCAGTCGCTTTTCATATTCAAGAAACGTATCGATGCTTTAGAGCTAGTGGCTCTTTGCCGTAAGTAATTGGCTTATTGTATGTATTTTGAAAGTATCACTGTGCATTTCTCTATGATTTCTTTCACTTTATCGTTTGAATAAAGTATTATTATTATTAAAGCATTCTTCTATACATAAATAAATAAATAAAACTAAATAGGAACTAAATAGAAAATTCTGATTCCGAAATTCCTACAATAAACTCAGTGGTTTTTTTTTGTCTACTCCATTATTTCACAAATAGATTTTCTCTTGTCTTTGATGATTAATTAATTGATTAACTTTGATGATTAAACGTTTAAAACTCTTTCGTGGATACTAAAGTATTTTTGTTTCTAAAGCATTCTTCTATACGTAATTCGCATTTTTTACTTTCAAATCAATGATTGACCTTGAGAAAAAAGGAAAAACTTGGCACGAGTTACTCTAACGGTCTTTTTTTTCATTTCTTTTCAAAGCTCTTCAACCGATGTCAAAGTTTGCAACAAAGAGCGTGATTTAATGTTGTTGAGGCGGTTGGTCAAAGTTTTCTTTTATGTTTTCGAAAAAAGATGACCTCTTTGAGTGGATTTCTAGTAAAATCATTCTACTTTTTGACTAGACACACTCATTTTACTTTTTGCCTACCGTAAATACTGTAATAGTACCCCATCCCCATAATGACGGTGCGGAGTGTTGCGTAGTCTAGCTTTGAACGAGTTTTTCTCGACACTGGTTTATGCTACAATGCGCGCTTAGGTGTCAAAAAATAGCTGAAATTCAGGGCTATTTTTTGATACCAAAGACGCATTTTTTGAAAGTACGGGCGCTTTGAAAAAAATGAAATACTAAAAAACTTTTGCGACTACGCGACTGTCCGAGGGGGGTGGGGTACTATTACAGTATTTATGGTAACTTTTTGCGCTTTTTTCTATTCACACGAAAATCGGTTTCTTTAGACCAAAGCGTTTAAATCGCGTAAGTGAGTCGTCGCCCTTTTTTGACTTGATCGAATAGAAAAAAGCTAGAAACAAAGCATTTCTTAAGATTTCACTGATCTTTTATAGAAAACTATTAGATCTTTCTAATAGAGCAAATTGTAGGTTAATAGATGTCTTGAATGAATTGATGATTTCTAAATAGCTTTTTAAATAAAGTGCTCAAAGATTTAACGGCCAAGCTAATACGTGCAATTCTTAACAATTCCTGAAAACACCCATTACAAATCAATCTGTGCACATGGAAATTGCTAGAAGAAGAAAGTTTTCACTTTCTCACTCGCTAATTCATTCATTCATTGTGCTGGGTGTTTCAATTGATTTCAAAATCACAATCTGCAAAAAGGGAAAAGGAAAGAGAAAGCAACCGAGCATTTTCATTTTCATGTTCTTTTTGATCGAAAAAGAGAAATTTGGAAAAGAGGATGAAGATAAAAAGGATGAAGAGAAGGTGAAAGATAGGAATTTTAAGGGGGAAAAGAATCGGCGCGTGAATCGAATCAGAGCCACCTGTGTAAGGAAAGCGAAGGGAAAGCGGGGTACAGGTAGCCTCGCCGCGCCTTTTTCCTCCATCCATCCCCTCCTGATTCTATTAGGTTTTAGTTTTTTTTGGTGGTATGAGCTACTGTTAACTGATGCTAACTTTTTGGTGGTATGATCTACTGCTAATTACTGTTAATGGTAGAGTTGTTGACTACTGCTAATTACTGTTAACAGTAGAGTTGTTGACTACTGCTAACTACTGTTAACAGTAGAGTTGTTGACTACTGCTAACTACTGTTAACTCTAATAACTAATTGTACTACCTATAAGTACAGTCCGGCGTCTCCTACCAGCTGAAAGAGTCATTTGTTGAATGCGTTTCTTTCAACTCCTAATTTTCTAAATTTTCTTTTCAAAAGCTATCGTATCTTTTCTTTAATTTTTGCTTAGCCTATCTATTTTCTATTCTTCTATTTATCAGTACAGTATTTTGATAGAACAAGACTATCAATAATCATTAGCTTATCTGTTTTATCGATAGAATTATGAATTGATCGAAAAGCAGTACTATTTATTATCATATCATAAAGTACCTTTTGTAAACCTTTGCTGAAGGATTAGTTAAAAGAAAAAGATAATTGAATAAAGCTAGAATTTATCTAGAGAAACGATTAGAAAGTAACTTTTAAAAGCTGATACTTTTTATAAAATATACTAGTTTAAAGAGGAACACTCTGTTTACAATTCGCATCGTTACTTCAGCTTTTCGATCAATTCATAATTCTATCGATAAAACAGATAAGCTAATGATTATTGATAGTCTTGTTCGATCAAAATTCCATATTCTCTTTTAAAAACCCCTTTTCTCATCAAAATCTGTTCTTTGTCTTTATCCAATTCTCCAATTTCCTTTCTTTTCTGATTCCCTTCTTCTTCTTCTTCTTCTTCTTCTTCTTCTTCTTCTTCATCTTATTCTTCATCATCATCATCATCATCATCATCATCTTCTTCTGCTTCTTCTTCTTCTTCATCTTCTTCTTCATCTTATTCTTCATCATCATCATCATCTTCTTCTTCCTCTTCTTCTTCTTCTTCATCTTCATCTTATTCTTCATCATCATCATCATCTTCTTCTTCTTCTCCTCCACTCTACCATTTTCCATTTCCTCAAAAAGTTTTCTTCATAACCACCTCCCCTTTAAGATCATTTTCACCTTTTCAAATTTATTTACTTTTGAGTGCAAGTTTTCTTACAGTTTTCCTTTCTAGCCAAAACTTTGGTCTTATGAAAACATATTCTGTAGGGAACATTCTTCAATGCCAGAGTTCATTTAGATTTATGAAAGGAAAACTTGTCTGTTAGCTAAGTTAAACTAAACTTTTAACCCCTCCTTTACCCCTTTCAATTCTTATCTTTAGTACCTACTAGGTGTGGTCTTTCTTCTTCTATTTACTCAAACAATGAGTCGCCTTTCTTTTTTTCCTTTCAACTTTCCCCCATTTCTCTCCTTTCTTTTCCCTATTCTCGATTCACTAAATCGTGCAAAGATTTTGCAGATGTGTTAGTGTAAACAATTGACAACTATTCAAGTTTTTTTTTATTTTTTAACAAGATTTAGATTACCGTAAATACTGTAATGGTACCCCACCCCCATAATGATGATGCGGAGTGTTGCGTAGTCTAGCTTTGAACGAGATTTTCTCGACACTGGTTTATGCTACAATGTGCACTTAAGTATCAAAAAATAGCTGAAATTCAGGGCTATTTTTTTGATACCAAAGAGGAATTTTTTGAAAGTACGGGCGTTTTGAAAAAAATGAAATACTAAAAAACTTTTGCGACTACGCGACTGTACGAGAGGGCGGTGGGGTACTATTATAGTATTTACGGTAGGTATCTTTTTATTATCGTTGAGCTTAATTTTCATATCGAAATCGAATTCAAGAAATCAATTTCAAGCTTCCTCTGTGGCACAATAAGCACTGAATTGAAATATGACACTTGTTCACTTGAAAAGTGTAATTGAATCCGATTTGAAGTATCGAATCTAGATTGTTTCCGGGAGAATAGGCTGGCTCATCTTATTCAATTTCATCGGGATCGAACCCGACTTGTTTGCACGCCGTTCGCGCGTGTTTGCATTGCGCTATCTCTGGCAGAAAACGAGGGGGAGTGGTTTTCTCTTAAAAAGATCCCTGTCTCAACATTTACAATCTCTTTACTCGTTTCACTTTTTCACTTTAATGAGAACAATGTTTACTTTTTGTTTCTTATCTTTTTGGAAGAAAGAAGAAGAGATTTTTGAAAGCTTTTAGCAGTCAATGATCATCTTCAACTTTCCTAGCTTTTTCTAGAGTTAGCTTCCTAGCTTTTTCTAGAGAAATCAAGCTTTCCAATTGTATCTTATATCCAAAAGTAGATCAAAACCCTTTCTAGCGTATTTGATCTTTCTTTTTTTTCTAGTAACGGAAAAAAATTAGTAAATTGATTGCACCAGAAAGGATACGTTTGGAAAAATGAATAGAAAATAGATCGAGAAGAGCTTATTACCTAGTTCTAGTTGTTATTTGTCGATCGATGACGGTGTGACAGAAAAGTGTCAAACACAGTCGCCAATCTTCTTCTCTTTATCAAAACTGCCCCCTTCTCGAAACAGCTTTTCAGTTAACTGTTGACCTTTAGCTTTTGCATTTGCGATTTGAAAATGAATGCTTTTAAATGTTTCAAAGTTTTGCAACAATTGTTGGATTTATACTAGTAGAATTTAACATTGATTTGCGAGCTTTTATCTTAAAAATCAGTTTGAAAAGTTTTAAAGTTGCCTTAAATAGTTTAAAGTTTAGAGTTTCCTTAAATAGTTTAAAGTATCCTTAAATAGTTTAAAGTTTCCTTCAATAGTTTAAAGTTTAGAGTTTCCTTCAATCGTTCAAAATTTAGAGTTTCCTTCAATAGTTCAAAGTTTAGAGTTTCCTTCAATAGTTCAAAGTTAGGCCTAATGTTTAGCTTATAGTTTAAGTTTCCTTCAATAGTTTAAAGTTTAGAGTTTCCTTAAATAGTTCAAAGTTTAGAGTTTCCTTCAATCGTTCAAAGTTTAGAGTTTCCTTAAATAGTTCCAAAATCCACGATTGATTCTGAATTAGATTCTTTTAAAATTAAAAGATTTGATTAGATTCATTTAAGATTTGAAAGTTGATTTGATTTATTTAAGATTAAAAAAGTTAATTTGGTTCTTTTAAGATTCAGAAATCTTTAAAATTATAAGTCTTCTACATAATTCTAGCATAAAGATTAGATTTTTTTTCGTCAACTTTACTCTTTTGTTACTCATCAACTTTACATCAACTTTACTCTTGTTCCCTAGGTAAACTCGTTGATCCCAGAATTGGTTGACAAATGGTTGCTAATTAATCGAATTTTTCAATATTGCTGTGCTTGATGTAAACGTAAAACAATACGTAAAGCTTGACGTAAAACATGCTTGTTTTACGCCGAAATCTCAACTTTCCATTGCTCAAATGGTCTTATTCAAATGGTCCTTCACTCAATGTCCCTCTTGTTCATTCATAATTCTTCATATCTAAATCCTTCTTTTTCCCCCACTCTTTCCCAAGCTGTCCATATAATTGGGTCTTTAGTCTTGGTCCTGGGCTTTCCCTTTTCTTTTGATGGATTGACCACTCGAACACCCCAATAAGCTCCCCTTCTTCATGCTCTTTACATGCAAACGGACTCTTACAAGCATTAAAATTGAGTTGAATACGATTTGCAATGCTTATTGATTTTAATTTCATTTAAAAGTTGTGCCTTAAATTAAACACATCTGGTGTACTTTTTCTGGTGTACTTTTTTCTGGCGTACTTTTTCTTTTTCTATTCTGGTGTACTTTTTTATTTTAAACAAAAATTTTGGCTCTTTTTCGTTTTTTACAGTTATTTAAATATTCAATATCTAAAGCTTTCAAAGCTTTTTTTTCTTTTTTTACTTTAGATTCTTTTTTACTTTCTCATTAAATTCGGATTATCAAAAATCGAGAATGAGAACATTTTTCTATTTTCGAATAACTTTTCATAACATTTTTTGTTTCTATTTTTTTTAATCTATAGATTTCTAGACAATGGACGACTCGGGCGGGATTCGGAATCTCAAATGTGTGCTGGTTGGGGACTCGTTGGTGGGGAAAACGAATCTGATCGTCAGTTACACGACAGGGCGATACCCATCCGAGTATAAGCCCACGAATTTCGACACCTACTCGGGTTTGTTTGGGGAAATTCGATTAACGATTTGAAATTCCTCTCATTGAGCCATAAATTCTCAAAAATTCTCTTAAGAGTGCCAAATTGAGGGGGGAAATCTGGGGGTGAAGAAGAAAGAGAAAGAGGAGGATTTTTGCCGATCGTTTTTGGGGTATTTCCGATGATATACGAGCTGTGATATCCCGCAATCTGCTTAATCTAATCCGGTTTTTTTTTCACAGTGCACAAGGGGGGAAATTTTTCGTTTGATATCTTTTCTTCAAAATCGCCGAGAAAAATTCCCAGGGAATTTTGCTTGTCTGAAAAGAGGAGAAAGAAGACAATTTCTTTGAATCAAGCTTCTTTGGGGGATTGGGAACTAGGGATTTAAACATTTTGAACTTTGAACACTTACAATTAGCCTGAGATTTGCTTAAAACGGATCAAAAATAGAAAAATCACTTAAATCAATCTCTTAAAACTAATAAATAATTTGGTTTGACAAATAAATAGCAAATAAAATAGCTAATAATGGCTAATGAATGGCAAATAATGGCCAATAAATAAATAATATGTTTAGCAAAGTGTTGAATTTTCGAAATTTTGATTTGACTTGGTTAGGTCTTACTTTTTTTCGTTTTTATGAGTTTGTTTTGCATTTTGAACCAATATCTAATCAAATCTTAGATCAATATTTATAGGTTTTTAAGTCAAGAGATTGATTTAAGGGATCTTTCTATACTTGATCCGTTTTAAGCATAAGCAAAACTCAGGCTAATTGTAAGAGTTTGTTTTGCATTTTGAACCAATATCTAACCAAATCTTAGATTAATATTTATAGATTTTTTTTCTTATTTGTGAATTTGGCAAACAGTTTCAATTTGGCAACAAAACTAGTTTCAAAAAAAGCACAAAAGTCAATTCAAAGTGTCCATCGAAATTTACTACCTTTCGGCTTTAGTTTTCAGGTAATAATGATTTTAATTCAATCAATCAATTGAATCCAATCAATCAATTCAATTTAATCAATCAATTCAATTCAATCAATTCAATCAATCAATTGAATTCAATCAATCAATTGAATTCGATAACAACAATCAATTCAACCACAATCAATTGAATCAATCAATTGAACAACAATCAATTGAATCAACAACAATTGAATTCAACAACAATTGAACAACAATTGAATCAACAACAATTGAATTCAATCAATGAATCAACAACAATGAATTCAATCAATCAATTGAACCAACAACAACAATTTAACAATCAATTCAATTCAATCAATTCAATCAACAATGAATTCAATCAATTGAACAACAATCAATTGAATCAATCAACAATTGAATTCAACAATTGAATCAATCAACAATTGAATTCAACAACAATGATCAATCAATTGAACAACAACAATTGAATCAACAATGAACAACAACAATGAACAACAATTGAATCAATCAACAAGAATTCAATCAATTGAACAATCAACAATGAATTCAACAATCAATTGAATTCAACAATTGAACAATCAACAATTGAATCAATCAATTGAATCAACAATCAATTGAATTCAATCAATCAATTGAATTCAATCAATGAACAATCAATCAATTGAATCAATCAATCAATTGAATTCAATCAATTGAATCAATCAATCAATTGAATTCAATCAATCAATTGAATTCAATCAATTGAATCAATCAATCAATTGAATCAATCAATCAATTGAATCAATCAATTGAATCAATCAATCAATTGAATCAACAACAATTGAACAACAATTGAACAACAACAATTGAATCAACAATGAACAACAACAAGAACAATCAACAATTGAATCAACAACAATTCAATTAACAACAACAATTCAATCAATTCAATCAATCAATTGAATTCAATCAATCAATTGAATTCGATTAATCAATCAATCAATTCAATTCCATCAATCAATTGAATTCAATCAATTGAATCAATCAATCAATTGAATTCAATCAATCAATTGAATTCAATCAATCAATTGAATTCAATCAATGAATCAACAACAATGAATCAATCAATTGAACAACAATCAATTGAATTCAATCAATCAATTGAATCAATCAATGAACAACAACAATTGAATCAATCAACAATTGAATTCAACAACAATGAATTCAACAATTGAATCAACAACAATTGAATCAACAATGAACAACAACAATGAACAACAACAATGAACAACAACAATTGAATCAATCAATTGAATCAATCAATCAATTGAATTCAACAATCAATTGAATTCAATCAATTGAATTCAATCAATTGAATCAATCAATCAATTGAATTCGATTAATCAATCAATCAATTCAATTCCATCAATCAATTGAATTCAATCAATTCAATTCAATCAATTGAATTCAATCAATCAATTGAATTCAATCAATTTAACTCAATTGAATTCAATCAATTCAATTCAATCAATTCAATCAATCAATTAAATTCAATTTATAATCTAGTTTATTGACTAGATTAAAAATAAAACATTTTTATCATGATTTTATCGTTTCAAGTTCAACGAAATCTTTAATTGTTTTGATTTCGCAAATTTTTAGTATTTTTAGTTGTTGTTCGAGTGGATCGGAAACCGATTCGACTTCAATTATGCGACACAGCTGGACAGGTGGGAAAGACAGCAATTAAAGGGATAATATTCAAAGAAAATATAAACCATAAGAATATCTAGTAGAACGCTACATCAGCTAATAGGCTGATGCTTTACTAGCTAGAAAAGCCTTTCCAGAAAACCTCGCTCTTGTTGGAGTGTAGTATAGTGGCTAAGTGGCTTCTCTCTCGGGCGGGTAGGCCCAAGTTCGATCCCCGATCGAGCACCCCCTAATACTCAGCAAATGGTTTCATCCATTGTTGTGTGATAAGGGTGCAAAAGGAAATCCCTGAGTGACCAATCAACGATTGTTGTGGGTAAACTCCAAGCAATCGTCAAGTATCACCCGACAAATTTTCGAGCTTCATCTTTTTTCCAATAAAATAGAACTTTTTCAAAGATAACTCACTGAAATTACCAATATTGCGTGCAACTGGGCCGAGCCGCTTCTGAATGTCGAGGTTCTCGGCTGCCTAAATGATTGTAAATTGTTGAAAAAGAGCTGGAATTGATTAGCATTAGAGTAGACTAACTAATTGTTGTTGAACTGTTGTTGTTGTTGAATAACAATAACTAATTGTTGAAAATCAATTGTTGAAAGTCAACTAATTACCATCAATTTCCTCTTTTGCGAGACGGGCATTGGTAGCTGAGAACCGACTCGTTTCATTTGGAGAATCGACGGGTTCGCGCGGAAGAATAAACGCATTGCGTTTTTATTTCTAAACTCGCGAAATGAAGTTCGACTTGTAGCTAAACAGAATTTCAACTAACGTCATTGGGGTGCTTGATGGGATAATTGGGACAACCATCGGGGCAACGCTTTGAGTGATCGGAGAAGAGCTGGGAATCGGCAGGAAATGATTTGTGGACGTTGTGGAGAAAGGTTCAACGATTTCATCTCTTGCTTCATCTTTCCCTTCTGCAAAACTTTCTCTTGCTCGGCAGACTAGCAATAAGCACGCGAATGGGGCGAGTGAGTAGAGCATTCTGGAATTATTTGAGATTTAGTGATTGAAATTAGTGGGCAGATTAAGTTGAAGATTAAGTTGGAGACTAGAATTTGGTTATTTTAACGATATCTAAAAGCTAGCTCAAGATATTCAACGATATCTAAAAGCTAGCTAAAAGATATAAATGAATGTAAAGCCGATGAGAAAACTAAATTTCCAAAATCGCATCTAGAATGGCAATAAAACCAAAGTGAGAGAAGTGGCGGGCGGCTTTCGAATTCGGAAATCGTAGTGGACTTCCGAAATCGAGCAAATCCCATCAAAGAAATCCCCGATTGACACGCCGATTCGACGATCGGCAACAAACATTTGATTGGATTGAAAAGAAAAGAAAAAAGGACTGAAAAGGACTGAAAAGGAGTGAGAGAGAGAGAGAGCACACAATTGAGGACACTCTTTCTCTTTTGGTCCCTCATTCCACTTTCCCTATCACTTCTTGATCCCAAATTTGACGCGTTCGCGGATTTCCGGCTGCTGTCCATTAAAAAAAAGCAAAGAAAAGGAAATTTCTCTTGATCGAAACGCTTGCAAATATGTCATTTTTGGATTTTGATATATGTAAAATATTTTAAAAATGAAAAATAGCAAAGAAAAAGACAAAACCAAAATCCTCTTACATCCGATTTTCAGCGACACTGTGCCCTTCGTCCACTCTGTTATCCAGGCGTCGACGTGATGCTTCTCGTTTACAGGTTATAGCGTTTACAGCAAACGGGTTTTTTTCAAATAAACCATTACAGCACTGTGGATCCGTGTTCATTTGAGGCGATTGTCGACTATTGGCTACCAGAAGTCACCCGATCCCAGCCTACAGTACCAGGTGAATCAAAATAAAAAAAACACAACTAATAATGGCACAAACGATGTCATTCAAGCTAGTGCAGATTTAATAAGTTGACTTGGGGCTTTAAATGGTATCGTTTTGCACGCTAGAACGTATGTTTGTTTGAGCGCATCTAACAGCATCGCTCATTCCAGTACAAGCATCAGTAGTCAAGCGAGATTAAGCGCAAATCTAATTTCTAATAATTTTCTAAAAACATTTCAGTGGTACTCGTCGGCACGCAGACCGATCGACGAAGCGATCCATCGATCGTGGCCTCACTGGCGAGAACTGGAGCGCATCCAGTAATTTAGTTCAAACCAAATTCAATTCGAAATTTTAATCCAAATTTTCCAGAAATTCCAGAACACTTTAAATCGAATTTTCATTCAGATCACCACCACCCGGGGCAAAGAGTTGGCCCAGAAAATGCACTGCGAGTTCGCCGAGTGCTCAGCCCTCACGCAGCACAACATCAAGCAGGTGAGACGAATGTTTTATTGGGAAAATACAGTTCTCCGGATATTCACCCATTTTCATTTCAGGTCTTCGATGCGGCCATTTTGTGTGCTCTTGAAGGGAAGAAACCCCCACGAGTCCCCTCAAAGGGAAACTCGGCCACCGCTCATGCAACTCGCCTCAAACAGGGATTTCAACGCTTCATTAACCTCACCAAGAAAATCATCTAACTTTAGTAGAAAATTTTATTCCTAGCAATGAATCAATCTAAACAATTTTTTGAAGGATTGGCATCTGAGCGGTGCCAACCCAAAACTTCTCTGTAAGCCATGTTTATACCTCTCACTTTTTAAGCCCTGTTATGTCTTCTTTGCAGATCACAAAATCCCAATATTTCCCATAGATTCCATGACTTTTATATTTTCTGCAGTGGTGCTTAATCTCTCCATATTATTGCGAAAATCTCATCTTTCACAAGCCTAAGCTGAGTATTACACATAAGCAAAAATGAATTGAGCTTGATCGATTTGTTTTCACTTCTTTTTCCTGAAACGATTCGGGTACTTTTGTATGCATTTTGAGCATGAATTTGTGTACACACTGATAAATAATTTTAATGACCAGAAAAACGAGCATACATTTTAATAAAGGCTATATGATTTAACAAGAGCAACTATAATCAACTAGAACTACGTAAAACCAAAAATGGAAACGATATAATTACAAAGGAATGAGAAAAACGAGAAACACAATGAAAACAACTTACAATCACAGACTTGCTTATGTAGAAGTACCCTCAATGGCTTGATCGAGGAATTGATCAATCTCCTCATCACTGATCGTACCCTAAAATAGCAATATTATTTTAGAAGAAAAGATTATAGCTTTGCTTAAATTTTGTCTACAGCAAGAACATAAAAATCATAGCTGCTAAATGTATAGGAAATGAAAACAAACAAACCTTCATTCATTGAATTTCATAGCGCAACATTAAAGTTTGTTGCTATGTGCTGATAATTTTTAGTGAAATAAAGTAAAAACCTGAAAGCTGGTGACGACTTCTCCTCCATGGAAAGCCAAAACAGTTGGCACGACGCCAACCTAAAAGAAACATTTAGTTATTTGTAAAAAGCTTTCATTTCTAATTCAATATTTCAGTTTTCCCGCAATCCTTGTATTATCTGAGCATAAAAAAATTACAATAAACGTTTTACCTGATAGTCCATGGCTAACTCAGCGGCCTCATCGATATCGACTTTGGCCATCAAGATCTGCCCGCCTCGACCTTGAATCTAAGGATACATAAAAATTACTTGAATGCTGGCTAATATCACCTTTTGTTCGAGTCTTGGCCCCAACATTTTGCATGGTCCACACCAATTCGCGTGAAAATCGACGATCACTGGAATCTAAACAAAAACATTAGTTCAGGATACCGTAGAAAACATTTCGTATATTTTTATAGCAAATAGGTATTTCATTATTTTTGTTAATATACAAGGTTCACAAACTTACACTAGATTCCAACACTTGTTCCTGGAACTCTTCGGCCGTTGACACACTAAAAAAGGTTTCGACGTTAAAGCAAGAAGGATTTTAAAACTTGACTATCATAAATCAAAACGATGATGCCTACTTGAAAATTATAGGTTGTGTCGAAATATCACATAGTTGTCGAGCGTGCATCAGAAGCGATTGGGACATGGCATGACGAGGAGAGTAGGCGACTAGTCGATAAAGAGATCCTGTCGCCAAGCGCATCATCTGTGGTACTCGTGACAACATCTAAACAAGGAAGCCTAGTCGTATAAGCTTTGAAAAAGTATTAAACAAAAATTCACACAAGACTTAAGCAAGTAATAGTGCGACATTACTGCTTTATCCCTCAATTTGACAGATGACAGTACTGTGCAAGTCAATATTATAGCAAATAGTTTATTGTATTATACACTACGATTAAGTAGTACTATTTCACCCATTCAAGCTTTTTTTTAATTGATTTGAAGGCTTAACAACTTTTTAAATGGTTAAAATATATTATCTTTATTGCAATAAAACTTTAACTTATCCACCAGACTGGGAACGTAAACATTTATTTAAAGCAACACAGACGAAGTTTGCCAAATTCGGCACTAAAAAACCCGCATTTAATATATGAACGGAAGACCAAATGAAGAAAAGGTTGCAAGATCACAAATAACATAGCTAAATAAAAAATACATATACAAGAATGAGCATTAACAACGGACATTCGAGTCTAGATTGGCTCGGTGACGGGCATAATTTTTTCCGTTTCCTTGTTGGTCTCAACAGCAGTCTCTTTGTCATCATTTCCCTCGTGGGGTTCAGTTCGTGCTGGTTTTGGCGATTCGGAGCGGATGTCCAGGTTGGCGAGCAGCGGATGCTTGACTAAGAAACAAAATTCATGAAATCTTTTTCACTTGTTATCTTAAAACAAGTCATAGCCCTTTTATAATTTAGCATTATCTCATAAGAACGCACCGAACGGAATTATTCCTTTGCTCGAGCCGGCTTTCACGAGCGGCAACTACAGTTGGAGTCATCATTTTTGGTCTGGACAAGCGTTCCACCCAGCTCAATGGCTAAAAAAATGCTTTTTAAAAAATCAAGTTAGTAAAACTTACGGAGGGATTAGTCAGACGCAGCCCGGTCGATTGAGGAGCTCGTTTTGGTGTGCCTGCTACTCCGCCTTGACGTGTTGGCTGTCCCAGTTGCGTAGGCTTGTTTGATGCAAGTCGTGAAACGTTTCCCATTCGCGTTACAGGAGTGACACCGGGTTGACGCAGTCCTGTTGGCTTTGGAATGACAGACGATGCGACGGGACGAGTGACAGATGTGTTTGCAGTTGGAACACAAGAAGCAGATTCTGGAGCTGCGCGAGTTGCTGGGACTGAAGTTCTCTTGACGACGGCAGATGATAAGGCACCCGAAGGACGACGCACTGAAGGCGCTGATGGACGACGAACTACAGGCACTGTCGGACGCTGAGCAGCTGGCTTGTTGACTGGTGGTACCTAAAAATATTTCAGTAAAAAATTGTTAAGGAATTTTTAAAACAAAGTTTTTTCTTCAAACCAACCTTTGCACCAGGAAGTACACGAACAGGTCCAGCCTTTGATGGTGGGGCGGCAGAAGTTCGCTTGACAGGTGCTGGCTTGTTGAGGCAAGGTGTTGGCGGCCTGTTCAGCTGTGGAGTTGGTAGCTTATTCAGCTGTGGAGTTGGTGGCTTAGCGAGACGAGAAACTGGTTCGGCACTTGGAGCGCGTCGAGTTGTGCTGGGAGCCCTCGCGGTGTGCATAGAAGTCGATCGTGAGCGTGAATGTGATGTCGACTAAAAGAAACACTATTAACCACTAATCGTACTTAAAAGCATACTTAGTTAATAACATCAGCAATAATAGATGCAAACGTTTGCTTACCAAATCCAATGTACGCCCTCGAATTTGAGGCTCAACTGATCCACTACGTGGCGTTGGTGGACGAGGAGTTGTCTTTGATGCCGTGAAGCGTTGGCGACCGATTGATGGTTTCTTGTTCGAAGTGGTGACATTTGTACGCTGAGCACTTTGTGATGGTGTGCGTTGACGAAGATTGTATCTATCGGATGGTTGCTGTTGCTCTTCCTTTGCGGCAGCTAAAGAAAAAAACTTTAATACGTGCTAACCATAGAGAACAAATTAAAACTTTATGTTAAATCAAAAGGCCCATACCTTTTCTTTCTTCTTGTTCGATCTGTGAGCGACGAATTTTTTTAGGCTGTTCACTGAACATGCTCAACTTCTTCAAATCATTGGCCAGGTTGTTGATTATCTCGGCCTCGTCTTCATTGTTCATCGTTTGATCCAACTCGGGAATCGCCTCAGCTTTCTCCATTTCCTCCTCGGGCACAAACTCCTAAACGTAAAAAAAGTGCTTGTTAAGTAAAAGCTTGACTTACAATTTTCAGCATGTGCTTGTCGCCGGCTGGACCAGGTGGCATGTTTTCGGCATCGTCAGACTCGAAGTCAGCTAACATAAGAATATTTGCTAATTATAAGTTTTTTGAACTGCTAACATACTCCGATATATTCTTACAAATTTTTTCATTTTCTAATCTATCTATAGCTTGCAATTGTTTTTAGGCAATTGCAATTTAGTTTACGTTAGATTCTCAATGAAAAAACAGCGCAATACCTTGAATCCCGCTGCTGCTTCGCTTGAAGAAATTTTCGACCACTGGGTCAAACGCATCGGAAGTTTCGGCGAGATGAACGAATTTGGGCACCGTGTTGAACTCGAAGTAGTGGTCGACTGCGTTGTTCATCTTATCTAAACATTAGCACGTTGATTTACCCGTACAAAGTCTAAAGATAGTGAGGGATAACGAAATAATAAATAAGTTAACCAAAAAGAAAACAGAAAAATTGACAAACAAAAGCAACGAAAAAGGGCCTAGCTTTATCCGACCTTTAGCTTGTACCGTTCCAAAAGCAAGTCCGATGCATCTTCAAATGTTATCTTCTTCTTTTTAAACTCGGCAACAAATTCTTTCCTCAGTTGACTCATCGTTCTTCCATCAAACGACTCGAAACTCAATCGTATTTTTGCAACGGCTTCTCGAGAGATCATATCGACGTCACAAACAGAGTTTTGGCCATCATGCGAGGGTAAATCCGTAGTGGGTAGGTCCAGTAACGGCAATGAATTAACGTAATTCATCAAGTCATCCAAGTTCTCATTGTAGATCCACGAATCATCCGAAATCTCTAATGCTTCATTAAGTCTGCGAATCGTTTGCTCCTCAACTTGCTGTGGGGACCGTCTTTTGGCATTTCGTGTCAAACAATCTGCCAAACTGCAGCTTACACAAATTGAGACGAAATTCAGCCCAAATTTGTTGGCCATTCGGTGAAAGACTCTTCTCATGCTCCTCAGGTAGCATACATCATCGACAATGACCACCGCTTTCTTGCCTCTTATCGTTTCGCTGTGTAGTTCCAAATAATGCCTGACTTCTTGCTCACATTTCTTCCGGTACTCCGCGTAAATCGTTGACTCAATCGGCAGCAGGTCGAACGAGAAGACATTTGTTGATATTCTCTCGGAAATTCGTCGAACGAGCGTAGTTTTGCCGGATGCAGGTAGACCGTAGAGACATATGAGCGTCATCGGCGTCGAAACTGGCGGGAATTCTATCGGAAGTAAAACGAGAGAAATGAATTTGAATGGAGACTTTCTTCTTTTTGCGAATGTCGAGAAAGGGTACGGTATGGTATTGCAAAGAGCGCGTTTTAAATTAGCAAAACTTTTTGCGATTACTATTCAAGTGGGAGGTTTTAAGTTGAACTTCGTCTTTTTTTTATCCAAAGATTTAACCACACTCAAGTTAGGGTGAGGTTTCTGCACTATTTAAGTGTGTTAGTGAACTAGGTTACTGACAGTGAGATTTAAAAAAAAATTTTGTTGCAGATTTAAAAAAATGAATGTAAGCTGCTTGCTTTGAATTCGAATTGAATTGTTTGAAACATTTAAAAATTCTTAAAATAATTCTACCGAAAGTTGGAGCCCATCTCCGTTTCATCCAACTACCTAACCTAATAGACCCATTCGATTCTGTATAATGCTCATTTTCAACCGTATTCACATACATTTCGTAATAAAATTGTGCATAACTCTGACAAATATTTATACGATTAGAAAACAAACAAAAAACGACCCGGTATGATAAAATAAATAAAGCTTTTGAAGCCAAGCTTGTATTTGTTGTTTTTTAGGATGAGCCAACAACAAAAGTCACAATGACTATTAACGATTGACAATATGTACAAAATTATAAGATCACCAAGGATCACCAAGGATTACAACCAAGGCATTCCGGGCGTTGTATATTTGAGGAATTTCTGAATCTTCTGCATTTGTTCGAACTCCTTGTTCGGATTTGTTTCTCGCATATAGTCTGCAGTTCTTGAATCCAGCGCGCCAGACCTAAATTCAGGAATTTTTCATATGATTCACCAGCGTCCTCCTATCAATCATCTTTTCATGCCTCTTATTCAAAGTCAAAAAATAACAAATTCACTTCACAAATCCCTTGTACATCTCTTTTGCTTGTTCACACACGAGGTGGGCATAGTAGAGCGGTGTAGGTAACGAGACGGGATGAGCACAACGAGAGTACAAGTAGCATAGGTTGTGCATCATATCCTAGAAACAAACCATTAAAGTCACACGAATCAAACTTTGACTTACCGTCATTTGATCGACTCCCAACTTCCACGAATCGTATAGAACGATGTAGCGAGCAGGGCGCGTTGTCCCCTAAAATTACACTTTGAAGCCAATTAAGACCGTAACTAACAATCTGTCCGTAGTGACTCGCTAAGTAGAAATCATAGAGTTCTGGATGAACAATTACACTGTCAACGAGTGTACCAGCAGGCACATTACCGGCCTCACTAAAACAAATGTTGTTCAAATTCAAAGAGCTTTTTTTACACTGTTGCTTTTCAAAACAACGAAACAAACTTACCCATCGGCGTTATCCTTGTATTTTGGGTAAACTCTCACAAAGTGTCTCTTCTGAACGCACACATAAGTGAGGGTGATCGATGTCTCGGAGAAGTGATTTTTCAAAGCTTTCTAAAAATAATGAATAAAATTATACAAAAAAATTTTTAACGTACCTCGATCCACATCAACTCTTTAGAGGCTGTATTTTGAAGTTCACCTTCACTAACACCATCTCGCAGAATGACAATATGCTTGGGGTGTTTGCCAGTGTACTAAAAAAATCAACCCGGTACTTGCAATAAAACAAACCTCAACAAATTTCGTGATCGTTAGAGCAAAGCGATTGTCGTCGAAATTGACGATCGTTTCTTTGGCAGCAACTTGGGGAATAATTTCACAGGAATATCTAGAACTTTTAAAAAAGAACTACTTATATAAGACCTCGTAGCAGCTATATCATAATTTGCGACAATGCTTGCAATGCTCAAACCCTCGTAGCCACAATGTGCAGTTGGATGAGTCACATCAATACCTAAAAAGATAGCTTATAGTAAAAACGTGGTAAATACAAAACCTAAGAAAATCGTTGGCTCTTTCAAGAAGCATAAAGCTGGGTCACCAATTCGACACCGTGGTTGCCCAAAACCTCTAAAATTTACGTTTAAATTTTTACCGAAACATCTTTTTAAGATAGGTAGTCAAGGAAATAGGATATTCTGCCCATAGCTTAAAAACCCCACTCTGCTGCACTCAAAGCATGTGTAACACCTCCTAATTTCGCGTTGATTTTCATACTGAGATGCCAATAAATGCCCCTAAATTAAAATGAAAATGAAAATGATTTTAATAAAAATTAGCTCTTCTCCCTTGTGTATAGCTTTCCGAACGGTGTCACAATCGATAACTTGAGATACGACCTCTTGTCTATTCATTTCAGCTTTCATATATCCTAAATTTATGTTTTGAGCATGCGAGTTGAAATATTCACCGTAGAGATCAAGCTTTCGTTTAGAGATGCAAATCAACAAAGTTTGTGCGTCCTGAATTTTGAATGAGGAATCAAATTGAAACGGAACAAACCTTGTCCTCGCGTTTTATCTCATCGAAATCGGCCTTAATCTCTCTAATTTTCATCGGGAGTTCTCGTTGATATTCCTCCGTATGCACTTCCCATTCGGTCTGCCGAAATAAAACTTTGCATATTGCCTAACCTAAAGGTACCCATAAAGGTGGTCCTGTATCAACTTGAATCCCGCGGTCTCGACAAACTTTTGCAAGATTTTTGTAGAACTGTCTAAAAGCCCAATAAGATTGTTTAAAGTAATAGAACTACTTGACATCCTCAACGGGTTGCACCGGTTCAGTATTATCAGTAGAAGGGCCCCGATCTGATGCAGATGGAGCCTGGTCCCACATAGTCATCAGCGAGAAATAGACTTTCTTCGGTGGAACTTCTAGGAATTTTATCAAGCTGAAACCACGGTGTTCCCTTGCAAGCGGTGGTATTTCTCCATCACTCTGAAATTTAGCATCAACTTTATGGCCAAACAAGACTAAAGTCTCAGTGAAATCATCAATAAGATTTTACTAAAATGTAACTTACTGATTTGATAATAGGTGCTTCGAGAATTTGTCCTTCACATTCGACATTCTCCGGGTCAACATAAGTCTAAACCAAAAAAAGCAAAATGTGATGTACAAAAGGCGCAACTAGACTAACCCCAAATTCGGCGAGAAACGGGTCCACCAATTGTTCATCGCTCGAGGAGTCTGGATGGGCAAACTTCATTGATCTCTTGATGCTTTCGGTGAACTGCTTGTGGCTAACGGGCATCCTGTTCTCTCCTGGATCTTTCATTTGAATTGCCGGACGCGTACAAACCTATAAATTAAATAGCTAGTGCTCTGAAAACTAACAAGGATTTCGAAAAACTTGCTCGAATAAAACGATTCTTCATTTCAAAACTGAGCATCTTTGTATAAGCTTGTGGAGTGTCATGAGTAAACAGTAACTAAAATATGGTATTGAAGTGCAGTAAACAAAAAAATGAACTTCAACGGGAACAAGATTCTTTCGCCCTGCTGCAACTTGAACTTCAGCCAAAGGAAGATCAGGAAAACTAAAAATTTGTATGTTCTGCTCAAAAATGAAACCTTACTCTAGGGGGTGTCCAAAGTCTGAATAAAGCCGCGCCAGTGACATTTCAATCCTCTTCCCGCAGGGAACTCGCATAATGTTAGCTGTAGGCCCAAATACGGCAGGCTCAATTTCCCATTCAATAGGCGGCCCTAAAAATGTAATATCGTGTTTTTATGGAAAGAATTATTTACTTCTCCTTTTCTCCTTTGCTGGTTTCGGCCACCTGGGCGTTGCACATAAGGGGGTGTGGGTTCATTTGGAGACGCCTAAGGAATTTTAAATTTCATTGTATGTCTTTACTTCTTACCGCGAATGGATTATGCTCAATCAGACCAAGGAATTTGTAGTGTCGCGTGACCAAATCCCATCTAATCTCTCCATGTCGCGCACTAAAATAAAATTTATCCAAACGACGGTAGTCTTTAGAACTTACCTATGTCTGTCAAACACCAACACTGGCTTCCCTTTTACTCTGGTATCTTTCAAAGTTGCGGAAAATTTTTTTCGTTGATCTTCGCTCATCGATAAACGCCTTTCCTAGAATAACTAGGTGAATGCGTCCTGTGTTTTCAAATATTTACCCTAATTTCATTTTCAAGAGCCCCGTCGCTCAATCCATTGAATTCGTTGATAACCTTAAGATAATACATAACGAGATTCATATCAAGGTCGCGAAAGAGTTGGTTGACAACTAAAATAAAGCTGAATACACTTTCCAAACCCAAAAACCAACGCCCAAAGTTCATCACGGGGTGATAATCCTCCATATGTTTGAGACTCGCATATAGACCAATCCAGGCATGAACAGCGGGGGCTATCTGTAAAAAGAATTATAAGCAAAATATCGGAGCATGTGATGTTGGGGGAGGGCTTTTTTTCTTTCAAAAACACTTTTTCTGGGGTAGTTTTATGCATAAATTCCGAAAAACACAACGAGAGCTTGGGAAAATGCGTTTTAAGCCGAGTTTCGGGGCTTCAAAGTGAGCGCTCATATAGTGTGATGCTCGCCACACACATAGGGAAGAGGTCTAAAAATGGGCTCTCAAAACATTTTTGAAGCCAAAAACACTTCTTCTGGCATAATTTGATTACGTTTATAAAAAAATAAAAAATATTTTTTTCCAGATTTCGATCATGTGGTCCCTCACATGATTCAATCGGTCAAAACTCAAAAAATATTTTCTCAATTTATTTTTGCCTCTACCAGTCAATTTAAAGTTAGAAAATGAATATTTAGTGGTTAAAAATGGTTTTGGCCCTAGTTTTGACTTTGAAAAGTGTCCCAATAGTCGATAGCTTGAGCTCCATATAGTGAAGTACACTACGGAGGCGCGCACTTTGGAGCCCCGAAACTCGGCTTAAAACGCATTTTCCCAAGCGCTCGTTGTGTTTTTCGGAATCTACGCATAAAACTATCCCAGAAAAAGTGCTTTTGAAAGAAAAAAAAGCCTCCTTCCCCCAACATGATATGCTCCAAAATATCGTTGATAAGCTTTAATTACCGGGCGATCGTAGCCTGGGTACTTCGAAGGATCGCGTGGAATTTTGTAAACACTATTCTTGTAAGCGGTGAAGGTATCAGACATTTTCCTAAAAAGAAAAATAAAAAATAAAAATTAATGTACATACTTGAAAAGAGTAATGAAATCGGGTGAATTGTTTGCTGCAGGCGAAAATGAGCCCGGTGCACAAACATGAATGGGAAATCGAAACTATAATAAACAACAATATTTTTTTAAACTCACTTCCCTTTACCTTCTGTATGAATAGAGCTTTCCCAAAAGTGCTAGCTTCAACTCCTTCTCGATCACTCGCGGAGAACCCTTTTCGTGCTCCAAGCATCACCCGCAGTGGTGTTCCATTTTCAATGGCACTTGATGTAACGTGCATGTAGATAGTAATCTAAAAACTACAAATTTAATGTGAAATATTTCTAAATTACCTCTTTGTCCCGTGTCATTTCTTCAGGTTTTTCCGGCCATAGTAACTCCGAGGGAATATTTTCTTTGGTTTTATAGTCGAGCATATCCATTTCAGGATCTCTCAAATTGGGTGGTCGAATTGAGTCAGCAGCCCAGAAAAACTTGAAGTCATCGTAAATCTAAAGAAGATTACGTTATTGTGTTTAACTAAAGTTATGCATGAAATTGATACTAGCAAAGAACTTACTATATTAAAGACATTTTTGAAGACATCAGTTCGACGCGAGACGATATACCAAAAAGCCAGCCGACGCTCCTCTCTAATTCGGCATCTTCAAAAAATTTTTTTACTAGATACCTTGTTTTAAACGGGAGTAGTTTTGGTTTCGGAGCGTAATTCTGGTCTCTCTTTGGTTTAGCTTGCTTCAGTTCACCGATCTCCACGTTATACTTGCGAAACTAAAGAGACTTTTATTTTGCAGTTGTAATAGATATTATTAAGCTATTCACGTTTTAAACAATAAATTCCAAGGTTTCCTATTAAAATTTACATTGACAAATGCTACAAACCTGTCTGAACATATCATCCTCATTGCAAAACTTCAGTCGGAAGAGGTTTGTGATGAGCGCGATTGTAGTTTTGTCATTTTTGGTCCTGTGCCCTGGTCGCTTCTCCAACCTTATGAGCGACATCTTGATCCTAAAAAGGAGAATCTGAAAAGCTGCTGAAAGCTTAAAAGCTACTCAAATAAACAAACACATTTTATCAAGGCACATAGGAATGAGTCAGAAAAGGCACTTCACCAAAAAAAAGTAAAGAAAATAAAGCTCGCAGGCTCTGAACAGAGATCATTTATTGAGTACTCCAAGCTTTACTTCTAATAACTTTTTAGTCGAAGTAATAAAGAGGGCTTTTTTTTTATTTTAATGTACTCAATGCTTTGCATAGTGTTGTTGTTTCAAATTACCTACGCAATTGATCACAGGTTTTCAGTTCTCATCTTTACTCAACTCTTCGAATTTATACCGGTTTCCAGAGCAACAATGGGATTTTTCAATGATTAGTCTAAGACTGTTCTCTCTTCACATATCACATTTCTGTTCAACTCTCTACGACTTCAACTCATATCCGGGAGTTGAGATCTTTCAAGATTGGCGTCATTTAGGCACGGGTTTTCTAGAAAAAAGTATTTGATGGCCGTTATCGCTAAATAAATGGGGGACTAGCAATTTCAGGGTACTGATAATGCAGAAGTGGTAAATCGGATTTTCGAACGGGAAAGGGTTAGAAAATTGATAAAGGCACTTCACCAAAAAAAAAGTAAAGAAAATAAAGCTCGCAGGCTCTGAACAGAGATCATTTATTGAGTAGCCCGAGGTGTAGAAAGTTGCCTTGCTGCGCTATGTGCTTCGACATATGATAAATACAAGATGCAACTTTAAGTCCAAGCATCTCGTTATGGAATGGCTATCGTATCACCTATACGGGCTCGATTACAGGGATTAGGTCCAACAAATTCGAGGGAAAAAAAGCTCAAGCAATCTACTGGAGATCGAACTCTTTATAGTATTACGGTATGCTCCAAACGATTCCACAAGAGTCCTGATTCCATTAATTACAGAGCACTATACAGTGCGCCGAATGGTCAAGCTCGATATTCCAAGCCGATCGCCCTTTGATCGTGGTGGCATGAGAGGATTAATTTTGCCAGCGTGTAGCCGGCGACCGACTCGAAATGATAAGGGTTCTCTATAAAAAGGTAAAAGAAATCAGTAAAAACGTTTTTCCACGTTTCTTATCGCTTCTTTGCTGGAATACAGTTTAGCTTCTTGGAAAAAGGCTTACGTTTGCATTTTGTACAATTTTTTCTACACTTTTGTTTGTTCTATAACTAACGAGTGTCTCAAAATTCCTTAAAATTACAGGTATGCGAACTCTGATCTTGCTTGCCGCGGTTGCGGCCGTCCTCTATGCGGAGGTCTTCCGCATGCAGACCCGCAAATCGCCATCCAACATCGCCCGCATGATCAAGTAAGCTATCCCTCTCAATAGGCGCTAATAAGTAAAAAAACTTTGAAATTCAATTCACCTACACATTTTCCATTTTAGGGCCGGAACATACCGTGACTTCTTGGCCCAAAAGCATGCCCGCAGAGCCGTGCTTGCCTCGGGTTCGCAACCCTTCCTTGACTACTACGATGACTTCTACCTTGGAAACATGTCGCTCGGAACTCCTCGTAAGTTGATCATCGATGAAACTATTGACTACTAAGAAATCCTCTCAATTACTGACACTGACATACCAAAGCTAAACTATTGACAACTCTCAATTTCAGCCCAGCAATTCACCAACATCGTGCTTGACACTGGATCATCCAACTTGTGGGTGATTGATGCTGCTTGCAAGTCCCAAGCCTGCAAGGGATACCCCGACTCTGGCTACACCAAGAATCAGTATGACAGCACCAAGTCGAGCACCTGGGTGAAGGATGGACAGCGATTCTCGATTCAATACGGATCCGGATCGTGCTCTGGATACCTTGGAGATGACACCTGCTCATTCGGAGGACTCACCATCAAGGACCAAAAGTTCGGACTTTCCCAAACCATCGCTGAGGTCTTCGGATACCAACCAGTTGACGGAATCCTCGGTAAATGATCTCAAAACAAAGCATACATTAGTAAAATTTCTAGGACTTGGCTGGCCATCACTCGCCGTTGACAAGGTCGTCCCACCCATGCAAAACTTGCTTAACCAACTCGATCAACCAATCTTCACCGTGTGGATGGACCGTGTCAAGGACCATATTCCCATGGGAGAGAACGCCGGTTTGATCACCTATGGTGCTCTCGACCCAGTCAACTGTGATGCCACCGTCACCTACACACCTCTCTCGTCCACCACTTACTGGCAATTCCCCATCGACGGATTTGCCGTCGGAAGCTACAATGCCGCCAAGAAAGACCAAGTCATCTCTGACACCGGTACCTCATGGATCGGAGCCCCATCCGCCGCCATCCAAGGAGTCGTCAAGGCCACCAAGGCTCAATACGACTTCTCAAACGAGTAAGCAAAAAATCTGGGAACACTAAAACAAGCAAAATATCTAGGTTGTACTACGTCAAGTGCACCCAAATGGAGCAGCTTCCCGATCTTGTCTTCACCATCAGCGGACAACAGTACAACGTAAAATCGGTCCACTACGTCGTTGACCTTGAGCTCGGAAATGGAAACTGCGTGAGTTATTGAACAACCAGAACCTGCGAACTTAAAAATTTAAAAAGCTAGTCCCAAAGCAAGCGTTTAGGCTTTGACTTTCTTCGAGATGGACGGAGGTGGCTTCAACCCCGCTTGGATCCTCGGAGACACTTTCATCCGTGCCTGGTGCAACGTCTACGACATCGGACAAAAGGTATCCCTAATTCTAATCTTTCCAATACACTCATTCAATTTCAGCGAATTGGATTTGCCCTCGCTAAGCATAAGAATGCTTAAACAAATGGAGAATCTATTGATGATTGTACAGAGTCCGATAAAAACCAATAAAAATTTTGCCTCTAACCGTAACCCGATTTTATTGCACCTAAAAGTCACAAACAAGAAGCACACACAGAACTTTGAGACTTACTGATAAGAAAAAGGACCAGAAGTCGGAGTGCCACTAAAAGTTAGAAATTACAACCGTGAATCGTGAAACGTGCGATCGTAATATAAATTAAATAATGCATTTTATTGATATTTGAAAAATAAATATTGATCTGAATATTTAAAAAAGGGAATGAGATACAAATTGTGAAAAACTCGGAAAATAAACGCGTAAGCAAAAGTTCTTTTTCGGGACTCGTAAAAGAGAAAGAAATGAGAGATTAGGGGAATGTATGAGAACAGCGACACACACTCGCCGAGAGACACAGAGAATACCAATCAAAGATTTTCAAACAAAAAAATAAAAAAAACGTAACGAAGTGTGAAGTTAAAGAAGTCGGACTTGATTTTTCTCGAGAGCTGGTAAAATTGACAGCAAAGGCAAGAAGTAAATGTTTTCGCGTTGCATTGGAAGAAGCAACTAAATTAAAGAAATATTTGTCAGAATGTCAGATATTTTAAATTGTGCAAAATTTGCAAAAAACAATCCCAATAAAACTAATTTAAACTTTCGAAGGTATGTATGATACTCACCTCAGAATTGGGATCATCTCCTTCGGGTACGGCTACATCTTCAACGTCGTCGGACTCGACAGAAATGAACACCTGTTACAAAATGATACAAAAGCAGCGGAAAAAACAGATTACCCGCTCAACCGAAAGATCTTCTGAAGGAACCGGAACCCTCGCCAATGATGCTGGGAGATGTTGAGTGATTGTAGAGCTAAACACGGATGTTTGTGCTGTCGCAAATCGATGCGCAAACTTCTAAAATCTCAAAATTAATATTAAATTGTCAAAGTAACCAATTCTTCTTCCGACATCAGAGGTGGCTTATTTTTTTCGATTCCTTCTTTATGTTTCTCTAGCAAGAAGATTGGATTCTCCTCTATTTTCTTCAACCTGAAAACAATCAGTTAAAATCTCGAGACGAAATAAATACCGTAGGCGCATATAGCTGTTGATCATATAATTTAGCCGTTGAAGTTCTAATCGATGAAGAGACACTTTGATGTGGGTCTAAAGGAAAAAAAATGAACCTTGAATCGTTAATGTTTTCTTGTTCAGTTTTGATATAGTTTTAAATTAAACACCAATCAGAAAAAAACTTACTCGATCTTGGACGGTCATTAAATTTTTATCCATCTCCTCAATCTGATCAACAAGACAATGTACAAGTTCTAGCCGACTCTGTAGCAAACAAGGAGAAACACTTTCCGAATGCCACGCAGTTCTCATATCCGCCACAACCTAAAAACACAAGATAAAGATGAAAAATCTAGCTAAGCAATAGTAAGTGAAAATTAAAACAGCTACCGTAATACCTTAAAGAGATCATTTGGCTAAAAGTAACGTAACACTAGCTGTTTCATTGCAGTTTTTTTTGACGAAACACCCTTATAAACTTGCACGTTTCTTTTATTGTTACATGAGATTTACTTGTGCTGGTGTTATATCGTCCTCGTTGTCGTCCATTTTACTATAAAAAACATTTAGTTAATAGTGTCCCGATTCTTAAAGTAGAACAGTTGATATCAAAATTGAATTCAATCGCGTCTTTTAAAACAAAAATTGGAAATTTAAATTTATTAACAGAAACATTCACATCTTAAATAATTTAGTAGAACCGATAAAATTGCAAAACAAAAGATCGAGCACAATCAAGATCAATTTTGGTGAAAATAAATACCAATGAGATTTTAGACAATTATTCTTGCTTTGTCGTCGTGTCCATCGGCGCCCCTAAAATATTCAACTTTAAAATGTAAAAATAATTTTTTGAAGTTTGACAAATAGTTTTAGAAGATACGATGTGTAAAAGAAAACAACACGCAAATATGCTCAATTCAGACCAGAGGTGTTGAAACTAGCGTTGAAGTGTATTTGAACGCGCTAAAAGCCTATCCACAAAAGCAAAAGCATACACCAATCCAACGAATGGTGGTATTGAAAGACCGCTTACCTAGATGCATCGGAGGAGTGGCGGCGTCCGCATTATCCACGGTTTGTTGCCCGGCCGATGATGGTTGTTGTGGTGGCGGACCTTGTCCCGGAGCACCCTAAATAAAATATTATCTAGTGGTTTTTAAAAAATTGCATAATAAAATAGAAAAGAGCAAATATGAGCCAACCTGTGGATATCCATAAGGAGGAGCCGCTCCTTGGGGTGGATAGGGGTAGCCTTGTTGCGGTGGATACCCCGCGCGCGGTGGTTGGCCAGGAGTTCCTTGTGCTGGTGGATATCCTGCCCCCGGATATGGTCGTTGTTGTTGAGGAGGATATCCTTGTTGAGGATAACGGGGATAGCCAGCATGTGGCGGTCCAGGCGGATATTGGCCGGCAGGCGCACCTCCATATCCTGGATGTCCTAAAGTAAAATCTATTTTAGTGACTTGAAAGTTAACGGACCCGGAGGATATGTGCCAGGTTGATGTTGTGGGGGGTATCCTTGTGGAGTGCCATAAGGAGGAGCACCGCTGCTTGGATAAGTGGCTGTGGATGGGGCTTGTGGTGGTGGCTAAAATAAACTTACTGTACAAAAATTTGTACTTCGACAATCATACCTGCGATGGTGGGTATTGAGCTTGTGGTTGAGTTGTTGCAGCAGGTGGTGGATTTACTGCGGTTGTTGTCGTAGATGGAACTGGGGCAACAGGTGGATTTTGCGTGAGGTTTTCACTTTGGCTTGGTGGGGCGGTGATTTGAACTTGTGGAGTCGGTTGAGGAGGCCCTGTGACTTCGAAGCCTGGTGGTAACCCTAAATATCGATATTAAAACAATAAAAGTAAAGTAAAATAAATTTTAAAAGATGCAAGTCTACCTGCTGGCAAAGATCCAGCTGTTTGGAGTTTATTGTGTGCCTCGTGCTTGGCTCGGTTCTCCAGGTATCTCAGTTGGTCCATATGGAAAGCCTGTCGCTCAAGAATCAATTGTTGTCGTTGATATTCCAACTGAAACAGCAATGATTATAAAATGGAAAAATTCACTAATTTACTGCTTCGCGTTCTTTGTCCATTATCGCCTCAAGTTCCTCAAAATGTTGGAGTTTCTTTTCTAATTTACGCATCTGCGTCTCGACGAGTTGAGCCACAAGTGATTTGATTCGTCTTTCTTCAAGTTGGGCCAAATGCTAAACCAATGTTTTAAAACAATTTTGCAATAAATATTACCTTCGCTTTTGTTGCCGCTGCAGCCAAGGCAGCAGCCGCTGCACTCTGCACTTTTTCACTAATAGCATTCCTGGCTGCAGATTGAGCTAAAATGAACTATTGCTTGAAGTACGGTAAAAAAAAATACTCTCTCCTTCAGCTGGTCTGTCGGAATCCATTTGTTCACCATTAGTACCCTCTTTGTCTTCAGATTTTTCACAAGCTGAAGGAAAAAATAACTGCATAGTCAACTTCTAAACAAACCATCATCAGCGATTCCGCTTTTTGCAAGTCCAGCCTTTCCATCAATGGCCCCAGTCTTATCGAAATGCTCTTGTACATTCTTGGTATGAGCTTCAAGAACAAGCGGAGGAACCTCAAAATTTTTAATATTGAAATGTGCGATACAAAACACTATTGAATTTAGCCTTAACAAATTATCTACCTCATCTTTAATCTTGCCAAACTCCTCAAGAGCGGCTTTTGTGGCCGCGGATGCAACACGTGGATCAACAACAGAGGCAAGGAAAGCAACCGTCGACATCACTGGATTTCCCGTCTGCGAGAATGGAACCGGTTGATAAGCCAATGGGCCTAAAATAAAGACATGTTCTTGATTCTTCCTCTCATCTCTCTTATGGGGGTAACAAAAACGTACCAAGGACGCTTGGACCCGGATTTTCTGATGGCTCCTCTTTCAAATAAGGATCTTGAATTGGCAGTTGAAGGAAACGCATGATACATTCGTCTTGTGTTCGCGTACTCACATGATCAGCAACCTGAAACAAGCGAGTATAAAAGCTGACAGTATAAAAACGGCAAGCGAACCTTATTCCAATCGTCTTTGAACATTTCGAGACCCTCAAGCAACATCAATGTCTCTTGATCGGTCCATTCGCGTCCTGGAGCGGCTCCTTTTGCTTTCATTGCCGCCAATTGCTTTGCATATTGATCCGTTTTCAGTCCGAAGTCGCCAATTTTCTCTTTCAGTTGTTGGTCACCAGATTCTTCTTCTTCTTTCTTTACTGCTTCGGTTGTGAATGATGGAGGCAGTGGTTGAATTGGTTGAACTCCCATCGGCGTGTCGGCCAAAATCATGAAATGAGATGTAGGTGGTGGGCCGATAGGAGCTGGACGAGACTCGGAATCCACCTAAATATTTACCAGTTTCCTCAGCTATTAAAAAATTTTGCAGTCTTAGTTAGCTTTAAATTTTGCATCAAAGTCCCACCTGATAGTTGATCAAGCCCCATTGTTCGAGGAATTGATGAATACGCATGATCGAGCACACGTCACCGGCTAGATTTCTTCGGCAAGACGTCGCAGAGAGGTACTCGAATGGGTTTAGGCGATATGTATCAATCATGAAGTTTCGATAGGCCACAAATCTAAAAGCAACAAGTTTTTATTAAAAACAAATGTTTATCTATCTAGTCTAAAATTTAAAACCTACACTTCTGGTGTCTTGCTTTTGTTCTTTCCATTGAAAAATTCGGGTAACGCTCTTTTCTCGATTTGGTGGATGGCATTATAATCAAACCTAAAAAAAATTAAATTTTAAAACTGGTTAAAGAGACTTACCAAGATGAATAACTTGGCACAACGACGTAGTGTGTTTGTTCGATGACGTTTCCTTCTGTTGGCTCCTAGAAATGAATTTATGAATGCCGAGCTTTAAACAAGAATCAAAAGATAAATCTTCTCATAGACCTTAAGATATTCCAACTGGTTGATAAATAAATTTCTAGCTTGTGTCTTGTATTTAAAGCTGCATTCCTAAAACTTGTATCAACCTTTTTTTTCTTTAGGTAAACTTTAAGACCAAAAAGGTTACCTTTCCATTCGTTTGGCTCTCCTCGTCGAGATCAACAAGCTTTTGTCCCTTTGTTGGATTGAACTCGGGGTCTTTCTCTTTCCCTTTTGGCACGTTTACTGTTGATACTCCGTGATTGCTGTCTTCTCCGTCATGTTCCATCGCATCATCATCTTGGTGTTTTCTTTTGGCTCTAAACAGGAATACTGGTGCTAAGCTGGTTGAGGGGGGAAGAGTTCAATTTTTTCGAAATCTACTTCTTCTGGACCAGTTTCTGGTGCATAGCTGATTCCGAATTTCGACATTCTAAGTCCGGAAAATGCGATTTTATAAGCGAAAACAATTCTTTCAAAATATGTATTTTTAAGGGGTTTTATCCATTTAAAATGCAAATTCTTCGTTCCGATTCAGATCTGTGGCCCTAACAAGGTTCAACTAGTTTAAGTTCTTTATAAGCTAAAATAAATCACGGTAAGCCATCGATTCTTCGAATTCACAAGAAATGGTAAAACCAACAGACGAGCTTCGTGATCTAACGTTGACTTCTACGATTTGTTGGCAACTATGGGCCTCCTGCACAAGAAGCGCACGCGCCCTGTCTGCCGCTTAGCAAAAATGAAGAGATATGGGCACAAAGGCGACTTCAGATGGGGGTGCAATGCTCCACCTTGTCGTAAATTGGGAGGCAAGCACCGAATCGGCTACTTTGTTGCCACGTTCTTCGAGTCGACGCACATCACTCCAAAGAAAGCCTTTCTATTCGTCAACCCCTACCTTCAGTATAGCACACACAAGGATATGGCGCGGGAACTCAAAATCGCACATGGAGCAGTGGAAAAATGGTGTTTTCCAGCCAATGGATAAGAGATGTCTTCTCCACATGGCTCGCTCAACATCCAGGACAAATCGGTGACCCTGGCACTGACGTAGAGTTGCACGAAATCTGCATTTCAAAAAGAAGGTACAATCGCGGCAGGATTCCAGGTCAAAGAAGGATTTGGCCCTTTGGGGGCATCGGACGTGGCTCAAATCTCGGCTTCATGCAACTGGTCCAAAGACGCGATGCACCCACCCTGCTCTGTAAGCCTGCTTTCGACCTGGCAGCAACATTTTCACTAACTTGTGGGAACCTATGTTGGAATCCCAACCTTGCCTCAACTCTACCGCCACTTGACCGTGAACCACCAACGAAACTTCGTCAATCTAGCAAACGGAGCTCACACTCAGAATGTCGAGTCCCACTTCAAACGTCGATCCTCAAAAGACCAAATGACACCAATATCCGCTCCAATGACAAGTGCACCGACTACATCAATGAGTTTTGGTGGAAGCAAGAACACGAGCAAGATGCCTTCTTTCACTTTTGGGATCAACTTAGTGTCTTTTTTTTTCATGCGAATGAATTGGAAAAATAACTCCCAACCCAACTTTAGGGCCACAAATCTGAATAGGAACGAAAAATTTGGATAAAACCCCCCTTAAAAATACATATTTTAAAAGAATTGTTTTCGCTTATAAAATCGCGTTTTCCGGACTTAGAATGTCGAAATTCGGAATCAGCATGAAAAACTGGTCCAGAAAAAGTAGATTTCGAAAAAAATTGGATCCCCAACCGGCGTAGTATCGAAATATTAATAAGATGATAAAGAGAAACAAATAAGTTAAAGTTTTCTTTAACTCTTGCTTAAATTTGACAAAAACATACCCTTTTCGCAGTTTCGGCGTCGGTGTTGCACTCATTTTTTTCTATTGGGTCGAATTCTAAAAAAAAAATACAACAATCCCAAAAAGAAAGCAAAAAAGAGAATTCAAAGATTACTGTTTTCAAAAAAGAGCTGGAGAGAGAGGAAAAATCGATACCCAAGCCATCAACGCTCAACATAAAAAGTACCAGCGATTCCTGCTAAGCGCTTAGAATTTTAGCCTATTTCTGTGTTAAAGGTGTTTTAATCAAAAAAAGTCAAAGAAAACATCATCTAGGTTAGTTTAAAACATAACAACGCGCTATTCTTTTCGGCTTTTCAAATAATTTTTTCGAGTGCCAGGCAACCGCGCCTCCACCGCAACGCGACCGGTCGCGGCTGAAATGAGAGAAAAGGCCATTGGATAGGGTTGAGAAAGAAAGAAATAACCAAATCTACGCGGGGGTCAAACGTTAAGAACTTGTAATATAGAAGAGCAAAAGAAACATTAAATAAAATAAAACCTGTCTTAAGATATTCGGTTGTTTCATTAAATGTGATAATTTGTAGGAAAGGTGCATTTTAAAAAGTGCGTTTCATCATTCATACACTGAATTGGGGGTAGGCTAGTTTCCGCAATTTTTTTTGCGCAACTCGCCATAACTTTCTTCAAGGGGTCAATTTATGTTTTGGTTCCATTAAATTGTGCTTATCAAGATCTACAAAATGAAACCAAAATCATAAAGATTGGCCCACTTAGAAGAAAGTTATGGCGAGTTGCGCAAAAAAAATTGCGGAAACTAGCCTACCCCCTGAATTGTTTTTGAAAAGTTTAGTGTGTGATCTAGAAGGATAAATTTATTATTACAAGTCCAATATTATCAAAATGGCACGGTTAATTTCGTGTTTACAATGGGGCGCAGTCTCCCTTGCAAATCGCTCCCTGGCGATCCTTTTGCACCGGTTTGAAGTCATCACCGACCAAGTAGGTGACACGACCGGTTCCGTCCAAAGTCACCTAAACAGAACGTAGAGCCAATGCAATTCTGAAGTCACAATGGAAAAATGTTTACAAAGTTTACAGCTATTGACATGTTTTCCTCAACTGGATCTTTCCCTACTGTACTCTTTACTCTTTGTACTTGTCAAACTTTGAACCCTTTAAATTTTGTAAGTTCTCCATTTTGCCATCTTTTTTATACCTTGACAGTGCTCTTCTCAACTCCTTTCTCCCATGTGGTGATCGACCAATCATTCAGTCCACACTCATCAGCTTTCTGGTGAAACGAAAATTTGACCTTCTTCTTGTCAAGATTCCACCTGAAATTTGATCCTTGGCTCAGTTCTTCTTGTAAACACTAGTGAATCGCACGAACGAAAGCTTTAATATTTTTGGAGCAGCGGAGAACCCATTTGGGGCCCTTCGGGATGGGTTCGGGGAACGCGCATAGTTTAAAGAGCTCATGCAAAGTACTTTTCCCTAATAGTTACCTTACCATTCCTCAAAACATGATTGTCGAGGGCTCTTTGGACACACCGAACCCCTTCCTGTTAGTTTTCTTTCTTTAAAATGATTAAAACTACCGTAACCCATGTAGAGCCCCACCCCTTTTTAAAAATGGATCTAGAAGTCAAATTCCCCAATTCCCCAATAATTACGAAGCGTCGCGTCTGCGCACAGACAGACGGATATCTCTTCTGCTTTATATATAGTAGATTTCAAAAGTTCACTCACTTGTCACTCTTCTTTCCGTTGCTGGCGGTGACTTGAGCCTGAATTGAGGTGGTTTTCTTAGCAATATACATTTGAATGCCGTATATTACATTGATATTACAACAAGCTCAATTCACTTGATGTAGTTAAATGTAATTTTCTCTATTAATTCGACTGTAGCCATAAATTTTGAACGTATAAATCCTACTGTGATCGCTGAATGCAAATCGCCAATCTTTCTGTAGTCGCTGCTATGTTTAAACATGCAAATTTTGCATCATACTGTAGCGGCTGCTATGCAAATTTTTTTACCTACTTGGAATGGCTTATCCGTATCCGATTTCACATGAACAATGATATCGCACGCCAGCGCGCAGCCAATAAAGAAGAGGATCACGTAAAGGGTCTGCATCTGAAAATTTGTATTTTTGAACAATGAATGAAAAAAGTAGGGAAAGGCTTTATATTTTCAACGAAATGACAAAAAATCAGACCAACCCTGGCAATCAAAAAGCCGTAGTCGATAAATGTTTATGAAAACTCTTGGTTTTTTTTCGATAGAGTTCTCTGTTTATATTTTAAGCGATAGACACATTGATCAGTTTTTTCAGTGGAGTGAGAAAAAATGATTTTTGGGATAATGAGAGAAGAATGACCTCGATAATGGCAAAGGATGAACATTTTTTGTTATTATCTGAATTGATTTATCTGATAGAAATAAAGTGAATTGAATTCAGACAGAATGTTTGATGATTCAAAGCAAGAAGAAAAATCCGATACAAAACAAGCAACTATCCAAAATCCGATACAAAACAAGCAATTATCCGATGATTCGATATGAATCACCGAATTTTACGAGTTTTTTTTATATGACTCATGTACGTGTAGTTGTTTAATCGAGTCTACCTTTTGAAAAACAATAAATTCTTTCGCAATTCTGGTCTAGACACTTCTAGACCAATCTTTTTGTACTAAAAGTGTCCCGGAAGTGCTCGCACTCGAATTGAAAGCCTTTAAATTACCTACCAAAGATTGCTTTTGAGCTATTGGCGAAACAGCTGAGTGAAAAGTAACAAGGAAATTGTATGGAATGGGAAAAATGGTTGAGTGTAACTGTTTTTTCGGTGTATTTTGTGCCCTAAATTGTGTAAACACATTATTTCTGGTGCAATTATTTCTTCATTTTCATCATCAAGAAGTTTCTACGATAAATTGAAATCATTAGTTTACAGTGTAGAAAAATCATGCTTTAGAAAGAGCCAAAGAATTGAAGATTGAAACAATCGCTTTCACCCAAAGTCGGTTATCATTGTTGCCGGCAATGAAGCTCTTATTTTTAATTCACAAAATTGAATCAGAGATTTGTCATGATCTTTTCATCTTTTTTTTACTTCAAACTCAGGTTTTTCAGAAACCAAAAAGAGCGAAAGAAAGAGCTTGTTTCCCACGTTTGCATGGGTGGAGGGCATCGATTCCCCGAGGAGTCCCCCCTTTTCCCCCTTTTGCCTCAAAGCAAAAGCCGCAAAAATCCTCATCGGAACATTGACTTTTAGCGCTATACATTCCATATTTTCTATACGATCACTCTTTGTAAAACTCTTCGAGTTTCCAGTGAAACTTTCAATTTCTTTCAACGATTTCTCATTCCATTTCTTTTCTCTCTTTATACCCCTTTTTATTATCGGCAAACATTAGCGAAATGGCCACACAAAAATTTTTGGGGAATTTCAAGTTTAAGAGGAAGATTTTTCAGAAAACTTTACAGTCAAAGTTTCATATTTTGATTTAATTCAATCTCAAGTTCTTTCATTTTCTCTTATTTCTCGAATCTCTCCATATTAGTGCATACTATGTAGTGCGCGTATGCAAACATTTTGAAAAGAGATTGAGTAAAGAGAGGGGAGGACATAATTGTATGTCCTTCCACCAGTCACACACACACACACACACACACAACCGTTTCCTTCTTCTTCTTGCTCTTTTGTAGAAACAAAATTTAAATTACTTTCAATTAGCTTTTAAACTAGCTCTAAATCTTTACTAGTATTGTATGATAAACACAACTTTTTAAGTATTTTATAGTAAATGCGTTCATTTGAACTCAAAGCCTTTCTTATACGTAGTTGAACAGATCTAGAAAGGTAAGGTAACACAAGTTCTTTTGAAAGAAAAAGTTAGATAAGGTGATTGAGTAAAGAGAGGAAAGGACATAATTTTATGTCCTTCCACCAGTCACACACAGACAACCGTTTCCTTCTTCTTCTTACTCTTTTGTAGAAACAAAATCTAACTTACTTTCAATTAGCTTTTAAACTAGCTCTAAATCTGTACTAAACAGTTAGATAAGGTGATTGTTAACCTTGTGAGCAAGGTTAACAATCAATCAACAATCATATGGAGGTGTTAACCTTAGTTAACACCTCCATATGACTCAAAAACATCGATTGTCACTTTAAAAGTTTTGTAATCCATTGAAAGATCATAAAACTATGAAATGAAATGTCAAAACCTCAGTCTTCCTTTTTCAACTTTTCGATCACATTTCTTTTCACAAAACCCAATCACCAATCAATCTATTTGTCAAGTTGATGTCAGTCACTAAGTCTTGTTGTCAATGCAAAAAAAAGAGGCCAAGACACGTGGGTCAGCTTTTCTTTTTCTTTCTCATAGTCTATTATCGCGAGAAAAAAAGTTAACACAACTGAAAAAGTTGATCAGGAACTGAATCAGCAAAAAAAACTTTGTTTTATTTTATGCTCCTTTGTTGGCTTTTTACTTTTTAACTCAACAGAAAAGGAAAGAAACTCAACTTTCAACAGAAAAGAAAATGAAACGACTTGGAACTAAATATTTTGTGAGCTTTAACCTTTTCAAATAAACTTTTGGCCAAAAATCTAATTCAAAATGAGCATCTGTTTCTCGTTAATCAACAAAAAGTAGTCAATCTTTTACTACACCCATGCACAAAAAAAATGTCACATCGTTTTTACAAAACTTTACGCCTAAATTTGACCTACTAAACGTGTTCCAAATTCTATGCTGTCAAAAGGTTTTAGATAGCAAAAAGCTTCTACTTTCTTGTGAAAAAGTGTTCAAGTTCCAGCAATTTGTTTAAATTTTTATTTTTCAATAAATACCGGAAGAACACCAAAAACGGGTGCACAAAAAAAATGTCACATTTAACTTGAACCTCCTTTAGCTGGGCCTCCCTTAGCTTGAATAACTGCCTGAATCCTCCGTGGCATCGAATCAGTCAAATCCTCCAAGATTTGAGGAGAAATTTTCCGCCATTCGCTTCGAATGAAGTACCAAAGCTCAACCTTGGTCGCAAATCGTTTGCCCTTCAGTTTACCCTTGATTGCGACCACAAATGCTCGATTACGTTGAGATCCGGGCTGTAAGGGGAGCAGCGACGAGCTTGACACGATTGTCACGAACCATCCCGGTAAACGAGCCCTTCCACCGTTTGAAAGTCGGCCGACCCTTCCTATCAACATCTGGTGCTTGTGACACGCAAAAAAAAAAGCAAGATTAGTTGACATAAGGGAACAAGTCTTTTACCCCATAGCATAATCCGGAGACCAGTTGGACAACGCCATAACATCAAATACTTGCGGCCGACAGTCAAATTTGGTGGCGGATCGATTATGCTATGGGGTAAAAGACTTGTTCCCTTATGTCAACTAATCTTGCTTTTTTTCAGGAGCGATAACTAGAAGTTCACCAGGTCCGCTCGTCTTTCTCAACTCAATCTTGAAGGCCCAGCGGTACAAGACGATCCTGGAGAATGATCTTCTTCCATTTGCGACCACGAATATGGGACAAGGATGGTTGTTGTACAAGGATAACGCCCGTGTCACAAGCACCAGATGTTGATAGGAAGGGTCGGCCGACTTTCAAACGGTGGAAGGGCTCGTTTACCGGGATGGTTCGCTGACAATCGTGTCAAGCTCGTCGCTGCTCCACCTTACAGCCCGGATCTCAACGTAATCGAGCATTTGTGGTCGCACATCAAGGGTAAACTGAAGGGCAAACGATTTGCGATCAAGGTTGAGCTTTGGTACTTCATTCGAAGCGAATGGCGGAAAATTTCTCCTCAAATCTTGGAGGATTTGACTGATTCGATGCCACGGAGGATTCAGGCAGTTATTCAAGCTAAGGGAGGCCCAGCTAAAGGAGGTTCAAGTTAAATGTGACATTTTTTTTGTGCACCCGTTTTTGGTGTTCTTCCGGTATTTATTGAAAAATAAAAATTTAAACAAATTGCTGGAACTTGAACACTTTTTCACAAGAAAGTAGAAGCTTTTTGCTATCTAAAACCTTTTGACAGCATAGAATTTGGAACACGTTTAGTAGGTCAAATTTAGGCGTAAAGTTTTGTAAAAACGATGTGACATTTTTTTTGTGCATGGGTGTATTGTTTTTGAATTCTTCGAATTTTTTGAACTTTTGATTTTACACTCCTTTCCCCCGAGGTGCCTTGCAAACCCGAGCTTACCGCTGGGTAATTTTTTTTCGAAAAGAAAGAGTCGGTTTCCATTTTGTTTGAGAGAAATATAGGTATTGATGTGATTGAGCTGAAAAATTTGAACATTATTTTGAACACTTGAACATTATCTATTTTGCACAAACTCAAACTTTTGATCTTCAATTGATTCTTTGAAAATCACTTAAGCCGTTCTGTAAACGGAGAATTTGATACTTGTTGAATCGAAATTTGATGCACTAATGGGAGTGGGACAAATGCGACCTTCTTTTTGTGCACCCGGACATTTGCGCACCTTTTTTTCCGCACCTTGCCCATTAGCGCACCTTTTTTCGCGTTTTAAAAAAGCTCTAAAAAGCTAATACTAACCAATTTCTATTCCAAAAGTTGTTTTTCTAGGTAATTTGAGGGTGTCGAATTCAAATTTTGACATAACAGAGCGTGTGGAACCAATTTGAAAGGGCTAGACCAACCAAAACGGCTAGATCAAATTACAGAAAATTGTCGATCTTTCTCTTTGTATAACTCCGTCCGTTTGTTTCCACAAGCTCTGATATGTCAAAATTTCGATTCTACGCCCTAAAATTACCTAGAAAAACAATTTTTGGAATAGAAATTGGTTAATATTAGCTTTTTAGAGCTTTTTTAAAACGCGAAAAAAGGTGCGCTAATGGGCAAGGTGCGCAAATGTCCGGGTGCGCAAAAAAAAGGTCGCATTTGTCCCACTCCCAGGTATTGATGTGATTGAGCTGAAAAATTTGAACATTATCTATTTTGCACAAACTCAAACTTTTGATCTTCAATTGATTCTTTGAAAATCACTTAAGCCGTTCTGTAAACGGAGAATTTGATACTTGTTGAATCGAAATTTGATGCTCTTTAGTTGATCTTTAGTTGATAAATGTTCTAAAATCTTGAATTAACTTTAAAAAAAAACACTTTCAGCCACAGTTTTTTATGGATAATCCGTACGCGTCAGCGAATCTAACCGCTTTGTTAGCCAGTTGTTCTCTTCTTTTATTTTGTGCTGTTTTATATCTGATATTCCACACAACTCGAGCTGTTCGATTGAATATTTATAAGAAACGACCAGCGCAACTTTTTTCATCTTTTGCCGAAGAGGAGAAAAAGAGAAGTGAAACGATGCAAACGTTCGCGTGAAAGGTGGGTAAAGGAAAAGACTTGAAAATAAGTTTACTTACTTTTTTACTTTAGTTTGATTACTGTAGCAATCTAAAAATTGGATGTTTATTTAACACATTCATGACAGGCAGTACTAACGTACTTCGCAGGCAGTACTAACGTACTCCGTAGGCTGTACTAACGTACTTCGCAGGCTGTACTAATTATTATTAATTATTTCAAGTTTTTAAGGACTTTTTTTATTTATTTCGCAGAAAGTTCTTGATAACTTTGTACTAGTTTTCAAGAAGCGATTTAAAGCTTTCAAATGACTATAATAGTTAGTTTATCTTTGAATCTTCACCAAATTATCGACTACGCGATTGTACGCCCAAAATGCTGTCGTCGCGAATGTGTTAAATATCAAGTAGTCGTTTTGTTAGCCAGTATCTGTTGAAGTTGAAGTTGAAGTTGAAGAAAGTTGACTGTAAATCTAGCGTATTTCTTCGAATAGAAGACCGGGTAAAGAGTATGATCGCGTACTCCTGCGTAGCAGCCCTTTTTAAAATTTCTTTTCTGCATAAAAGCTTTCAATCAAGTGCTATAGAGCTGAAAAATGGCTCAAAAATCTGTTAGCTCATGTCGTATTTTTGAGTCATTTTCCAGCCCTATAGCACTTGATTGAAAGCTTTTATGCAGAAAAGAAATTTTAAAAAGGGCTGCTACGCAGGAGTACGCGATCATACTCTTTACCCGGTCTTCTATTCGAAGAAATACGGTAATCAAGTTACTCTAAAGACGCAATTCATTTAAAATAAAAATATCGAGCTAATAAAATGAAATATCATTCAAATTTTTCAATGCTAAACATAAGATTTTCTAGTTTTCTCTTCACGTCAACCATCACACTTATGATCTCATCAATGTTCAATGTCCAATGTCCAATGTACAATGCACAATGTTCAATGTACAATGTGCAATGTGCAATGTTCAATGTGCAACTTTATCATTGCAAATCTCGATTCTTAAAGCTTTATGGGACAAAGGTGAAAACTGTACAAAAATGTAAAAATAAAAGCCTTAATTCTTCAATTTTTTTTTTACGTTAAAACAACCATTTTCAATAGTATTTGATGGGTATTTTGATCGAAAAGACCTGGCCATAAAACTGAACGAATTTGAGTCTTTAACGGCTCTGATCCCTCAAATCTCGTGTGTTTCTCTGAGTCGAAGTGGCTTGGCGCCTCGAAATCGATTCGTAATCTGAATATCTTCAATTAAATTGACTCAACACAACTACAGCTTTCAGTAGTAACTCGAAAGTTTTGAAATAACAGACAAGCGTCATTGTTTTAGTGAGCAATACTACTGATAAACTTGTAAAACCTTGGATATCGCCCATCAATACCAGCCACAAGATCCCAACACACATCAACACATTCCAAAATGAATCTAAAAGTTTTTTTTGTTTTTGAATGGATTCTAAAAGTTTCTGAATAATGAAACAAGTGTACTTTAAGGTTTTATTGAAATTTGCTTACCTGTTGAACCTAGTGCACGTTTTTAGTGACGGAAAATCATATAAAGTGTTCCAAATTTGGGTGGTCACTTCCTGAAATGGAGTTGAATTAGCTTTGATGAATAAATATTGGGTTCGTGAATTGAAAACTGCGGGCTATTGTCATATGTGACAGTTTGAGCACTTTCTTCAAAAGAAACCCATTTTTGTGTCAATGGAAAAGTTGTAGAGAATCAAAAGTTAGGCTTATAGCCAAATTTTCAGAATGATTCAAAAACTGGTTTTCAAGAAATGCCAAATTTACGAATTTTCACAAAACTTGCATTTTAAGCGAAACTACTAAGTGTATCTTTTTGGAAATTTGGCTATAAGCCTCATTTTTGTTTCTCTACAACTTTTCTATTGACACTAAAATGGGTTTCTTTTGAAGAAAGTGCTCAAACTGGGACATCTCCAGTCCTCGATTTTTGAGTCTCACACTTGTCTCACAAACAAACCAAAACCAACCAATTCCTACTACGAAAGAGGAATCCGCAAATTGCCTGTAAAATGGGCAAAAGTCGTCAATAATAATGGAAATTATTTGGAATGAATTCATGGTTTTATGTTGAATAAATTTTAGTTCAAAGTCCGGCAGTTTTCAATTCACCAACCTAATATAATATTTGCAGTAAACTTTTTGAATGGTGAAGCCACAAGTAATCAAAAGTGTACGATTAGTTAACCTTCTCTTAATAAAGCTTATTGGAATTTTATCCTATAGTAATTAAATATGAATTTTGATTATCGAATAATAAAACTAGCTATCACATATGCCTTCTGGTTTGATTGACACAAACCAAAACCCTACTACGAAAGAGGAATCTGCAAAATTGCCTGAAAAATGGGCAAAAGTCGTCAATAATAATGGAAATTATTTGGAATGAATTCATGGTTTTATGTGGAATAAATTTTAGTTCAAAGCCCCGCAGTTTTCCAGTCACCAACCCAATAGCATCAATTCTTGATTCTGAATTGTTTTCACCTTAGCATTGCTCATCCCATGTTGACTCTTTGCTCTTCTATACATGTGTCTATACAGAGCCACTTCCAACATGTTCGCCTCCTCATTCTCGTTTTTCGTTTCACCTGAAGAAACTCAAAAGTTCAAAAGTTCAATTCGTCTTTTTCTCACCTTCTTCTATAATCTCGAAAATTTTTGCGAGTCTTTTCTGCACTGAATCCAACACAGAACGATATGTTAACTAAAAAAAGAAATTGAGATTTTCTTGAGCTTGATAGACTGATTGAAGTCTTTATAGCCTAAGCCTAAGATTGCTTGATTGAATTCAACACCGATTCTTGACTGATTGCTTTGAAATGTCTACTAATTATCTAAAAATCTATCTACAAGCTGAAAACCTAGATTTCTAGACAAAATTTCAGAAAAATCGGCTAAGAATCAAAGAAAATCGAAGTGGATTGGAAATTGGGTTCGGATTGGAATTTCCCCCATATCTTGTATAAGAAAGTACTAGAAAAATGAAGAGTTAATTGATTTGATTTGAAAAATTTTCCTTGGCAATGCTAGAACTGAAATGAGTGATGGTTTCTAATAAATATCAATCAATCAATCAATGAATCAATCACATACCACAGCAACAGAGAGAATCGTTTTTAGTTGCAACTCATCGGAACCTCGAAACTCGGGGAGTTTGTCGAGAGTGGCCATCAATTCATCACTTGAAATTTCCCTCTCATTTATGTGACTTCAAAACTTTTCACTCACCGATCTTTGTCGAACAGATTCGAGAATCTCCTCGTCAACCCGCGTACATCTTCTTGTGATGAGCAATTGTAATAGCTGGTTGCTTCTGGGTAATCCGGTTCAGGCCATAGCCTTGAAATGGCGTTTTTTATAAAATTACCCACATTAAACTTTATCTTTCTATTCATTTTATTCTATTTCTATTTCTATTTCCCCACCTCTCGACTGGTCGATCGCTCTTCGTTCTCATCAAATGTTCAACTTGATTTCTCGCATTTGCAAGCTCATTTTTCAAATGTTCAATCTAAAATAGCGATTAAAATAGGAAGATTCTTTGTCTAAACATGTAATCGAAGTCGCAAAGTGTCATCATTGTGTTGATCGGATTGCTTTCCCAAATTGTATCTGATGTTCGGGTTCTGATGTTTCTTATGTTCTGATGGATTCGGGTAGTTCTGATTGGCTCGTCGCATCTCTCTTTTATCTAAAATTTCGAATGAAAAGAGTACGAATAAGCATCTGCTAAGATTGAATATCTTTCACTTAATTGAAATCTCGAAAAAATTCATTTCCAGAGTATTTTAGGAGGCAAGATTGGAGTTAAAAAGATCTAAATGTTTGATATTAGTATTATTAGAAGTTTTCCCAGAAGGAACACTTAAAAGAATCAAAAATTACAAGAATGTCAAGGATTCGAACGAAAGAAAAACAAAGAAAAACAAAGAAAAAGGAAAGATCGAATCGAACCTGTGCTATCCAACTGTGTGCCGGAATGGTGACTCTGTTTTTCAGTCTTTTCTTCTCCTTCAATTCTTTCTTGTTCTTCGTCTTTATGAATGGTAGTTGGAGAGTGAATTTGATGGTGAATGGCCTTGAAATGTCCACGATTACACCCTGAAAAATGACATAAATATTGAATAATTGAATGAAGATGAAAATTGATTAGAGTTGAACAAGGATCGATGGATTCATTGTGTACTTTTGTGGCAAAAATGGAAACAACGGAATTGCTGGGACACTGAATTGCGTATCTAGGAGAACTTTAGTATCAAAGGAAATTAGAAATCAGAAATCAGATATCAGAAATCGAGTGCATCAGAAAAGGTATGTTTCCATTTTTGAGCAGAAAGGTTTACGAGATTTACTTCAGATTACGGTCAGCCGTCAGAAAAGGTGTGTTTCCATGTCAGAAAAGGTGTGTTTCCATGTCAGAAAAGGTGTGTTTCCATGTCAGAAAAGGTGTGTTTCCATTACGGCCAGCCGTAATCTTGAGCGTAAGGGCATGATTTGATGAAATCTTTTGAAAATCTTTTGATTTCTCAAAATATGGTATTGAGGCAATTTCTAAAAGTATAAATTCAATGCTAGAAAGCTTCAAAAAACAAAGCCAAGGTGGCTAATGAATCATTGAACGAAACTAATGAATGAACCAACAAATTGCGAATACTTCTCTCGGGGAATTCATTACTAATGATCGGCGAATTCCCCGAGAGAAGTGTTCGCTATTTGTTGGTTGTTCTTCTCCAAATTGTCAATGGAAATTGACAAGTGACCTTCAGAGGATCCCTTTCTCACACACAAAACAAAAGAAAAACAAAGATTCTTTTGAATTTCCCCTTCTCATTCGAGTTTTTAATTGAAAAAACCCCTTTTCATTGACCGGTTTTTATGATGGGAAAACGAGAAAAATGACGGAAAAAGTGGGAAATAAAAATATGAGAGTAGACTTTAAATAAGTAATAAAGCACTGTGCTTTATTACTTATTTAAAGATTTCTACTAGGAAAAGCTATCGTAGTCAATTTTGCTGTTAGGAAAGCTAAGCCTTAAAGCTAGCCAACTAGCCAACTAGCCCACTAGCCAACTAGCCCACTAGCCAACTAGTCCACTAGCCAACTAGCCAACTAGCCAACTAGCCAGCTTTTTTGTTCAAAAATTTAAACACATCCTTTCTAGCGTACTAAGATTTTGATTTAAAAAAGTTTAAACTGTCAAACCAGTGTGTTAGAAAGGGTGTTTTTGTGATTGATGAGAGGTAAAACGAATCTTAAAAGTTTTCTAAAGGCAGAACTGTTTGGATCAGAAGATTTATTTGGTTGGTAAGAAAGTTCTCGGGAAATTTCGACTGTAATTTCTTAAAAACGAAACCACTAATACAAGAACATTTTGTTCTATTATTTACAAATCGACTTCAAGAAGTTACTCGTAAAAAAAAATGAGTGCAGCTTTCCTTTAAAATTTTAGAGATTTTTTGATAAATTCTTATTTTCCAGCTTAAATTCAGCTTACTTTTTAAAAACGATTTTTTAAGAGGTAAAGCGATTAAAAAAAAACGATTTCTTATGAGGTAAAGCTAGCATAAATGAGCAATACGCTCTTTAATCTCTATTTTTGACCAAGAAATCTTTTTACAGAGAAGCTGTATTTCAAAAGAATACTTTTTTTTGGTGTCATCTTCATGGCACTGAGTGTTTGCTAAAAGAGGTTATTCTGAAAGGTTAAAGCATTAGATAAAATTTACCTTTATCACCAAATGTTCCCTATTTTAAGTACTTGATTTCAGGTTTTGAATGGGACCCATTGCCTATCCATTAACCCATTAAAAACTTGTCTAAAAGCTGGTCACTCAAAAAGTGACCAAGTCACTTCAGCTGAGGAAATCTCTTATTTTTTTTGCCTGAAGCCCACTCTGATTTTTTGTCAAAAACTTTTTGAAATATAAGCAAGTTTATCAAAAAAAATTTGGGAAGAATTGATGGCTTGATTTTCGAGAAATCACTGTGCAAACTTTTTCTCTACGAACTTTCTTGCCAACTTAATCGGAAAGGAAAGTGGGAAATGCTATCGTAGTCTTTTGTAATTAAAAACTATTGAAAACTATTGTAATTTTTAAAAACCAAAGTCAATAGTGGGTTTTTCTTTTCTTCTTGGGTAACAATAATCGTTAAAAATGAGTTTCAATCTCACTTTTTATCCAAAGATTGTCTGGAAAAAAGTCATTTGATTCTGAGAAATTTAAAGTGATAAGCTAGAATTTTAAAACTAATAAAAGAAAAGATATTTTATTCTTTCTTGATGTTGATTGAATGGTGGCAAGTCACTTCTCCGTACTCAAAAAGCTATTCTTTTCCCCGTCGACGGGTTGAGGCTCGGATTTCAGACCGGAAACAGACACAAACACAATGGAAACCTATTGAAAGCCCCAGTTTAAAAGTTTAAAAAATATTTGATGATCAATGATTTTGATTTATCGATTTTGTTTTATCGATTTTGTTTCATCATTACAAAAGTCTAACATTACCTTCATTCTCGGCTTCTTGCTCATCAGCGTTGATTTCTGGGGTGTTGATCGTGATACTTCGAAGACCCAGAGTGCCCAGGGATGAAGATTCTAGAAAAAAAAGCTACAATTCATAAAATAAGAATCTAAGTAAAGTTAAAATTAAGTTAATAGATTATTTTTTCTAGAAATGTTTGCTCTGTAAGGCATCTTTGAGTTTCCGTTATTCTTTTTACTGCCACTGTACTTTTGTACTTACCGTAAATACTGTAATAGTACCACACCGCCATAATGATGATGTGGAGGGTTGCGTAGTCTAGCTTTGAACGAGTTTTTCTCGACACTGCTTTATGCTACAATGCGCGTTTCGTTATCAAAAAATAGCTGAAATTCAGGGCTATTTTTTGATATCAAAGACGTAATTTTTGAAAGTACGGGTGCTTCGAAAAAAATGAAATACTAAAAAACTTTGGCGATTACGCGATTGTACGAGGGGGGTGGGGTACTATTACAGTGTTTACGGTAGTTTATCTTTGAATCTTCACCAAATTATCGACTACGCGACTGTACGCGCATTGTAGCATAAAGCAGTGTCGAGAAAAACTCGTTCAAAGCTAGACTACGCAACACTCCCATCGTCATGATGGGAGTGGGGTACTATTACGGTATTTACGGTAGGTATTAACATTGTCGTAGTAGTTTCTAGAAATCCTACTGCAGTATATTTTACTTAAAACATTTAATTTTATTCATAAATCAACCATGATGATGTTTCGATGGTGTTGATGTTGTGCCCGGTTCACTTCCACTTTCATTCGAGCAACCACTATCGAAATCTTGATAGTTTGCGAGTTGAAATACCTAAAATATTCAAGATTTCTAAGATTTCTAAGCTTTCTAATCTTTCTAATCTTTCCAATCTTTCTAATCTTTCTAATCTTTCCAATCTTTCCAATCTTTCTAATCTTTCTAATCTTTCCAATCTTTCCAATCTTTCTAATCTTTCTAACCGTTTTAACCTTTTTAACCTTTTTAACCTTTTCAGTACTGACCTTTTCATAAGTGTTATTGAAAACGACGATCAACTCAGCAATAACCGGGTCCAAATGTTCAATTCTAAATCAGCTTTACATGTAAAAGCAGAAAATCTTTGTTGATATAGAATGCATTGATAATCACTATAGAAATAGTTTTATATTTTATAACTGTTTTACTTGAAATCACTTGGAATCGCACGATGAAACGCGTTGAAGAGGCCGACCAATAAACGATCCGAGGCCACTCGTTTTCGTGCGATTCTCAACAAGGAACAAAGCTGAAAGGAGTGTTTAAAGGAGTCAGAAAGCCGAGCCAGCTCAGGAGCCACGAGGTTCTGCTTTGACTTGGTTTTTCTGCAACTCTGATCCTGGGCATGAAGCTAGGCAAGAATCTGGTCTAGTTGACAAGCTTGAATCCCACAAAACAAATAATTTGATAAGAAATTACGTGTTGATTCGACGTGGTATCCGTCAACAATTTCTCCATTTGCTCGTTGTGTTTCAATCGATCGAAGATCTCGGACAAGCGGAGACCGATCTGGCGTTGGTGTGAGGCTGATGAGGGATCGATTGAATTTTCTGTAATTGTTATTGAGAAAAGGATTATCTATGGAAAAGTACCCGATTTTTCTGTTGTTTCTTTCAATATTTGAACACATTTTTTCAGCTTCTCGTCGTGTTTTGCAATTTCGATTTTCATCGCATCTTGGATTCTAAAATTGAAAAAATGTTTATGTTCAACCAGCCGAAAAACAGTAAATGTTTTGAGGCCAGCGCATGGTCTACCTGGCGCAGTCTACCTAGCTCGCCCGCAGTCTACCTAGCTCTACCTAGCTCGCTTGCCTCACACGGCTCACACGATCCGGGTTCGACCCCCGGAGGTCGCTCGATTTTGACTTTTCAAAAAATTCCACCTTTTTTTGGCCTAAAGATGGCTGAGAAAAAACCCGTACAGACAAATGAACAGACATTGCTCTTTCATATATAGTAAATCTTTATTTTACCGTATTAATCCCTGCGACGAATTGACTAATCCATGACATCCGAGACTCTCCAAACAGATCTCCAATTGACGCTTATCGGCCGAGGCTCGGGTGAGCAGAATGGGGAATTGGCGACTGATCACGCCAAGAATTGAACTCAATGACTTCTCCAGAGACTGAATAGCTTTATCGATGGCAAGTATAGAATGGTAATCAAGAATTGCTAGAAGAAATCAAAATCAACAATGGTAGGTAAATTAGAATTCAAGAATGATTTAAAAATGCGGTAAAGCTTCAGTCTCACTACCGGTATGCCCAAGCAAAGTATTGGATCAAATCACCAAGACTTAATTGGAAAATTTTTGTAACATTCAGTCTTGATGGTTGAATATTTTTTTAAACCAACAGTAAGAAAAAGGACAATTTGTGTTTAGACGACTAGATTTAGAATCAGTGAATCGAGCAAGGGATTTAAATTGTCCAAAAATTGGTCAATCCGTGGTATCAAGCTGCTTCGTTTTGATTTTGAAATTGGCTGAGAGGTGGTTTAGAAAAACAAAACCATTTCATCAATAGCGAATAGTGAGTTCTATGTAAACCACGAGAATTTCCCCATGTCAGGCTCACTACCGGTATGCCCAAGCAAAATATTAGATCAAAGCACCAAGACTTAATTGGAAAATTTTTCAAAAGAAAAAACATTCTGTCTTGATGGTTGAATATTTTTTTAAACAAACAGTAAGAGAAAGGCTGTGAATTTAGAATTTTTCAAAATCTTTAGCCCACCTCTACACTCGGCAAGGTCCTCGCGTGCGCTTTCCCGCTTTTCTCTCCTTGTTCACGATAGGCAATCCACCTAAAGGATTTCGTTTTCTCAAGATTTAAAGCTTTAAATCTACAAATGTGAAACGTTTCTCATAGAAATTTTCAAAAAAACTTACCAAACGACTCGACAAAAGAGCTCTTCAGCTTTTAATAGACACGGCATCAATGAGCCCGAGTTGAAGAAGTGCAGCTGAAAAGTTTCTGTATTTTTTTTTGTGTTATACTTTATACTTTTAGATTTCTTGAATGTCCCACTTTCTTTCTTTCTTTCTTTCTTTCTTTCTTTCCATTTCCTAGATGTTTGCTGGGTGAAATGTTTGTGTTGACCCAAACGGTGACATCGAGGTCACTTTTGCTCGAAATTCTCCCGTCGGAACGGGGGAAATGCAAGGAAAAGAGAGAAAGGTTTGAGAAATTCAAAAGAATTTTCTTCCAAAGAAACCGTTTTGGGTTTTGTCAACAAACTGTGAATGGTGAATGAGTGAAGATTGCAAAAAGGTAACAGTTTATTTAATTGGATATGTGGAATTTACTCTGGGTACTTCTAGCGCTGGAATTATGGTATGGAATTATGGTATAGAATTATGGTATAGAATTATGGTATAGAATTATGGCATGGAATTATGGCATGGAATTATGGTATAGAATTATGGTATAGAATTATGGTATGGAATTATGATATGGAATTATGGTAAATGAAGCACAGTACTCGTGGAAAAATCCTGATAATCTTCATTTACCTGTTCACACCGAACATAAAGCGCTTCGATGACAGGAAGTGTCCATGGAACAGAGACAACGAGTGTTTCGATTGACGGCAAAACATTCAGCAAACTTGTCAACTCAGAAGCCGAAAAGGCTTTAATCTATAAGAATTTGTTGTTTAATAACTTTCAAAATCGTTATACTTTTGCTATATATTTTCGTATGGTTGGTGGATCGAGAAACGGGAGTCCCTGATCACAGTGACGAATGAGGAGATTCGACTCACCTCTGGACGGGGTTCGACTACCGGGCAACTGAAATAGAACCAATATTAACCAATATTACTAAACTATTTACTTAAATAATCGATTTATATTCAATTAGTGATCTTGTTCTCATAAAGTCTTTATTAGTTTTATTAGATTCTCTTCAAAAAAACGACCTCATATTTCCATCCAGCAGCTCGTCGTGTCACTTCGAAAGACATTTGACAAGAGGGAAACTGTAAAAATTGTACTTGTTGGTTTTAAGATAAAAGGAAAAGTGTAAAAAATTTTTACAAGAAAGTTTCTTTCGCAAATCTTGCGTTAAACTTAAAAAATTGTACTTGTCGGTATCAAAATGAAAAGAAAAGTGTAAAAAGCAGGTTCGGTTCGTTTAGCAAGAGAGGGTTCCTTTTGAAAATCTTGCCTTAATCTTAAAATTTCTTTTTGACAGAAAAAGAGAACCAAAATCTGGCAGGGTTTAGTAAATCCCTGCCATTTAAAAGTTTTGGAAAGGATGGAGAGGAAAAGAACAAAAAAAAAGGCAATAAGTAAACTGTGAAAAGAAATCAAAGTCAGCTAAGACAAAGGCAAAGCTAAGGCAAAGGCAAAGCTAAGACAAAGGCAAAGCTAAGACAAAGGCAAAGCTAAGACAAAGGCAAAGCTAAGACAAAGACAAAGCTAAAAAAATTGTATCCAGTGATCGTAAAGAAGTAATTAACACTTTTATAGTTACACTTTTTATCTAACAAAAAATCTAGTACAAAAATCTAGGATAAAGTTTCAAGAAAGAGATGTTTCAGGGTCAAGGAAGGTTTAGTAAATCAGGGATCTCGTAGGGTTTAGTAAATCTAGTAAAGTTTGACAATTGTAAGTGATTTATCTTGTCAAAAGCTCAATGATAATGATCATTAGATCATTAGGTCGATCATTAGATCATTAGATCATTAGATCGATCATTAGATCGATCATTAGATCGATCATTAGATTGATCATTAGATCGATCATTAGATTGATCATTAGATCATTAGATCATTAGATTTCTTTAAATCCTTTCTATTTAACAGGATCTAATTGTTTAAAAATATGCGGAAACTAGTTTGGAAATTTTTGTGTGTCAAAAACTTGTCAAAAGCTCAAAGATAATAATTGCCCAGGAGGATCAAGCTCAAGCAAAGAGAATAAAAGTGGCAAGGATAAGAGTACGTCTTTTCAGAACCACAGCACAGCACAATACGAGTCTCTGTGTCTTTTTCTGTTCCTTGTCTTCCTCCGATTGTCCTTTAGCCTTTTAGGGGTAGCTCTAACCCTACCCAACCCCGTTGTTTGATGTGAGGCTTCTCCTTTTCTAGCCTTTCCTTCACCCAAACCTCAGCTCCCATCTCATCGTATGCAAATTTGATAGTCTCTTTGTGATTCGTCTCAAAAGTTTTCACAAACCAGGAAGAATTTGAATTTGAAATGATTAAAGTTATCAGAAAATATTAAAGAAAGAAAGAAAACTGATGTATAATAATGTTTAGACGGCTTTTAAATATTCCCAATGGCTTAAATATTCCCAATGGCTATAAGGAACCAAATGTGAATGACAGAAAAGAATTTTTTTAAGTAAACAAACCCTTTCTTTAGTTTGTATACAGAAATAGCTTTGCTATAGCTTGAAAAAAAAGCTTTGAATAAAATCAAAAATAGAACTTTAACATGATAAAGTTTATTTGAAATTTAGAAATGTTTTTGAGGTGGATTCTTCAACCAGAAAGGGGCTGATCGAATGATCAATCGACAAAGAGACAAAGATATGCTCTCAAGAAGAATGAAGAAGAAAGAAAAGAAAAGAAAGATCGCCTCAAGGGTCATCCATTCAAAGCAAACTAAAAGAAAAAGAGAAGCAATTCATTCCATTAACATCTATAGTAGTTTTCAAGTTCTATCGCAGAGATGTTTAAGCAGAGCATGTTTTAAAGTCGGTTTAGAACTAGAACTAGTTTGTTTAGAACTAGAACTAGTTTGTTTAGAACTAGCTTCTCCCACAAAAAGTATCAGGTTTCCCTGCAAATCGTGCTGGATCAGTAGGTGACAGTTACAGTTCAGTTACAACTACAATGCCTGCAAATCGTGCTGCATCAGTAGGTGACAGTGACAGTTCAGTTACAACTACAAATCTTGATGATTTGAAAGAAAGTTGTGGAAAAAATCTGATTTAACCCAGATGAATCGTTAAACTTTCGAGTGAAGCAAATGCAAGAGTTTCGAGCGTTTACTTCAACCATTTGTAACTCGAGATCTTCTCGTCGGAGGCCGTGTTTTAGTCGAAAACTTCTAGGTCAAAGATCGGTGAGGGGAAAACAAAAAACATTCAATTGGTACCACATCGGAAATTTTGGATAATCAGGAACCTGATGGATTGACCTCAAAATCTTCAGCTCAAAGTCCCCGAATTTTCTCCCTTTTCACCGTTTGACAGGTTTCATTTTTCTGCCGAATTTCAAAGCTAAAGAGTCAACAAAAGCCGGCTGAAAATGATGAGGGAAATTGTGGGAAAATTTTAAAAAGCACAATACTCTCAAAGTTGATGTACCCTTGGATAAAGGTTTTAAAAGGGTCAGAATAGTCAATCAGATCAGTCAGATCCCTCAGATCAGTCAGAACAGAAGAATCAAACGATATAAATTGTCCAGTTAGTGATTATTGCCAAAAATTTCCATTTACCAGCAAATTTGAAATGAAAATTCGCCAAAGATCAACGATTTTCTCATCTCTATCTAGAAAATTGCACCAATAGCTATAGCAAATTTCAATGAAAATCCAATAAATTACACCTAATCGAGAAAAAAAAGACATTCTTTATTTTTACAGCTTGCTTACAGCTTACAGCTATTATAGCTTTTTTATTAAAAAATTGCATACCGTATTTTCTCTAATCGTAGTGCATCCCGGCGAGCCGAGTTGATGACGATTTTACAGTTTCCAAATTTTCCCAGAAGTCCAACACTCAAATCCCCCACAAGATCTCGTCGTCAGCTACATTTTCCGACCCCACATCGATAGGTTCTGATAATCGGTTCTCGAGATTTCGAGCAATTTAGGCGACGCTCAGGGTGCACTACTATTAGAGAAAATACGGTACTATGTTTAAGCAGTATGTTTTCTCAAAGATTATTTCCAATTCAAAAATAATTAATAGACAAAAATAATAATTAACGGTAAGATCTTTTATGTGGCCCTAGTTCGTGCCCTTAGAGCAGGTACTGCAGTACAGCTACCTGTGTACTATAGTATTGTAAGTTGTACTATAGTATTGTAATTTTAAGTGACTTTGTGAACTTTTATTTAGTATTGTACAATACATTTTTCATGTCGTTTTCGCACTTTATTTCTTTCTGAATAAAGTATTTATATGCCGTATTTTCTCTAATACTAGTGCACCTGAGCGAGCCGAGTCAGTGACTATTTACGGCTTCCAAAGTTTTCCCAGAAGCTCAGCACTCAAATCCCCCACTAGATCTCATTGTCAGCTACATTTTCCGACCCCACATCGATAGGTTCTGATAAGCGGTTCTCGAGATTTCGAGCAATTTAGGCGACGCTCAGGGTGCACTACTATTAGAGAAAATACGATAATAATTATTCTAATTTCGATTTCGCTTATCCATTTCCTTTTCTAGAATTTTAAAGCTTCAAATAAAACATTTAGTTAGAGTTTAAGTATCTCAGCTAGCGAGCGATTATGTGTTTCATAAAAGTTTTCACGTCGAGATGTTCAAGACACTTTTTGTAATCAGATCAGTATCAGCTATAGGAAAATTTAAAAATACGGTAAAGCTTCAGTCCTACTACAGTATTAGATCAAAGCACCAAGACTTAATTGGAAAATTTTCGTAACATTCAGTCTCGATGGTTGAATATTTTTTTAAACCAACAGGAAGAAAAAGGACAATTTGTGTTTAGACGACTAGATTTAGAATCAGTGAATCGAGCAAGGGATTTAAATTGTCCAAAAATTGGTCAATCCGTGGTATCAAGCTGCTTCGTTTTGATTTTGAAATTGGCTGAGAGGTGGTTTAGAAAAACAAAACCATTTCATCAATAGCGAATAGTGAGTTCTATGTAAACCACGAGAATTTCCCCATGTTAGCCGTCGGCTGTAAAGTAGTATTCATTTCAAATTTCTTTGCTTCAAAATCAAATTTTAACATGCTATAAACACCATTAAGTTTTGCTTAATAAAAAAAGAAATATTTGGCGTAATCTTTGACGTAATCTTTGGCATAATCTTTGGCGTAATCTTTGGCGTAATCTTTGGCGTAATCTTTGGCGTAATTTTTGGCGTAATCTTTGGCGTAATCTTTGGCGTAATCTTTGGCGTAATCTTTGGCGTAATCTTTGGCGTAATCTTTGACAAAGAACGGATACAAGTTCTTAGTTTTTTTAAAGCTTTTAAAGCTTTTTTTTGTTTTCCTTTAACGCAAATCAAAACATTTTTTGAAATTCGAGATTTTGAACGTAAATATTGCTCTCGTTTCTCAAATTGTTGTTTAATATCTGTTTACCAAGTTTTCTCGATCATTAGGTAAACGGCGTTCCAGCATTTCGTTCACATTTTGATCCAAGTAGATAAAAGCGAAAAATCGAAGAAGGAAGTTCGGATTTTCTTGGAAATTTCTCTTGAAATGTTATTGTTTTCTTTAACGGTTTTCCTCTTTGGCGTGGCTTTTGGAAGGGGTGAGTTTTCAAGTTTTAAATCCATTTATCAAAAATGTATTCGATCTTTATCAATAAGAATCTGTTAGATTCAGATTTTCTTGTGTTTTCAAGGATTCTTAATTTAATTTGTTAATTTTAGACTGTTAATCTAAAGTAGAATATGTAGAAAAGCTCGTTTTGGTAGAGCCCGTAAACTAGAATATTTAGAAAAGCTCGTTCTGGTAGAGCCCGTAAACTAGAATATTTCGAAAAGTTCGTTCTGGTAGAGCCCGTAACGGTGACCGTTCTTGAATGGTCAGGGCGTACGGGTAGATCCCATTGACCCATCGAAAATCCCATTGACACTTTAATAAACTTAAAATTGATTGATCGATTGATTGATTGAATTTGAAGTCCAGATTAGTGAACTTTAAACTTGAGATTTCATTTCTCATCTTCATTCATTCAGATTGTTCATCTCAACCATCACCGGGTTTCACTTGCAACGAACATTCGCCAAGTATTCAGGTTTCTTCTGGAAAGCTGACAAAAACAATAGGATTTTAGTACTATTTCGATGAGGAACACATGTCTTGCTATCCATTCGGACACAATGGATGCGATTTGAAAACGGTGAGAGTCTTCTTTTGAAAAGAAAGTCTTCTTTTCAGATAGAAAAGTTTGAATTCTGTTTTTTGATATCAAAAAATTGTATGGGAATCTGAGATCTGGGGAAAAGTTTATTTCCAGGGTCCACTTCGATTGTTGGGTCCTGATTCAAAGAACGGATATCCGACAGTTGATTCATGTTGGCATTCGTGCATGCCAAGTTAGTTTGCAAAATTTATTTTCAAACTAACACTTGTTTACTTTTAAATTTAACAGTTTAAAAGGTTTTATTAAGATAAAGTTTCATCAAATCTCAGTGAATCAAAACAAATCGAATCTCAAATTTCAGTGGATTACAACAGTTGCGGCTATAGTATCCGATCAACGGGCACCTGTAGCTATGATCCGAGCAGGAAAGCAGAGTGCAGTCCAGTAAGATATTAGATAGATTTCGCAAATTTATCAAATTATCATACTTTACAGGACGCTGAATGCCATATGGGTGCTTTTTTCGGAATTTGTTGTCCAAAGGATAAGATTCGTGAGTATTCGGATGATAGCTTTTGAAAGTTTTCTTTTGAATCATCTTTTGAAATCTTTTGAAATCTTTGAAATCTTTAGAACGCTCGGAGAATCCAAAATGTGAGGCTGGGAAAAGATTGGTTAAGCAAAATGATGTAAAATTTAAATCTAATCATTGATTTTTATCAATTTTAGGGTCAAAAGCTGATTAGCAAGCGGTGTTCACTCAATTTTTGTCCAAAAGGTTTAATGAATTTTTAGTGTTTTCAAATTTCTTTCCAGGTTCTCAGTGTATCGATGGAGAGTTCTTTGCGTATTGTTGTCAATAAAATAACGGAACAAAATGATGACTACCGTGTTTTCTCTAATAGTAGTGCACCCCCCGGCGAGCCGAGTTGATGACGATTTTACAGTTTCCAAATTTTCCCAGAAGTCCAACACTCAAATCCCCCACTAGATCTCATCGTCAGCTACATTTTCCGACCCCACATCGATAGGTTCTGATAAGCGGTTCTCGAGATTTTGAGGAATTTAGGCGACGCTCAGGGTGCACTACTATTAGAGAAAATACGGTATACTATTTCGAATAAAATTCTTTGTGCTATTGAATGAAAAGATCAATCATTAGATCATTAGATCAATCATTAGATTGATCATTAGATCATTAGATCAATCATTAGATCGCTCATTAGATCGATCATTAGATCAATCATTAGATCGATCATTAGGTCATTAGATCGATCATTAGATCAATCATTAGATCGATCATTAGATCATTAGATCAATCATTAGATCAATCATTAGATTTCTTTAAATCCTTTCTATTTAACAGGATCTAAGCGGAAACTAGTTTGGAAATTTGGTGTGTCAAATGTTAAACAGGGAAAAAAAGAAAGAGAAACTAGAATGGAAAAAAAGCATTGGGTCTCACCATTGGGTCCCCAAGGGACTCACCACACCAACCAAAAGTCATTAGACGGGCCTTCACGCCGCACACAGAGTGAAACGAAGAAAAGGAGATCTTGTAGACGGAAAAAAGAACTTCCATTTCTACCCTGAAAAATCAGATTTTCCCATGACCCACAAGTTACAGTTATTCAATAAAATTGGGCTTCCTGATTGGAATCGTTTTCAAGAAAGATTTTCAACTTTTCTAGTTCATCATTTTTAAGAATTTTCAGCTTTCATCGTTTTCTCTAAGCTTATGTTTTTATTCTTTACAAATCACCTGTCAGCCTTTTTAAACAGTTTAGACAAGAGTCATACGAGAGTGAAAAAAAATTCATTTCAAAAAGCAATGCTCTTTTTGTAAAAAGCAGGCAATTTTCAAGGTAAACGAACTATTAAATTTTCCATTTTGATTAGAATTTAAAAAGAACCAGTTTTTCTCGTTTAAATTCTAAAAAAGGAATGTCAACTGGGTCATGGTCAAATGATATACCGCATTCTCTCTAATAGTAGAGGCCGAACCAAGTTGATCACTATTTTACAGTTTCCAAGTTTTCCCAGAAGCTCAACACTCAAATCCCCCACTAGATCTCATCGTTAGCTACATTTTCCGACCCCACATCGATAGGTTCTGATAAGCGGTTCTCGAGATTTCGAGGAATTTAGGCGACGCTCAGGGTGCACTACTATTAGAGAGAATACGGTATATTATTCCAGGTTAGGCTAGTAGATCAGACTGATCTATTTCCCTAATATTTCCCGGTAAGCCGAGTTGGTGACTATTTTACAGTTTCCAAGTTTTCCCAGAAGTCCAACACTCAAATCCCCCACAAGATCTCATCGTCAGCTACATTTTCCGACCTCACATCGATAGGTTCTGATAAGCGGTTCTCGAGATTTCGACCAATTTAGGCGACGCTCAGGGTGCACTACTATTAGAGAGAATACGATACTCTAAAATATCGATCTAGCTTCAATTCCTGTTTGTAAGAAAGAATTTTGTTTGTAAGAAATTCCTTTAATTCCAATTCCAATTCCAATTCCAGGCTTGTTTATAAATCTTGTTTGTTTCATCATCTATTAAATAAGTTTTGAAACAATGAAACAAAAAGCATTCTTACATTATACTTGTTCATTAAATTCTTTCGTTTTTCGGTACTTTTCAATCTGTTGCACGCAAATTGTTTTGGAAATTTGCATTTTTCCATTTTTCCATTCTTCGTCCATCTAAGTCTTGTCCAACAACTTATCGCGCGAAAGAAACAAGCCTGGAATTGGAATTGGAACATTCACGTCAAGGCTTTAGATTTCAATGAAGAAACTTCAAAGAAATCAAGTTGTGTTGTTTGGATATTCATTTGGATAATTTGGAAATTAGGAAATTTTGAATGTCTGATAGCCGATAATCTAAAAGTCTTTAAAAAGTTCTTTAAAAAGTTTAAAAGGTTGAAAGTATTTAAAATCTCATAGACAACTACATCTGTAGTTTCAAATCATTCAAATCATTCAACCATTTCCCTAATCCAGACTTCACCTTTCTTCATTTCCATTTCCATTTCCATTTCCTTTCCATTTCCATTTCCATTTTCATTTCCATTCCAATTTTTATTGTCTCCTTCATCTATGTCTGCTTTTTTTCAATTTCTTTTTATGACCCAGTTACATTTTATGAATTCTTGTTATATTGAGATGAAAAAAATGCATAAGAAAAAGCATTTTTGTTGGTCGTTTCATCGTCGGCTAAACACGAAATGCTAATTGACTTTTTGCCTTTTTTTTCTCTTTTCTCACTCACTTCATTTAGCTGCGTAGTCGCTCGTCTGGCACACGCTTTCGATAGATAGGTGTTTTCTTTTGATCCGTAAAGGGAAAGGAGCTGCCAGCGACCGAGCGGGCCCCTCGGCCCGGCCGCAACCACACCCAAGTCCCCAGGAGCCACCCCCGCCCCAAATCCCAACTAACCCCAGCCCCACCGGATGAAAATTATATTGAGATGAAAAAAATGCATAAGAAAAAGCACTTTTGTTGGTCGTTTCATCGTCGGCTAAACACGAAATGCTAATTGACTTTTTGCCTTTTTTTTTCTCTTTTCTCACTCACTTCATTTAGCTCTTCAAGAAGAGAAAAACGCCTTGTCTGAACAAAAATTAAGTTGAGGTTTATTTTATTTTAGAAATTTGCATTTCGAGTTCTTGTCACCCATTTTTTTCCTTTTTTTTTTCTTTTTTTTTTGACTCCATTTGAGTTACTTTGGAAAGAGAAGATGGGTCTTTTGAAGAAAAGAAAAGAGAAAATAGAAAAGAGAAAAGACAAAAGAATTGACGGGGAAAAGAAGTCCACAAATGAGAAGGAAGAGAAGAAATGAAATTGACGGGAAAGCTTTATCTTTCTTTGAAAATTTTATTTTTCTTAACTGATTTAGGATTTTTTTTAAAAATTTTATCAATACCGTATTTCTTGATTTCTTTCTCTTGTTTTAATCTTAAATCTAGCTCACTTTATCTCAGGTCCTGAATAAAGGATCTATATATTTCTTATACCACTAATCATTGTACTTTTGTAAATATGCTATAGACGAGTGAATAAGCGTTTAAAATCTTTCCTTAATCCTGAGCCTGTCTCAATGTTTCTTTTGTTTAAAACGACAATAGTTTACTTTACTTTTAAAGGGTAAAATGTTTCTATGGGAAGTGTAAACTTTATGTTTAAAGTGTTTTCCAAGAGAACTATGAATTTATGCATTAATAGGCTTGGGTTACTTATTAATAGATGATGTTTTAAACCAAGAAAGCTGAAAGATTAGTCTCAAGCAACAAGCTCAAGCTAGAAGCTCAAGCTAGAAGCTCAAGCTAGAAGCTCAAGCTAGAAGCTCAAGCTAGAAGCTCAAGCTAGAAGCTCAAGCTAGAAGCTCAAGCTACAGTACTAATCAGTAATAAGACAGTAATAAGACGAATTGATTGTTTTTCATTTTTCGGACAGTAGATTCATTCTTGTAACTAATGCATCTCAATTATTTTCCCAGAAATCTAGCCGTACTTTAGAAGATTATAAATGAACTGGTGAGGTAGAAAGGGTGGGAAGCAAGAAGCAAGAAGCACACCTTCAAATCTACATGGTGCACGGTGGCCAATGTCTGCACCAGTTTAATGCAAAAAAAGGGGACAAAGGGGGGGGGAAGGAGAAAAGAGCGGGTAATGAAAATTGAATTCGGCCCCCGCATCTCACCCATGGGACTGGGCGATGGCCCCATTCGATTCTGAATTTTTTTTTGTGCTCATATTCGCCTCCATTCTCCATAGCCATTCATTTCCCCTTTTCACCCAAATAAAAGCATAATCTTAAATCAATTATTCAACGGCCAGTCTATTCATTGGGAAATTTTCACGTCTTCTTTTTTTTTTCTTGCTTCGATTCCCCCCCAAAAAAACATGATGAGCGTCTTTTGCGTCATTGGCTTTTTCTTAGTTTTCAAGAATTTCGTTGCATATCTTGCTATCGAATTTTTGGAATTTTCTTCCCTCCAACATTGGGCTTCTAAATTACTTCCTTGAAGCAATTTAGAAGCAAATTTCGCTCTCTAATCAATCTCAATTTACTGAATTTTCTTGGATTTTGGAATTTCGAAAAAATCGTTGATACTTTGATGAAAGAAAATCTGAAAGTTTAGCTACAGAATTTTACTATTTAGCTACAGAATCTTTTAGCTTTAGCTACAGAATCTTTACACAAACCGCTCATTTCCTGAATCTGCTTTTATTTCCTCCATTTTTTTTAATATTTTCATAAGAATTTCGGTTCTTCTTCGAGTCTTTTCATTGTGAAAAGCTATCATATGCAAAACCTAAAGCCAATTTGCTTTTCTTGGGGCAAAGGGTCAAAATAAACTCCGCCAATGGGTTCTACGAAAATCCGGGACACAAATTTTGAGCATTAAATATCATTTGGGAAAATAGTTTACAGTTTACGTTTACGTTTAATTCCATTATTTGTCTCTTTGCACCTGGGACTGGGAGAATAGGCTAAATCCGGATGACTAAAAAGGAAATGGATGGCCTAACTTCAAATCTTTTATCTATATCTATCTATTTTCAGTTTTTGATCAAAGAATTTGGAGATTTTGGGGGCAATAGGAACCAAATAGGAACTAAATAGGAACCAAATTGGAACGAAATAGGAACTAAATAGGAACTAAACTGGAGCCAAATATCGGGGACAGGGGGACTGGGGAGTGCATGTAGGGGGGAGCGACTAGCGGACGGGTGGGCGATTTTTGACTGGTCCGGTGGGGTTGGTTGGGATTTGGGGCGGGGGTGGCTCCTGGGGACTTGGGTGTGGTTGCGGCCGGGCCGAGGGCCCCGCTCGGTCGCTGAGAGCTCCTTTCCCCGTTAGAATCGTCGTTCTGATCAAAAGAGAGCACCTATCTATCGGGGGCGTGTGCCAGACGACGAGCGATTACACGGTCACACAGAGAACACGTCGCCAGCCACCTTGCACAATGATTTTGTCTGTAAATGATTCCCAAATGAGATTTAATGTTAATTATCTTGTGCCCGGAGTTCTCATTATCGTAGAACCCATTGGTGGAGTTTATTTGTACCCTTTGTCCCAAGAAAAGTCCGAAGAAAATAAAATTGGCTTTGGGTTTTGCATATGATAGCTTTTCACAATGAAAAGACCCGGATTTTCGAGCAGAACCAGAATTTCTTAAGATTTCTTTTGTTTGGATGGATATCTTTTTGAAAATTCTAAAATTTTCATGATTGTTTTTTTTGCAGAAATGCTTGACGGGGTCGATTCGTTGATGCGTTATCTCTCGACCAGTCGGGTGAGTAAGAAAAAACATAAAAAACATAAAAAACATAAAAAAACATTGTTTCTATAAGGTAGAACTTTTTATAATTGAACGATTATATCTCATGAATACTAAAATTTGTAAAACAAATATTCTTCTTCTTACTAGATATTAGATTTTAGAGTAGTTAGGTTGAAGTGTATCCGTTTAAATCAGTCAATCAAGTAAAGTCGATAAACTCGAGGTTGAACTGTTACCGTAAATACTGTAATAGTACCCCACCCCCATAATGATGGTGCGGAGTGTTGCGTAGTCTAGCTTTGGACGAGTTTTTCTCGACACTGGTTTATGCTACAACGCGCGCTTAGGTATCAAAAAATAGCTGAAATTCAGGGCTATTTTTTCATACCAAAGCCACATTTTTTGAAAGTACGGGCGCTTTGAAAAAAATGAAATACTAAAAAACTTTTGCGACTACGCGACTGCACGAGGGCGGTGGGGTCCAATTACAGTATTTACGGAAAGTAAACTATGAAATTTTAGCTCCTTTACGTTGTAACATACCGATTAAGATCAAAAGAAACATTACTTTTTACATTTTTTAAAATTTTTGAGTCTTAAAGCACAAAAAGCGTGTCTCTGTATGGTTTATTGTCATTTTTATCGTTCTGACTTCTATTTAATGGCTTAATGAACTTTATTTAAAAAGGTATTTTTAAAAAAAGTTAGTGAAAGTCATAGCACAAGGTGTTATCTAAAAGAAGTCAACTTGGGAGGGAAAACTACAATAAAACTCTAAAAATTGCCTCTAATTCTCCTAAACTTTAGTCGAATTTCGTAGATCTCATAAAAGGTATTTAAAGATGTAAAAAGTGGATAGATTGAATAGATTGGATAAAAGCTAGAGACAAGATTACGATAGTTTTGATATATAGATTGAGATTGGATTGAGATTGTGTTGGGATTGTGTTGGGATTGTGTTGGGATTGTGTTGGGATTGTGTTGGGATTGTGTTGGGATTGTGTTGGGATTGTGTTGGGATTGTGTTGGGATTGTGTTGGGATGTGTGGGATGTGTCGACATTGTGTGGCATTGTGTGGCATTGTGTTGGGATTGTGTTGGCATGTGTGGCATTGTGTTGGCATTGTGTTGGCATTGTGTTGGCATTGTGTTGGCATTGTGTTGGGATTGTGTTGGGATTGTGTTGGGATTGTGTTGGCATTGTGTTGGCATTGTGTTGGCATTGTGTTGGGATTGTGTTGGGATTGTGTTGGGATTGTGTTGGGATTGTGTTGGGATTGTGTTGGGATTGTGTTGGGATTGTGTTGGGATTGTGTTGGGATTGTGTTGGGATTGTGTTGGGATTGTGTTGGGATTGTGTTGGGATTGTGTTGGGTTGTGTTGGCTTGTGTTGTTGTGTTGGATTGTGTTGGGATTGTGTTGGGATTGTGTTGGGATTGTGTTGGGATTGTGTTGGGATTGTGTTGGGATTGTATTAGCATTGTATTAGCATTGTATTGGCATTGTGTTGAGCATTGTATTAGCATTGTATTAGCATTGTATTAGCATTGTATTATTTTAAAATACTCTCAAAATTCTCAGAGATCAAAGAAAGCCATTGTTTTCCATTCTCCAACCGTATCGTAAACATATTTATTTAGAAAAATAATTATCTTGACAGGTGGTGGAAAAGTTTTGGGAGAAATATTCAAAATTTAACGTGCATTTGAGTGGAAAACAAAAAGAACAGGTGGAATTTCGAGATTGTAAACGGCCGAAATTTTCCCGTCATTTTCAATTAATTTGTCTTCCTTGATCAGGGGAAATTCCCAGTAAATCAGCTAAAAAAAAAGATTTTTCTACTGCAGAAAGTGTTCTCTGAAAAGCTTGATGGAGCTTTGTCTTGCTAAAAAACTGAGTCTTCAAGTCTTCACTTTTCAGCACTGAAGATTTCACTAATCTTTTTGCAAATCCACCACCACCTAAAACTTCCCCTCATATGGCTTTTCTCATCGTAAAACTTTGCAACTTTCCATTTCCACTCACCTTCATTAAATCGATCTTACATTATTATTATAAAATCCATAAGATTTTCCTGAAGAGACCATCTATTGGGTTGATGGAAAAGTCCTTTCCGATTTTTTGGGAGAGTACCTTAAATTTGTCGAATTTTGACGTTTTATAGCTCATCCTAAAGCTGAATTCAAGACGGATCGATTGGTTTTGTTTTTGTTTTGTTTATGCGAACTTTGGCTGGACAAGTTTTTTTTAAAAACAAAAAAAAACGAGAAAAACGAAGGAAAATCGCGAAAAGCTCGGAAAGGCTATTGATCTGAGGGTCGCTGGTTCGACTTCCACCGGTGACAATATTTTTCGAAAACTTTTTGCTAAGATTCTGAAAATGCGTGTCTAGGGGTTATTTTTGACGCTGATCACGAAACACATGTTTTTAGCCTAGGTTTCTGCACGGAAAACTAACGAAACGTGAAAACAGCCATTTTTTGGCTCTGCCACCCTTTACTAAAATAGCTGTAAAAACTTTTAGAAAAGAGATATCTCAAAACGGTTTTTACCAATCGATCCGTCTTGAATTCAGCTTTCGGATGAGCTATAAAACGTCTAAATTGGAAAATTGGACAAATTTAAGGTACTCTCCCAAAAAATCGGAAAGGACTTTTCCATCAACCCAATATATCAAGCCAATACTAAAAGAAAACTGATCCTTTTGCCTTTGTATATTATAGTTTTGGTTAGCTTGAATACCAGGTCAGTCCAATCAAGTTAGATAAGCATGGCTTTGTGTTAGTATGAGTAATCTTTTGAACATCTTATCACCTGTAGTCAATAGGCATTTCGAAACCAAAAAAAGTCAATCTAAATCAAGTTAGATCAGGTTCAGAGTCTGATTGAACAAGTGTTCAATCTGTTCGGACTAATCTCTTAGTTTCTGTCTATTCAGGTATATTCAGACTAATCTCTTAGTTTCTGTCTTCTGGATCTGTGGAAAGAAGCTGGACAAAGCAGAAGCTGATCTTGGTCTTGGCTTGGCACTTACTGACTTTTTGGATCTCTTGCACTTACAGTTAAACATAGAGTTTCAGAAATAAGGAATGAATGTGTTAAGCAGATTTGGGCCAAGTTTACAGGTTACAGGTTTTACAGGCCAGGTTTGTAGAATCAAATTCCCCACAAGATCCAATGCCTTATTTCAAAGTTGAACATCAAATTTTGATTCTAAGATTTGATTCTAAGCAAAATCTCAGTGTTCATTAGGAGAAAGGAAAGTTTTTTTTTTTCTCGAGCAAAGAATGGTTGTTCTGATTGACCTCTTTCATCTTTTTCCCTTCGTAACATCATGTGATTGGGTAACTGAACGACACAAAAGGATTTTCCATCTTTTCTCATCTTTTTTCTTGCTTCTAGAAGATAGGAGAATATCTGATATTGTAAAAAAGTGATATTGTAAAAAAAAGTGTTTAATTTTTAAATGTGAAAATGCTTATTTGATGATTGAAGTTCGCTTTGAATTCTTTGAATTGAAGGGTTTAAAAATTTTTAAGGAGCATTTTCGCCTCCACAAGGGGGCATTTTCTCATACGCCAACTTTCCGTTTCCTCTAAAAGCTCCTACAGTTTGTTTTTTAATCGAGTTATTAAATTGTGGAACCTTTTGCCCCCTCATGTTCGTGGTATTCCCACCTTGGCTAGATTTAAAGCCGCAATTTCGGCAATTTCGGCAATTTCGGCAATTCATTTGACTGCTCTGTGATTCTTTCTTGGGGTATCTATTTGTCTTTGGAAATATGAGAATAAAGAAAATGAAATGTTATAGGATTTTTGGCTCAAATCTCTCACCTTTTTCACATTTACCGGCCTCGGTGGAAGCCCCGGAATTCGCAGGAGTACCGGGGGCACTCGAGCCCTTTCCATTCACAAAAAGAATTCAGCTCTTAGAAATGTGCAAATGCTTATTTGATGATTGAAGTTCGCTGATTGAAGGCTTTAAAATTTTTATACTCTATATTCCCACCTTGGCTAGATTTAAAGCCGCAATTTCGGCAATTCATTTGACTGCTCTGTGATTCTTACTTGGGGTATCTATAGCATGAACTAAGATATGCATGGCTTAGTCTTTAACATGAGCATATCGTCACTGGCAGGATCAACCAGATATGAAAACAAGTTGCGATCTCTCTGAGAGAAAACGTCGAAAATGCTTTCCGCTTTTGGCACCACGATACAGATAGTCACCAAACACGTTGCAAGCAACCAATACCCTAAAGCCTGAATGAACAAGCTGAGAGTAGTCGCTACGTCGCTGAAGCCTTTTAACAGCTAAAGCAATAGCTCACATTCCTGTGCTACGCGTTCTTGCATCACACAGGAAAGCAACCGACCATCCCTCTCCACAACATTGGGCATTGACTTGAAAATTTTTCTAAGTCCAAACTAAGACCAAACTAGTTTCTAAGCTCTTTTGGGGTGTGTTTTGAGTGGTGTCCCGGGTAATTATTGTGATTTTGTTTTGTTATCTTCATTTTCAATCTTCATTTTGTCGTTATTCAACTGAATAAAGCATCTAGATACTCTACAGTATTCCTTCTGTCTCTAATTTTATTTCATCAACTCCTTTTCACTTATCAAGTATCCCCTTCTTGACCTCTAAAGTGTACTTTGTGCTCAAAATTTTTAAAAGTACTCTTTCAAGCGTAAGCTCTTTCTTTCAAGAAGACATCCTGCTCGAAGTAAAGAATAAGAAAGAGTATACTAGAAAGAGTAAATTACGAATTTTTAAGCACAAAGTACACAGCAATGTACTTTGAAGTTTAAAATTGCTTCGATAAAGAAAAAAAGAAGATTTCTTTCCCAGTTTATTGAATGAAAACTTTTTGAACTTATTTGAAGTTTATTGAATGAAAACTCAACCATTAAAACCTTCAAGCAGTCAAAGAATCTCCTTTAACGTCATTCGTTTCAGTTTTCATTTAAAAAAAAATCATAAATCATAAAAAGCGAGAAAATTCGAGACTTTTGACGCTCTTCTCGAATTTCAAAATGGCATTTTTGGCTTTCGAAATTTGAAATTGAGACTGGTGTTGATCAAGGAAAAGCTTTCAAAATTGAAATTTCAAATTCAAAGTCATATTAGAATTTTTCCTGATCATCTCAAATCAAAATTTTTTGATTTTTGAAATCAAATCTTGCCAAATAGATCGTCTCTTTTGGCTTTTATCTAGTTTATCTCACTTGGTCTGACCTGGAAACGTGGTTATTTACCCAACAAACTGACACTAATTGACAAATGAATCAGAATAGAATCAATAGAAATGAATAGAATGAATAGAATCAATAGAAAACATTTGAATCAAATCTTGCCAAATCGATCGTCTCTTTTGACTTTTATCTAGTTTATCTCACTTGGTCTGACCTGGAAACGTGGTTATTTACCCAACAAACTGACACTAATTGACAAATGAACGAATGACAATGAATGACAACGAATGATCAGTGATTTTTGAAACACTAATAGCAAGTTAGCAGAATTTTGGCAGTGAACTCCAAGGCCAGCACTAGAAATGTCTTTTTTTTTTCTCAATTTGTTCTGAATGATGTCATGCCGAAGCCTATAGATTACGCATCAAAGTCATATTAGAATTTTTCCTGATGATCTCAAATCAAATTTCAAATAAAACCCATTAAAGCTAACAAAAAAAGTGCTGCTTTTCTTCTCAAAGAAGCCTTATTTATCTTATTTGAGCCATTTTTTTTTCTTGCACATTCTTGATATTTTCCGATATTTTGTGCGGAAAGAATTTCTTTTCCTTGTCGATTTTGGTTCCTTTTCTTGCATTTCCCTCAAATTTCTATGCATTTTCGATTATCTAGCAGTCTTTTTTTTGGCTTTTTTATTTCCTGACGATGACAAGAGTCTTTTTGATGTCAACTCGACACTTTTGACTTTTGACTTTCATGATCGTCATCTTAAGACCATTTTTTTATGGAATTGTGTTTATCGTAAATACTGTAATAGTACCCCCACCCCCCTCGTACAGTCGCGTAGTCGCGTAGTCGCAAAAGTTTTTTAGTATTTCATTTTTTTCAAAGCGCCCGTACTTTCAAAAAACGCGTCTTTGGTATCAAAAAATAGCTGAAATTGAGGGCTATTTTTTGATACCTAAGCGCGCATTGTAGCATAAACCAGTGTCGAGAAAAACTCGTCCAAAGCTAGACTACGCAACACTCCGCATCGTCATTATGGGGGTGGGGTACTATTACAGTATTTACGGTAGATCTTTTAATCAAATTTTTCTTATTACTAACTGTTTTTAAACTGTTTTTTCTTTGATTTCTGATTTTTTAGAAATTCGTTTGCCTACTTTTCTTAAGAATAAGTGGATGATTGGATCATTAGAATAGAATAGAATCAATAGAAAACATTTGAATCAAATCTTGCCAAATCGATCGTCTCTTTTGACTTTTATCTAGTTTATCTCACTTGGTCTGACCTGGAAACGTGGTTATTTACCCAACAAACTGACACTAATTGACAAATGAACGAATGACAATGAATGACAATGAATCACAACGAATCACAACGAATGATCAGTGATTTTTGAAAGACTAATAGCAAGTTAGCAGAATTTTGGCAGTGAACTCCAATGCCAGCACTAGGGCCACTAGGGCCAGCACTTTTTTCTCAATTTGTTCTGAATGATGTCATGCCGAAGCCTATAGATTACGCATCAGAGGATTCAAGAAAAGCAAGAAAAGCCAAAAAAAAAATGAAGAGAAACAAACCGAACATAAAAAATTCCATTCATCTGAGGACAAGGGGAAATTTGGAAAAAGAAAGAGTCGAAATTAGAGGTATTTCTTAGAGAGAAAGGGGGAAATGAGAAGAAATGGGAGTAGTTGGAGAAGATGGAAAATGGAGGAAGATGAAAGAAAAAAAAATGAAGAAGAGGTCAAGTTTTTTTCCTCTTTTACTTGTTCATTCGCTGATTGAACACTACTTTCCCTTTAGCTCTTCATCTTCAAAAAAAGGCCAACAAGACTAAAAGTATTCAGCTATCGATTGGGAAAAGATTCAGCTAAAGTTTGAGCTAAAATATTGAGCTATTGAACTAAATAGCTTTTTGAATCACCATTTCTCCAATCAGACATCTAAATTTCACTTTATCACAAGATTTTAAGCATAAAACAATTCCAATTTGCACTAAAATATTCACTAAAAAAACATCTACAAAAGATTCTAAAAAATCTATAGATATTTCTGAGTATTTAGTAAAATTCTGTGCAAAATATCCAAGGTTCAGCATCTACTTTTTACTTTTAAACGGATCTATCTAGCTTTGAGCTTATCTCATTCAACAAAAACTCTTCAATATTTATTATCTAACAGCTGAAAATTAGATATTTAAATATATTCAATATTTCTATAAACTCTGCATTATTTCTATTTCACGATTTGATTCTAATCTTTTCTCTAATCACTCAAAAATATGAGCAAACGGCGGATGTCCTGCATCGAGTTCTTGGTTAAAGATTAAAAAAACAATTACCGTATTTCTTCGAATAGAAGACCGGGTAAAGAGTATGATCGCGTACTCCTGCGTAGCAGCCCTTTTTAAAATTTTGTTTCTGCATAAAAGCTTTCAATGAAGTGCTATAGGGCTGGAAAATGACTCAAAAATACGACATGAGCTAACAGATTTTTGAGCCATTTTTCAGCTCTATAGCACTTGATTGAAAGCTTTTATGCAGAAAGGAAATTTTAAAAAGGGCTGCTACGCAGGAGTACGCGATCATACTCTTTACCCGGTCTTCTATTCGAAGAAATACGGTAACCAAAATGATTAACAATCTATTTATTAATCTATTTATTAAACAATCTATTTTCTATCTCTTAGCAACAAATTTTTAAAAACTGATTTTACAAATTCGAATTTAATTAGAGCTTAGAGCTTTTAAGTGGACGGGAAGGGACGAAATCCCGGGCTCAGACTTTGAAGACTCAAAGCTGGGAATTTAAGCTGGGAATATGCAAATTTTTGGTCTATAAATGTTTGACACACACATAAAGTTAAGGAAAGAACAAAATTAACAAAATTTTCAGTGATTTTTAGGACAAAACTTTTTCTTTACAGCTCTGATAATCTGATAATACCTCGAAAAAAAATCCAATCTGATCTCTTACTCCTACAGGCTGCGGCAAAAGTTCAATCCTCTCTAAACCCTAACTCTCTCTCTCTCTAACACCTTTAGATTTATTAGAGCTTTTAAGTGGGCGGGTAGGGACACGATCTTCAATCCTCTTTTTAGAATCCTCTCTAAAAGCTTCCTGGTTGGCTTTATTTCATAAGTATTTATAGCCAAAAGATAGCCAATCTTTTACAGAATTCAAATCTTATTACAGTTTTTTAATAACACCTCTAGATTTATTAGAGCTTTTTAATGGGCGGAAAGGCACGAAATCCCGGGCTCAGACTTTGACGACTCAAAGCTGGGAATTTAAGCTGGGAATATGCTAATTTTTGGTCTATAAATGTTTGACACACACATAAAGTTATGTAAAGAATAAAATTAACAAAATTTTCAGTGATTTTTCGAACAAAAACTTTTTCTTTACAGCTCTGATAATCATCAGTCGTCCAAATTCCGTTTGTGAGATCTCATTCTATTTGCTTTTTAACATTTTGCTAATTTTTCAAAAAAACTTTAAAAGCTTAGTACTTGCTATTTTGGAAATTATAAATTTTATTAGATAAAGATTTAAATTTAAAGATATTTTCAGGCTCGAAGCGTCATCCCGCATATCGAGGTGACACCGAGTCGAAAGCTTTCCATACCGAATCAACTCAGATTCACGAGGACGTGCAGGTTTGAAAAGAGTTAAGTAAAGAATAAAATTTACGTTTTTTTATAATAAATGTCGAATCTTTAAGCTATGGCTTTAAGCAGTTGAGCTACGCTAGACTAACTATGGACCTTTACGCTTAATGGCGGCGGCCAATTTTTTGACCAACTTGCAGCCCGATTTTAGATAGGTTTATGTTAATAACTTTTGATAAAAGAAATAGTTTCTGAAAGCTGGCGTTTTAAGCTATCTAAATTTTATTAAAACTTCCTGATATGACAAGTTCAAGGTGCTTAAAAATGAACTGCAAGTTGGCCAAAAAATTGCCCCCCCCCCCGCCGTTAAACGTAAAGATCCCTAACCTATAAGCTTTTCTCAAAAGCCTTTTTCAAAGTACTTGCCTAATTAAGGACTGAATTGGTATTTCAAATGAAAATGCTGACGACTTTAATGATTCGATTAAGATTTTCCTTTTCAGTAATACTTAAAAATGAAGTTACATTCAAGATATTCAACCATCTTTGGTACAGATCAAACTTGTAAGCGGAAAATTTAATATCTTTCGATTTTCCCAACGAATCGGGCAGCTACGCACTGCGACCGAGAAAGCGGAAAAACGTAGCTGCCCCATTTGTTCATTTTTCCTTTGAAAATTAAAAGATATTCAAATTTTCCGCTGATCCAGACTATAAGTAAAGCTTTTTCATTTTTAAAAACCAAAAAGTGAGGGGGTGGGACAAATGCGACCTTTTTTTTGCGCACCTTTTTTTTTGCTGGAAAAGGCCTTAGGAAAGGTCGTAGAGCTTCAAAAATGTTTTCATAGAAGGGAATCGTATGCGTAGATTCCGAATTTCGACAAATCAGACCTCGCTGACACGTCAAATTTGGGCTAAAAGGCAAAAACTACGCAACTTAACGCTTTTCCGCAGTTTTTGCCTTTTAGCCCAAATTTGACGTATCAGCGAGGTCTGATTTGTCGAAATTCGGAATCTACGCATACGATTCCCTTATATGGAAAAATTTTCGAAATATTTTCGAAGCTCTACGGTCTTTCCTAAGGCCTTTTCCAGCAAAAAAAAGGGCATTCCAGGGCGCAAAAAAGGTATTGTCCCACCCCCAAAAGTGATGCTTTTTTTTTAAACTCTTTAAAGTTTTCCTCGAAAATGACTAATCGAAAAGTCAAAAGATTTTAAAAGTTCAAATTTTAGATCATAATCACGTTTTAAAATCCATTTTTGATCATTGATATCCATTTTTTCCCCGAAATGATGTGATCCCTTGATTTTTTGTTCACTGTGCTCTCCTAATCAGCGCTCCCCTGAGACAAGGAAAAAAATTGCCTACATTTTTGATGAACTTCATATTTCTACATATTTCAAAGCTTGAAATACAATATTTGTATAATATTTGCTCATTTTCAGTCACGACACTTTGGATAAACTCGAGAAAACGTGTCGAAAAGAGTTGAAGTTGCAGAAAATGGCGCTCGAATCGACGACTCCACAGGTTCATTTTTTTGGGGATAAATGTTTGAAAATGAGAAATTTTCGGACATTTATTTATTTACATTTCCCTTCTGATAAGCGCTGAATTGATTATAGAAATAGCATAAAAATATGTTTCTTTTTGTCTTTAAAAGAACACTCACGCAAAAGCCGAGCCAAAATGGGCTAAAATCTAATCCACTTTTTATTAAAACATCGGAATTTGTTTTAAAAAAACGAAAAAAAGATTCGAATTTAGCTCGGATTATTTAAAATAAGCCGGAAATTCTCTAAAAGGTACAGAAATTTGTTTTTCCATTTTTTTTTTACAACTTCGAGCCTTTTAACGGGTTTCCGGTGCTCTTTTTAAGGGGAATTAGAAACCTTTCGCGAGCGGGAGGGTGGGACAAATGCGATCTTTTTTTTGCGCACCTTTTTTTTGCTGGAACAGGCCTTAGGAAAGGTCGTAGAGCTTCAAAAATGTTTTCATAGAAGGGAATCGTATGCGTAGATTCCGAATTTCGACAAATCAGACCTCGCTGACACGTCAAATTTGGGCTAAAAGGCAAAAACTACGCAACTTAACGCTTTTCCGCAGTTTTTGCCTTTTAGCCCAAATTTGACGTGTCAGCGAGGTCCGATTTGTCGAAATTCGGAATCTACGCATACGATTCCCTTTTATGGAAAAATTTTCGAAATATTTTTGAAGCTCTACGGCCTTGCCTAAGGCCTTTTCCAGCAAAAAAAAGGTGCGCAAATGTCCAGGTGCGCAAAAAAAAGGTCGCATTTGTCCCACCCCCCAATAAGTATGATTAATTTTATCTCCTGGATATTCTTTTAAAAAAAGCTTTAGAAGTTTTCAGTTAGGGGAAATATTTTAGAAAAAGTTATCAAAGTAAATACCACTTTCTGTAATCTTTGATCAATTGTCTCCAAAAATCACCCATTTTACCAAAAAAAAATCCTCCAATTTCTCTAAATTCTCCTTTCATTTCGCGTCTCCAATGAAATATTTTTGCGCCACAAAATTGGATTTTCGTTTTGTAAATGAGATGGAAAAAAATGGCATAGAAAAAAAAAGAAATGCAAATAAAAACATCACTTTCTCACATTTTAAGCTATATTTTGAATTGAAATCATGCTTAAGATTGTCGTTTTTTTATTGATTGATAATGAGCTTTATAGTATATTTAATATTTATCTTCAACGTGAATTGAATCAGCTTCAGCTCATTTTTCAGCAAGCGTCAGTCTCCTGTCTTCTCCCGTCACCCTCAATGTGTCCGTTGATGAGCGATTTGGGAAGATCCCGCACCGAACCCTCGAGTCTCGATGCACACGATGAAGCCATATTACAGGTTTCGTTTTATCAGTTGATTTTTTTTTGTATAATTGAAATTGAGTGAAAAATTATTGTTCTAGACGAAGCGCTCTATGTCAAACTTGTCGATCGAGACGCCGACAAAGAAGTCGCTTGCTGAAGTGATTGGTGAGGATTAGAATTCAGTCTTGATCAAATATAAACTCCAGGCCTCACCACCTATCAACAAAAACTCTTGATTCAAGCCTGGCCAACGATTTATTCGACGGGAGTCGGTGGCAGCTTTGCTTCGTCGATTTTTATGTATCTCGGGATGAAAAATTCGAAGGCAAAGCAGATTTTCGCAAAGGTGAGCGGATTTTAGATTTTTTATGTAGCCAAATTCAAGTGACAAAATTGGTTTGCCTCAAATTCTTTAATACCTCGAAAAAAATCCAATCTGATCTCTTACTCCTACAGGCTGCGGCAAAAGTTCAAGTCCTTTTTAGAATCCTCTCTAAAAGCTTCCTGGTTGGCTTTATTTCATAAGTATTTATAGCCAAAAGATAGCCAATCTTTTGCAGAATTCACATCTTATTACAGTTTTTAAATAACTTCTTTAGATTTTGAGTTATCGCTATTCTATGCTCTTTGAAAAAAGTATCTATGGTCGCACATATTTTTGCACTTTTTCATTGCAAAAATTTCTATAAAAAAAAAAACTAATTAAAAAAGTTTTTTTTTTTTTCTTTTTGGAAAAAAAAATTTTGGGGTAGGGGGGGGGGGGGGGTCAAAATTTGCATAATTACATCAATTTTTATTTAACTTCTCTGTTGATTTTCCGGCAATTTTTATTATTTATTTTAACAACAACAATTTTAAGAAATTTTTGAACGCGTTTTTTATATTTTTGATTTACTTACTTTCTTTATTTAGTTATGGCGGGTGTCGCTGCAGCAAATAGATTAGAGTTAAAAACTTTTAAGCTATTGAAAGAATGGCCCAAAATTGCCGCAATAGTTGTTTTGATTTTGATTGCAAAGATGTTGCAAAAATGAATATTAAAATGAGCGTGAAAATCAACAAAAAAGTTAATGGCAAATTGATGTAATTATGCAAATTTTGATTGCTCCTTCTCCCTAAACTCCCATAGCACCACAATTTTTTTTGAATACTCCTAATCGTCTGTTTAACAGATTTTCTTATACTGGTAATACTAGTAACTGGTACGACCACAGAGCTCACGCAAATTGTGATAACTCAAAATTTAAAGGAGCTATTTAAAAAAGGTAATAATATTTAAATTCTGTAAAAGATTGACTATCTTTTGGCTGCAAACACTTAAATAACATTGAAATCAGGGAGAATTCAATTAAAGATAATTTAAAAAGGACAGAACTTTCGCCGCACTCTGTATTTACATGGCTTTTAAGTTTATTCTCTATGTATTTCGCAAATTTCAGGCAAACAGTGTGGCTGTGTTTGCAAATAGTGAAATGGATTGCACATCAATGCACTCACGGGCAACCCTCGATCTGCTGGACACGATTGTGAAATGTCTCGATCAAGATCACACAAAGATCACCGCTTATCTGTTTGAGGTTTGTTGACGGGGAAGAGGCCACTGGGGTTGATCAATTAAGGTATAATTTGTCTAATAGTGATCCTCAGATTACACTTGACAAGTGGTAAACGCTAGAATGGTAAACTAGGTTTTTTGTTTCCAAATCTTGTACTGAACCAAAGTTTAGCTTGGAAAGCGACATCGCTCTCTGCGACAAGACGGTCTTTGTAGCACAGTTTGGGATGATATGGGTGAGTTGAATAGGATTTTGGGACATTTGACAATTTGCCATTGGCAATCCAACTTTGAGCTCAAATATCTTGGTGTTGGACTGTCCAATTCAAATAGTTTTTGCACCAATCGACAGAGAACTTCAATGATACGAAGAACATTTAAATTCGACAGCCGAACACCAAGATATTTGAGCTGAAAGTTAGATTGCTAATGGGAAAAGGGGTGTATCAAATGTCCAATAACCGTTGAATAGAGAAAGAACTTTCCTCACTTTACTTTCACTTTCACTTTGATCACTTTACTTTCAGGTGATTCCTTATTGGAGAGTGTTCGTCGATTCGATTGTGTTCGAAAGCACAAAGAGTTGCGGAGAGCTTGGCTATCCGTTTTTGCCTATGTCACTGATAACCTCAAACAGGTACAGTACTCAAATAGGTCTTCGACAGTTTATCGGGCTGTACTTTGTGCTCAGAAACACACCGCATCTGGTGCACGCACATACTTGCCCTTTTCTTCTGGCACACGAGATTGTGGAGTGTGCCAGAAGATGTACGCTTGTCATTTATGAGCTGAAAGTATGCAAAAAAAGCATAAACTACGAAGATTTGAGCTTAAAGTTACTTTAGGGTGCAAGTATCCGAAGTTCAAGCTCCTACGATCTCCATCAAAACTCGTTGGATAGCGAGAAATCAAGCCTGCCCCTCCATAAAAAGAGTGTGATATAAAAAGAAAAACCAGCCGAATTACGGTAACCGTAGTGCAAATTCCGAAAATCTCTGATCTCGTCGTATTGTCATTTCTTTCTTTGGCTTGCTAGATGTGATTTTGGCTGCCTTGTAAAAAAAAAACTTTGTAACATTTAAAAAATTTTCTAAACACTCAAAATTCTTGCAGGATTTCAGACTTCATTAATCAAATAAGGTAGGAAAATTGTTTTAATTAAAGTCAAAATCAAAAGCAAAATCAAAATCTCTTCATCTTTTCCCGCTTGCACATATCAAATTGCTTGTCAAAATTATTCGAGTATTACTATTTTTTTTTTGGTTTTTTTCTTTCTGTTTGTGATTTGTGATTTCAATAAATGGTTTATCAAATCAGATTTTGAATTTTGAGAATCATTTATTTCACATCTCTATTTTTCGATCTAGAAAAAAGAGACGAAAAATTTGTGGGAATCGGGAGGAAAATGGGAGTTGAGAAAAACTTACAGGGCTAAAAGAGTGAGCACCAGGATATGCAATACTGGGAAAAGGATTCTCGAGTTTTTGATAGGAAATGGAAATCCTGGATGGAAGACCGGCAGCTCCTTTACAAGAGCTTTCCAGCCTTGCCCTCAAGTTCCGGTGATGGCCTAGTGGCCTAGCACATTCACTTTCCGCTCGGGCCACCCTGGTTCGAGTCCATCTCTGACCAATTGTTCATCTTTTTGCTTTATCTCTCAAAAACCTCGAGAACCCTGTATTATGCTGAGTGTCGAATTGTCTTTTCTTCTTACAAGGCCTTCTTTTGAATAAAATGAAACCTGTCCGTGAAATTGAAGCAATCCAATAGGCATTCATACAGGATAAGTGAAAGGAAATGTCCTAAAAAACAAAAACAAAAAGCTCGATACATATTTTTGATAAAGAATTGGCAAATCGGAGAGATGTCATTGTCGAATGCATAAGTTACGAAAGAAAATGGGAAATGATGAAAAGAAATGCCGCTAATTTCACTAGCACTATGGAAGAGAATACACGATTTGTGGGCGAAAATTTCCATAAAAAAAAAATCATTGAAATCTCGGCACTTTTCGGTTATTTTTTGAGCAGATTTGGGCGAAATGAAACAAAGTTTTTGGTTTTTTTTTTTCCGGGGAATGCTCGACGATTTGTTTGTTTGTTTGTTTGTTTGTTTGTTTGTTTTTTATCTTCTATACAATTTCCATTCGTTTTGGCTTCTCTTCGTCATCGATGGCTTGGATTAGCTGAAAAAAAAGTTGGATAATTGAGCAAATTTTGAGCAAATTTGATACAGTAATACGTTTTGAATTAAAAGAAGTTAACTTCTTTTATTTCAAACAGCTTTAACTCTTGAATATCAGAGAAAACGATACGATAATGTTAGCCAAAAAATACAAAAACTTTGCTACAGAGAAATTTAGCATGAAAAAGCTTTCTTTCTTTCTTTCTTTCGTTTTCTTTCTTTCTTTCGCTTTTGGCTTTCTTTAGAATCAAAAAAAGACTACGGTATACAATTCAAAAAAATAACGATTACTAGAATCAGTTTAGCTGCGCTTTTTACTTTTCAACTTGACAGATACAATGAAATATCATATTTGAAAAAAGATCGTCACTTTCGCGCGTCTGTAACTCCCCTTGTCTTTGAGTTTAAACTATTAGTATTATACATTTTCTGAAAGCTCTTTTCAACGGCTACACAATGGTAATATTAATATTTAGAAATACGGTAAAGACAAGGGAGTTACAGACGCGCGAAAGTGACGATCTTTTTTCAAATATGATATTTCATTGTCCAGTACTGTATCTGTCAAGTTGAAAAGTAATTGTCATTGTTCATTGTCCAGTAGTGTAGGTAAATCTAATGGTTTCCTAGTGCAAGCTATTCAATCATTGCATACAAAACTATAATAGAAGTTTGAATAATTTTAAGCTCACTATTAGTAAGTTGTAAACTCAAATAGTTCACTAATCGCAGTACTAGAGTCATTTCTAGACCTGGGAATTTCCGGTGTGAACACCAATAGGCGTACAACGGGGAAAAATGGCATATCTCAGCCAATTTCAACTCCGATCTATTTGGTTTTGATATCATTTGACGCAGAATTTAATTTTCTATTGATTGGAATCAATGGCAAAAAGATTCGAGTGAAATTGACCAAGATATGGCATTTTTCCATTGGACATCTATTGACGTCCGCAACGCAAAATCCCCAGGTCGAGTCATTTCCCTACCTGTTGCCTTTGTGTCCTCGGTCGAACGAAAAGCGTCCACACGAGCGGAATCAACGCGAACGCCGACAATTTCAATATCGTTGTCGTACTAAAAAAGTGAATATTTAAAAAAAAAATTGTAACAATTGCATTTTCACAATTTACAATTTGTCAATTTGAAAAATAGAATATTTACCTGAAAATATCATCCCATGACTTTAAATCAGCAAGGAAAATCCCCGCTTGCACACAAATTATATTATAAGGAGCAAGACCTGAAAAGTTTTCTAATAAAAAAGTGATTTCCAGTAAAAACTAACCAAAGAAAGCGGTGATTGCAAAGATTTTGAGTGGAATATTGAGGAATGGGGCAACGATGTTGAGAAGCCAAGAAGGAGAGATCGGAAAGATTCGAGCGAAGAGCAAAAATGGAATCAAGCGATTCGAGTTGTCGTCGATCTGCAAAACGGGCAAATGGTTGAGAGCTTTTCGGAGCTTATAGCAAATCAGAATCTGAGCTTTTTTTCAGCTCAAAAACAATAAAAAAGCAAACATTGGTGCTACAAAGTGACTGGATGACATTCTTTGAAACCTCTTTCGAACTCACCTTTTGCTGCAGATATGTGAGCTTTTGGCCAAAATAATAGAGAACGTATTCCCTGCCGAAAAGCTCGGAGAAAAGATAGCAAAGAGAGGAGCCGATTGTGGTTAAAAAACAGCAAAGAACGACTCCTGGCCAGAAACCAAAAACCGCGCCAGCGATCACGTTCTAAAGTTTCATTGTTAATCACAATCTCGGATTGTTAATCACAATCAAAATTTCATTGTTAATCTATAACTATATTTCTTAAATATTTCTAATCTTTAAGTTTTACTGTATGTAACTTCTGTAATCTTTTCTGTAAGTCTTGTAGGCTTTAGAGTGGGAGAGAGAGAGAGAGGGGAAATTCTTTGAACCGAGTTTAGTATTGAACTTGTATTGTATGAAATTATTATACAGTCGACCCTCGTTATTGAACTATGGAAAGGATCCTAAAAAACCGTTCACTATCGAAGTTTGATTAGTATTAAATCAACTCAAAGGGATCCTAAAAGCTTAGATTACTATCGAGGTTCGTTCACTAACGAAGTTCGACTCTAAATCAATTCCTCTAACTCTTCTAAACTCTCTCATTAGCTTTTTTTTTTCAATTAAACTATTTAGCTCAATCTTTTTCTATAAAGCTAATCAATCAACGTCAAAAAAAATGCTTTTCTTTTGTCATTTGGCTTACAATTAAACAGGTTATGCATTGTCAGCTTTCTCTTAATTTCTCTTAATTTCTCTCAATTTCTATAATTGTTTATGAGATAAATCAAGATAAAAATGATGACAACTAGGGCAAAATCTTTAAGACAATGAAGCTAGCATTTAAAAAAAAAACTGACCAAGAAAAACGATCCGGGAATGGCGAACGTCTGTTTGTAGAGATATGTGTAGACAAAAACGGCGCTAATGTACCCGAAATGTTGTTCTTTATACGTTTTGAAGCGATCCGCCAAAACGGTGAAATTCTCGAATTGTTGCGGCAACTCGAACGAGGCGATGCTATCTGAAAGTAGTAAAAGTGAAATAGTATTTTTTTGAGGGATTAGATAACAGACATTTCTAGATCGATCTTTCAATTTTTACTTATCATTATAAGGAGATATATTGTCTCAAATTTCAGAAAAGTAACACATTAAATTAATACTTTTATTTGTTATTGTACTTTATTTGTTTCATTTGTTATCATAGAATGACATTTTGTTAAGTGTTTGGAAAAAGTTGAGTTCTTGTAAAGTTTACGAGGTTTAAAAGCTTATTTGGTCCAAAAGCTTATTTGGTCCAAAAGCTTATTGGGTTCAAAAGCTTATTTTGTCCAAAAGTTTATTTAGTCCAAAAGCTTATTTGGTCCAAAAGCTTATTTGGTCCAAAAGCTTATTTGGTTCAAAAGCTTATTTGGTCCAAAAGCTTATTGGGTCCAAAAGCTTATTTGGTCCAAAAGCTTATTTGGTTCAAAAGCTTATTGGGTCCAAAAGCTTATTTGGTCCAAAAGCTTATTGGCCCAAAAGCTTATTTGGTATGATTTTGGCTTTAAAATTAGTTTCTTTAATGAGCCATTCTTGTGATTATCTTCAGGAAATCGAAGTGATTACTTTTGTAGATGTTTTCTGTTCTTTTCTTTTCTATTGACTATAAATTATCAATAGATCAATAGATTCATCATTATTCTTTTAGAAAAATATCAATTTACATATAAAAACTAAGTAGAACTCAAAGGAAATATTAATAGAAATAAAAAAGCTTTTCAAAAGCCCTTTAAAGCCTTTACAAGAGTCAAAAGTTGATTTATTTTAGTAAATTCATAAAAGGAGAAAACGAATTTAAACACAAACCTGCCGTTGTTTCCCATCCCGGCGCTGAGCATATCAAATACCAGAGAGTGATGGAAGCGGCGGCGAAGATGGCCGGTAAGATGAACAGCCGAGTCATCTAACCTCCCTGCAAATAAGAAGTATCTTCATATTTTAGCTTATTTGCAGTCAATGGTGATTTCTATCCTCAATCACTTTTTGCACTCACCTCTTCGCCGCTTCTTCCTCTTCCGATTTTCCCAAATGCAGCAACTGCCCGCTTGGGGTGGAATCTGAAAAGAAATTATAGAAAAAAGAAAGCTCGAAGCTTTAAGCGCTTAACATTTTCAACAAAACCGGTTTTTGGGGGTCGAATGAAAGGATAAAAGATTGGGGAAGAGACAGTTACGCAATGAAACGACCTTGTCATCACTATAATGTTTCTGAAAAAAAACTCAGTGGAATCTTACAAGATGACTAGAGTCTAAAGTCAGATGACTAGAGTCTAAAGTTTTCAAAATCACTTTCCAAAGTCATATTTTAACAATTTCAATTGAAAAGCATTGAATTTCAAGAAGGAAATGAAAATTTGACTTCAAGAAGTTAACTCAGAACAATAATAGAACTAAAGAAGTCATTGAAAATTGAAAAATTAAAAGTTTTGTTAAACTAAAAAGTTGAACAATCAAATGTTTAGCAAGAGAGATGAAGGGATTGGAAAGAATGGTAAAAAATGGTGTAAAAAGTTTCCCCCCAATCACACAGAGGAATGAGCTATGGGGTGATAGAAGGGAGCCTTCACCCCACAGCGATTTCTCTCCGTGTACCCCTGAGGGCACAGCGAAAGGGGGAAGGGGTAACCAAGAAGGTGGACCGGTTTCGATGAGGGCAGACTATCCCCCCTTCACCCTTCAAATAGTCTCAACAACGAGCGGAGAAACGTCTCTTTTGCTAGAAAAAAAGCTCGGCCGGATCCCCGTCGCTCATTAAGAGGCTATCTATTTTTGCGAATGATTCTACAATGGCACAGAATCATGTACGCTTTTTCTTAGGATTTGATAGAATTTAGTATCTAGGAGTGAGAGCTTTTTCAGCTTTCAGCTAACTTTTTCAATAAATAGACAAAAAGTTCAACTCACTTTTCAGAAGCTCCGCCGTTTTTCTGATCTTCTTTTTCAGCTTTTGATTAAATGACAGAGGAAATCGATTGGGTTGTTCGGCTAGAATTTTTCTTTTTAAACTCAAGATTACAAAGAAAAAGAAAAAGAGATTTCAGAAGACAATTCAAATTTGAAAATATTTTGAGAAGAAGGAAAAAGAAAAGTCATGAATTTCGGATTAAAGCACAAAAAAAAGTGGTCAAAAACTCTTCTCATGCAAATTTCTTTCAAAGAGCGCTTTTTTCCACGAAAAAGTCAAGTTCTTTCCTCTTGCCTGGGCACGAAACCGGTCAAAACGCTGAAGAATGAGGATTGGATATGAGAAGAAAAAGGTGAGGAGAAGAGAGAAGAAGGGAGGGGATCAGTCTGACAATGACTGTGCAAGAAGGAGAGATCAGGCTATCATCGACCCGTGAAAACCCCAGAAAGCAACGAGGGTCAATGAGGCTAAACATCAAATGTAGATTTGAAATTGTTGGTTAGGAATTGGTTCTTTTGAGGATCAGGATTTCGACAGGAAAGGAAAATCGAAAAACGAAATATTGGCTTTTTTTAGACGTACGAGTTCCTATGGAAATTTCTGGAATTTCTCAAAAGTTTTTTTGTTCTTGTAAATTGTTCATATAGAATTTTGGCTGCTAGTTTTTGCTTTAAGCTTTTCAGCTAAAATTTTCCTTTCATTTTGTTAGTTTAGTTATTTAATTTTCCTTCAGCTTTTCAAGTATTGTAAAAGTTTTGAATGATTTGAAGAAAGTCGTTTAAAAGTCGTTTTAAAAAGTTTGAAAGATCAAGAACCTAGTTAAAGTTTGAAAGAGATTATTACAAAAAGAATGTCAAAAAGTTTACAAGAGTATCCAAGAATCGAAGCTTTCATTTGGATCCTTGGATACAAATCGTTTTGGATCAGGTGAAACGGTTTTGGATTGGGTGAAACAGTTTTGGATCAGTTGAAATCTGCTTTTGATTACCGTTTTCTAAAAGATGCGCTTAAGGAAAAGGTATTTCTTGGATCACTGATTTGTTTATTGGTCATTTTGCTTATACTAGAGTTCAATCCGAAAGTTGAATTACAGTTTAAAGTACACTAAATACTAACTACAGACTTATCTGGACGCTTATCTGGTGATACAGTACCTTTTCATTAAACACACCTTTTAGAAAACTAACTTAATAATTAGTTTCAGTTTTGGATCAATTGAAACAGTTAGCAGAGTCTTTTGTCTAGCAGAGTTTTCAATTGATTATTTTGAATTGAATTCTCGATAATGAAGATGAAATTAAATGAATTGAAATGAAAGATTCATAAAAATTTCTGATGGAATTTCTGATGGAATTTCTGATGAGACTGTTATTCAGAAAGAAACATTTCTGAATAACAGTCTCATGACCCGACACATCCGAATCAAATATTTCAAATGGTATCAGTAGAAAAAGAAATTTGCTCGCTGGATCGTTTGAGTTCAGATGAATCAGTGAAAAGGGAAAAGAAGAAAAGCAGAAAAGAAGGGTTGACTCACTGGAAAAGTCTCCCCACTTTTACATCACTTTCAAAAGATTTCAAATACACTCACAATATGGAAAAGGAAAAGCTTGAGTGTACGATTGTGAGACTAGATTGTAGTTATTTCTTGGAAAATGGTCAATGATATTGGTTTAAATTTGTCTTCAAAGAATAGAATTTATGTAGAATGTCAAAGAGTTTACAAGAAGAAGCTTCCACTTGGATTCTTGGATACAAATCGTTTTGAGATCAGTTGAAACAGTTGAAATCAATTTGAAAGCTATTGGAAAGGATTTGAAAAGCTAATTGTAAGTTAAAGTTAAGCTAAAGTTAAGCTAAAGTTAAGCTAAAGTTAAGCTAAAGTTAAGCTAAAGTTAAGCTAAAGGATAAGCTAAAGGATAAGCTAAAGTTTAACTAAAGTTAAGTTAAAGTTAAGTTAAAGTTAAGCTAAAGTTAAGCTAAAGGATAAGCTAAAGGATAAGCTAAAGGATAAGCTAAAGGATAAGCTAAAGGATAAGCTAAAGTTTAACTAAAGTTAAGCTAAAGTTAAGCTAAAGTTAAGCTAAAGTTAAGCTAAAGTTATTTAAAAGCTTAGAAAACATTGCTTGAATACGAATGAAAACGATTCAGAAGCTCTTTTTATAGGTAATGATGAAAGAAAGAAAAAGGTTGTAAAATAATGGTCAGAAGGCACAAATCATAAACATTCTTTCTTTCATTGAAAAGAAAAGAACAAAAAAAGAACGAAGAGATAAAGAAAGCGTGGGAAGATTTCTGATTTGGAAAAGAAAATTGAGGACTTTTTAGAATGATCTTGCACAGAGATGGGATTGTGAAATTCGAGCTTCAGTCTTGATTGATTGGAAATTTTTTTTGAAAACTGTAAAACTTTAAACCATGAGCCAACAAATTTCTGAGCTTGATTAGAGAACTCAAAACATTGACAAAATAGGGCAATGAAAGGAGAAAATCTTGGCTCAAAGTCGCTTTGTGGTCAAGCAAGTTGAATGGGGAATATAGAAATTGTAAACGATTTCTGAATAGAGAGATCAATCCGAGTCTTCACTTCCAATCCACTCAACTTAAGAACTTTCATTCAGCTCTTGATTGGAAAAATTTTTTGAAAACTTTAAAACTTTAAACTCATGAGCCATGAGCCAACAAATTTCAAATTTCAAAATCAAAATTTAAATTTCTGTACTCGATTAGAGAACTCAACACTCATTGACAAAATAGGGCAATGAAAGGGGGAAATCTTGGTTTAAAGCCGCTTTGTGGTCAAGCAAGTTGAATGGAGAGTATAGAAAATGTAAAAGAAATTGTAAAAGATTTCTGAATAGAGAGATCAATCCGAGTCTTCACTTCCAATCCACTCAACTTAAGGACTTTCATTCAGCTCTTGCATCCTCATTCAAGAGCTATAGTGGTCGATTTTGAAGATAAGTCTTTTCTAGCTGAATTTGAGAGTCTATTGGAAAGTCTAAACTTGATCTATGCATAGTTGATCATAAAATGAAACTCTCAACTTGTTAGCTGCGGGCTTTTGGTAAAGAACTGAATAAAGAATTGCTAAAAAGTCTACTGATAACATTTTTATTTATTTAATTTGAATAGTTGTGAATAGATTAGAAAAATCTGGGAGACATGAGAAAATTCCAGTTCGAACCTAATTCCACCTTCATTTTCTCAGCCGTCTCTTGGTCAATTGTTCTGAAATTTTGTTTAGAAATAGAAATTGATATTCTCTGCTTGTAGACAAGATTTCAGAGTAATCGGCTAAGAGATGGATGAGAAAATGAAGATGGAATTCGGTTCGAGTTGGAATTTCCCTCATGTCTTTACTAGAAATTGAAGCAAAAGACGGTTTACCCAAAGAAGAAAACATATAGAAACATATAGAAAACAGAAAACAAAAAAAATACCAAAGAATATTACTTAAAATAAGTTTTGTATCAGTTAGGAATATACCGTATTCTCTTTAATAGTAGTGCACTCTCTAATAGCATTACGGTCCGAGAGGGGGTTAAAAAAAAATAGTAGTACGCACTACTATTAGAGAGAATACGGTATTTGAATTTAAAGAAAATAAAAAAAAAACGAAACAATTTGCAATGGTTTAAGATTTGATTTTGTTGATTTTCAATGAAAGCTTGCTTTTTCAACTTGCTTCAAAATAAGGATGAGGTAAGAAAATGGTGGAATTTCTTCAATTCAAATCTTTCATACAAATCTTTACACGTCTTCATACATTCGAAAAAAGTGGGAGAAACTGGAGAACAAAGAAAGCAAAAATCGAAATCCCCAATGAACAACCACCACTTTTTTTTTACGTTTGTCTGAGATTTGAACGATTTTTATCTAGAGCTTTCTCCTCAAGTTGACCTCTTAAGAAAGGGTCAATGGTCGAGTGAGTTTAGTAAATGAAAGTTATTGGAAAATTTGATCGTTGAAGAGTTGATGAGTTGATGAAGAGAACAT